TTTTGCTGGTCTTCTGTGACCTTTAGCAACACAGCAGACCATAAATTATCTCCATAAGAAACTTCTGAGACCATTATGCTCCACATCAGTTTCAGAAGCACAGTCACAGAGTGAAATGTTAGGGCGCTCCTGTTTGTGGAACATATTTTTAATGTTAGCAAAATGCACATGTCATAGCCTCCTAATGCTTTAGAGAACAATATTCAAGGTCTTCTGAATGTTTTAGCATAAATACAGCACAATAAAGAGAGGAGGCACATTACCATAGCATTCTGGGACGTTTCGCAAACATGCAAAATTAAAAAGGAAGCGACAATGTGCCTCTCCCGTAATTTTAAATCAAGCCAGTAACTGTTGTCACATAATGGCTGAAAAATGTCTTGCTATAAAATTCTCGAGACGAATCCGGAATAGCACACCTGTATTCTTGAGGAAATGTTTTGTTTTTTATGTCCAAAACACCAGCATATTTTCTGACTGAATGGTTCTGCACAGAGGTAAGCAGGTGGTGATGAACATGAGCTGACACTGGAACCTCTGTGCCAACAAGAGGGGTGTAACTGCTGGCGCCAAACTTTATTTATTTTGCATGGTACCATGCAAATGACTCTGAAAGGTTTAATGAGAAGAAAACAGAGGGAAAATGAACAACGTTGAGTTGCCTCAAGGAAATCATTACCACACATCATTACTCTTGACTACACAGGGCAGTGAAAACTGGATGTTGTAACATGCTTACCATGCAGGAAGAATGCATCTAAAAGGAGGTTTTAACTTGAATTTCCCTGGTTAATTTGGTCAGATACAACCCAGTAAAACTCTCCACAGACAGGAGACAAGCATGTATGAGCCTTTAATGGGGGGGGGGGGGGGGGGGGGGACATCCACCATCGTGTCTGCAGCGGGAGCTCCAAAATGAAGCCCTCGGGAGTCCGTGGTCATTTGTTACAGAAAACTAAGCCTCCTCCTTTTCTCTCTTAAGTGGATACAGGGACCGTCTGCGCATTCAAAAATTAATATGATTTTTATGAGGTCCATCAAGGGTTAAATAAAAGAAAAAGAAAAAAAGGGGCAGTGGAGTAGCCAGTATGTCTGTCCTCATATTATCTTTTTGAGAACACAAATGAATGAGTTTTAGCTTCAGTTTAGTTTTACAGTCTATAAATAATATGTTAATAAAGACAGAAAAAAGAAGGCAAGCATCTAACAATGTCTGAGAAAGAATTTGTATCCAGGACATGTCTTTAAACGGCCAACCGTTAAATCAAGAAGCCGCAGGAGGACCTTTACCTTTAGACCAATTTATAATAAACTGTGACTCCAGTTCATGAAAAAGTTGATCTGATCCACATGAAACGTATTTGAGAGTCTAATGTTTTCAAATAAAATAAACCGTGATCCTAATCAATATCTTTTGCTTCCCTCTGATTCTCCTGATCATGACTAGTTTAGAGAAATATAGTACGAAATTGTTAGATAACAGTATGACTTTCAGAAAATGAAAAGCAAAAAGAGTTTTGGTGAGGAAAACTTTCCTCATAAGTAGTCAGTCTCTTACCTGTAGGAGACAGTTTAGTAGAGTGCTCTCAGTTTTGGGAATCAGCTGGTCTTCTGATACAGTGAGTTAAAGCGAACAGCGACACGGCAAGAGTCAACTAAAGCCCAAAAAACAGTGGTCCCAGCAACACTGAAATGTACACTGCATCACCTTCATGTCAGACAGCGGTTGTGTTTATCACCACAGAACGTCTGTCTGGGACACAACTCTGCAGACACAGTGGCTCCCTGATGAATCCCTCTACTGATCAGGTTTGACTCAAATCATAGCAGCCAAATGCCAGCATACAAACCATTAGACAGAGCAAATAAATGACCCTACTAGAAAAGCACGTCTTTTAAAGTTTAGCAGAAATAATGCCCACCAAGTCTGGCATAACTCCTGAATGCTGTTTACTGCAGGTGAAAGATTGACTGTTCAGAAATACTTCACACACCAACCCTGAAATATCCCTTTAAGAAACAACATCCTTTGTTCTTTTAAACAAAAGAGGAAAATGAGCTTTCCTACCTCCCTTTCTGAAAATGCTAACTTTTTGGGATTTTAAACACCAAAATAATTTATAATATGATAAAAAACTTTTTTTTTCAAACTGCTGGCCAGAGATTTGTGTTTTTCAGAACCTTCACGTTCTTAAAAATCAGGACTGCAAAAATATGGCAGAGCTTTATCTTTGAATAGTCTGACCTTACGTCCAAAACCCTTTTACTGTAACATATGACAAACCGAGGCGTGGCACATACACCCACCCCCACTCCCCAAATAAGAGAGGCTGCAAGATGAGACACTATCATATTATTTCCCCCAAATTTCCCTTAAGCACAAGGATTTGTAAATTGTTGCTGACAATCATCAAATCAATTATTCCACTAATCCTCTAAGCTCTTTCACTATTTACATGTTCACTCACAACTGTGTGTAAGCACAGAGGGAAGTGAAGCAGCATGATCTGATATAAAAATGGAATTTTAATCGAACGGCCACTGGCCTGGTGAAAACTGAACACTCACTAACACAGAGGAGTATCTTTGGAGTCCCCATTTTTCTGACTGACTGTAGGCACTCACATTGGTCACATGCTGCATGGAAACACCCTCCCTTCGTCCTTTTGGATGCCACATTTCTCCAGTAAAGCTGAGAGAATCAGGATCATGGAACCACAGATGGAGGAAGCATGTGCTCTCTCTCTTTAAAAAAAACAAAAACAACAATTTACAATCAAGCTCATCCGAGCTGGCGGGGTTTGAAATGCCCACACCACTGGACAGAGGTGGACGGTTGGGCTGCTCAAAATTAAAGCCAACACTTGGTTTGGTTGTGAACACGGGAAAGTAAAAATCTATTAATGCTCGTCCTGACAGGGGTGTCCACTTGGCGAGAGAAATGGGCTTAAAATGTCAACATCTGCCAAGTCTGCCTCACATCCATCAGTCTCCTCACTCGCTGTGATGGAAGTCCCTCCTCTCCCCATAATTATTTTCAAACTGCATATCTCATGGTGTGGCAGGAGACGTGATCCACATTGTCGGTTACAGGAAATGAATCATCCACTTCACAGAGACAGATTCGACATTCGGTCCTCTACTCTTTACTGAACATACATGGGACTTTCATCTGATTATAGCAGAGCGGCTCTGCTCAGTCTCGTTTAGATTGTGTCCGAAGTACTGCCGTGGATTTCAGAGGCTGGGCTCCCTTTCCTCAGTCAGCAGCTTGAATGAAACACACTCCCTGGCGCAAACTGACTGAGCTAGGACACTGTCCCCCCGATTTAATCGCATTTCTGGAGTGAATTTTAGAGAATCACCAGGTGAGCACAAGCGACAATGACAGGTGGTGTGAGCACCGTTTTTTTTTTTTTTTTGTCGCTGCACTGAGGACACACTGCACAGTGTGTGTAGCTCAAAGCCTGCACTCAATGACCCCAAACTCCCAGCTGCTCTGAGCCACCCCTCTGCTCCACAGTGTTCCAACCACACCGCACAGAGAGGCAGGTCCTGCTCATGTGCATCCCTTAGCTTAAGGGAAATTTAAAGGAACGTATGGGAAGGCTTTTGTCATACGCAGCTCCAAGGTCAAGAGTGATTTAATTTCAGTGTCAGTTTCAAAAATGTAACCAGACAGCCAAAATGTTGGTGCTTGATCATAAAAGAGAAATCACCACATTCAAACTACAGCTTTGCGTATTGTCAATTGCGACATTCTCTATTTTCAATCATTATTGTGTTAATTTCGTGGCAGACTGCCTTTTAACTAACAAGTCTGCTTGTATCTGTCATAAGATGTTATTGGATATTCCTTTATGTGTGAAATCCAGATGCTTTTCTCCCTCTTGTTCTTTTGCTAGAATAAGTCAGTCAGTTTAAAGTTGCTTTATATTAAAGAGCTGCTAAGAATGTAGTACATTTGACATTCCAATAGCAACTACGTTCATCCTTTGTGGTAGGACGTGAATAGAGGCAGAAAATCTCCCGGTAGGTGTGATGTTCGTTTGGAGTGGCTGTCACGCCCGGCAAAATGGGGGAGAAAAAAAAAACGGAGCTTACCAGCTTTCCGCCAGGTTTTTATTCTAAACTTCTTTTTTAAAAACGTTTTGTGAAGGCTCCAAGGTGTGATGCTGCGGCAAGTTAATCGCCGAATGGCGAAAAAAATGCAGGAATCTGGCTCCATCCATGTAGACACCTGCCTCTCCTGCACCCCAAAGACGCGCCAACACATCCTCACCTGGCTACGTGGACGCACACAAACGCACACACACGTCACCCGTATTTCCACAATCGCAGAAATACCGCCCATTCTCCCACACACACACATAGATGCACACACTCACACACAGACACACACACAGCCCTTCTGCATTTACAGACACGCTGGTATTATTCGTAAACATGCAGATGTTCCCATCGTGGCCACATGCCGTTAAAGATCCATAATTCTGACCCTGCTGTCACTGCTTTGTTGTGGCTGTTTGATTAAAAGAAAAGCCTGCATGCTCCTGCATCCCGTGTCAGCTGATGACGGTGGCTTGCTTTTGGGTGAAATATTAATAAGAGCTTGTCACGACTGAAGTTAAAACGCGGACCGTGGGTTAGGCTGCCAAGCGATCTCGGGACGTCTTTATATTTCTGCCGTGTTTTGGTCCAGCAAAACGGGCCACACGTTCACCAACGACGGCTGTGGGTCCTCAAGGTTGAATAATATGGCTTGTGAACACACAGCGACCCGCTGTCAGCCCCGGATTCCGTGAAATTTACGCGTAAAAATGCCATTAGGCCCGACGTCTCTCCGCAGTCCAGCGTTAGATTTCCCTCTGCTAATTAGACAGAACGCGCATTTGGACTCTGACAGCTGGCTTTATGGGCGAGATGATGCAAGCAAACTCGTGCGGTGATTTATGGAGCAAAACACGGGCCTGATAGTAGAATGAAGGTGGGATACATACCTTGGTGACTGTTTTCGCCTGGCTGGCGCAGAGGGAGACTCAGCCCTATCCAGTTACCCAGACTCGTAAAAATCAGACAACAACAAAACCACGCCGGTTGTTGATGACACAGCTGTCTTGGCAGACAGAGGGGAAGGGGGGAAAAAATCCGTTCCCAGATGTGTCAGTTGACGTGTGGATGAAAAATCAGATATTCAGACGCACATCACTGGACTGACGCCTCTGCTTGACGTGAAAGGTCTTCCATTTTTATGATAAACAGCCTACTGTACTACGGAGCCTCGTCGGAGACTGGCCGGTGAGGGATGTGATTGAAAATCATGATGGCACTGAGTACGACGTTACAAAGGGGTCCTCGGCAAACGCCGTGAGAGGCTCCGACGCGAACGCCGAAAAGGAGCCATGCTTCTGGATCAGGCGTGAGCAGAAAAAAACACAAACGTCAAAACAAAAAAATGCGCAGACATCAACGCGCTGCGTAGGCTCGGGCACAGGGCACCCTCACCGTGCATTTGCATCCATATTAGTATGCATATAGTACTTCCTGAGAGCAGACGAGTGGTTGTTTTTCGGAGGAAAAAAAAAAAAAAGCATCAGAGGTGGCGCCGAGTCCAGCTGCCACCGGAGGATGATGTCTTTAAATGAAAGTCCCAGTTACTAACACAGGATTCATTACATGTCCTGAGCCCCGACTGAATTATTATTGTTCTCCAACTCTATTGAACCTAAGCAGTTTTGCATTGTACCAGAATACCACTATCCACAAATCATAACACAGTTCTTTGAAGGATGAAATTATTACTACACTCCCACAAGGATGTCACAAAAGATGAAAAATTATGTTTAACAGAACATAAGCTTGCCATAAACCCTGCACTTAGAGCAACAAAGTAGGCTAAGCCCTCATAGGAATAATTGTGTGACATTTTGCGTGACCTGTCCCTAGATAACCACTCATTTCAGTAAAAGCCAGTCGAATTAAGAGACATACTCAAGCCACTAAACAAACAGTTGAATCTAAATGTGAGGTGTCTGTTGAGAGCACAACAGCTGTATTATCATCTCAGAAAGGCATCTAAGAGATATTTCCCATTCAGACATCCAAATCCATCCAAGAAAGAAAAGTGACCAAATCTATTGTAGATTACTAATGTGAGGTCAATTCCATACAAACTTTCTTAACAGCTAAATGAGATAATCCAGGGTGAAAGGAACCTCCAATTGCCTGTCAGTGTTATCAAGTAGCTATGGTTGGACAGGAAGTTCATGTTTGGTTCTGATTTAATTTGGTCCAAAAACATTCTGCAGCATTGAGCCTGTCCAGAAAATGCGTTGGAGCCTAAACTGAATTTGCTTGTCTCTGTGATTGGCCCCTCATGTCCCTCCTGGTGAGAGCACTCACTCGTTAGTAAAAGTACATCTGCTTACCCTTTACACCAGCTCGTTCACTGTTGACCACATTACAAGATGATCATATGCAATTTGGAGTTAGATATGCACTGTAAAACATCTCACTGTGTTCTTGCACCTCCATGTTTCTTTTACAGTTTCCCGCTGTCAACATGGTCTCACACCAGAATGTGTAAGAGCTGCTTTGGTTCACTGATCGAAAGGCAGACTCAAAAGCTTTGGATTTACTGCAGTTTCTATCCTGAAAAAATGGCACGCTGCATTTGCCTTCATAAATCTTAACATGCCCTATTTCCGCAGTGTGAACTGATCACATAGTATGTGATCACATAAATTAATAATAATAATAATAATTGTAGTATGCTTTAAGATACTGAAATATTTCAAACCTTGTAATCTGTCACACATATGTTTTCTGTTCCCCTTGAAATTACAGTGTGCTAGCAGTTAGGTTTTTGTGAAAAAGTAGGAAAAAAAACTACTTTCATGGTGACAGGACCGTGGTGGCATGACATCACAAAGAGCCACGAAGAAGTACCTAATTACATTGTGATGGAACCCTGTATTACCTGACAACGTTTCACTTTCACCATTAAATATAGGCACCAGAGATACTTGCACGTTGTCCTATCTGCACTTTCACAGTAGTTTAAAATGACTTTGCTGGAGACTGACTTAAGATATTCATAGATTCACAAATCTACTCTGGTAATAGTTTTATCTGTCCAAAAGATAATCATGTGATTATTAAATAGGACTACTGTAATATGTTATATTACCTGTAGGTGGCGCCAGCAGACAGACGTCTCAACCACCTGATCAGGTTGCCAGACCTGCACAGAACCAGAGATAACTTAAATATGATAAATACAGCAGGATCATATTCCATTTACAATGGATCTGTTCAAATGGGGCTTATAGATCATGAGTTTGCCTTGAATCCAAAATCAGTGTGAAAACTCCTACTTTAGAAATAGTTCCTAATAATGCAAAACAACTTATATATAAATTAAAAACACTAAAAATAATATTTCTTTATCAATAAGTGGAGTCCACTGAAATAAAATGATTTGAACCCTTCATAGATTTGCAGATAACATGAATCTCTATGAGCTCAAGTAAAAGCAGCTGGACTACTTATTTTTTCAAAGCGTTTCACCTCTCATCCGGAAAGCTAAACTACCAGGTGGGGAGTCTCGGCTTATAACTACACAGTTTCTGAAGTGGTGATTTCCCTCAGAACTTCGTCACTTTATGTCCACCGGCATCAGCGTCCTTGGCTGTTCTAAAAAGAAACGAAACAAGTTGTTTCAAACTGGACACATAACCTTGAATAAGCACTTTAATTGTAAACCCTGTGTTTCTCCAGCAATATGAACTTTGTAAAGTTTTTAGTCAGCTATCCTGATTTTTGTGCAGTCTGGCAAATCAGAGTAGTCCGATTCCTTTTTCTGACCACTCTGTTAATTTGGACATGGACGTGATTAATATAAACTCATTTCATGTGAGTTGTTTGGGTTTGGTTTTATATTCAATACTTTTACTGTTGTATTTATGTTTCCTCTTAAGCAAAGCCACATACCAAAAGTGACAAAAAAAATAACATCAGATAAAATGAAAAGAAATCTAATCAAATTCAAGAATAAAGAGTGAGCCAGGTGACTGCCGAGTTCCTAAAGATAGCATGGCATGGTTTCCAGAACAAAATCCTTTTTTTTTAATCCCCAAAACTGTGATCAAACACATTATTTTCAATTGTTGAATGTTCCTTTGATTACCTAATATACAAAGCATCTAACATTAAAACTAAGTCATGTTTATCTCTGATACAAAGTGTGTGTCAAAGTATGGGGGGAGTGGATTTGTTATCAGCAGTCTTACAGTGCATGAACCGAACAAAGTGCACTCACCGCACCAGTGGAAAAGCAGCGTGCGCTCTTCCATTCAAACCAACCTTGGAAGAAGTTCTAATAAAAAGGTAAAGTACTGCATTTTATGTAGAGCAGAATGATCATAAAAGCTGTTAAATGCTACCACGGTGACTCCTCACCAAGGCTCATTAGTGTTCCCATCAGCCGGACTGCTAAGATCAGCCAGCAGATACATTTCTGTTTTGTGAGCAAATTAATAAATGAATGTAAGAGTTTGCCGGTTATCTGACTCATGGGTTAGTCGTTTGACCAGGCTGCCGGAAACCTTTAAGCCTATTTAATCCTTAAAGAAACACAGAGGGCACCAACTGGGGTGGATACTGATTATCAAGCAATCTGTTCACGATCATAAAAACATCTGCAATCACATTCTTATTATCTTGGGTTGATTTCATCAGCTCATAACATATCATTTCTGCACATGTGAACTTTATTGGAAGTAAGCTGAGTACAAATTGCTGTTTTCTGAAAACTGATGATCTTGCCTCCAGGCTGCAAGCATGACTCAAGAAAAATCTCAGTTTAAGAAGTTTTTGGAGGAATTAAGCGTTCTGCAGTGGGTGCTAAGCTTTCTCTTCTTAGGTGAGATTGCCTGACATGTTCTCTTATTTCTTTAAAACCTTTCCTCTATCTGACATTTGAAAAAGTTACTCATAAATGATCTGAGTTCATGCCAGTCATGTCCTGAACCCCAACATACAGGCTCTGATAGCGCCATCCATGGCATATATTCTTCCATCGGCAGGTGTGTCTTGCGTGGTCTTGTTGGTGTATCTTATGTTTACCTCTCTATGGCCGCTGTCCGTGCTCTACTTCACGTGGCTGGTGGTGGACTGGAAAAGCCCCGAAAGAGGTAAAGAAGTTCAGTTTTAATAACCTGTATGTTTTTCCAGTTTGGTTAAGACTAAATAGTAATGCAGTTTCAGTTTCGCATGAAACTAGTTGGCAATTCAACTGCCTACATCATGCTTTCAAGTGGAGGATGACGATACAAGTACAGTTGAAATGCTTGTAAAATACACAGGTTAAAAAACTAAAAAAGAGTCTAAAAGCACTTTAAATGTGTACATTCTCTTCTCTAATCATTTACTGCTTTTCTATCATTTTCCTTTAAAGGTGATACAGATTGCAATTTTCTTCTCTTTTTTCAGTCTGAAGTTGTAAAACCTCAGTTCAAAGGTTCTGGACTCATACGGCCAAATACATCCTGATTAGTGTCAGTTCCTTCACAGCGAAATGGCAAATCACAGCTGCATATCAGCCAAACACTGCAGGATAGAGTGCTCCTCCAGCAGATCCCATTTACGTTTAAAGTGAGGGAGGTGCTCCCACATGAACACACCAAAATGTGTGATCAACCCCTCAGTTTCCCTTTTGAATTATTTCCTGGCCACGTCCATCAAGAACTTCAGAAATGAAAGCTTCTTTCTCAACTCTCTAAAATGTCTTATGTCTCCATCAGGGGGCAGAAAAAACAGGTTTGTGAAGAAGTGGAGAGTTTGGGAGCACATGAGAGACTTTTTCCCAGTTAAAGTAGGTTTCATGTTTCATCATTTCTCTCAGATTTTGTATTTTCAACATGACATGGTGTGACTATATCTGGTTGTAACTTGTTTATGCTTATCATAAACCCCTACTAACATTAACACATTTGCTGACACAAAATGCTGCCTCTGCATTTCATCCTACAGCATTTTGTTGTAGAAACTTTAAATAGAAATTAATTAAGTTGACAATATTTCTGTTTCAATATAATCTACTGATATCATTTATCAAGGTAGACGGCAGATATATCTACAAGATTAAAGTCTTTGTAATGAAGATTTCATGTTGGACGCCATTAATGAGAACATTGTGTCATTAACTCTCCCTGTCAAATGTCTGCCTGCAAGAGCCCGTTAGCATGAATAGCCCAAATCTGATAGCGCACAGCAAAAGCCTGTCAGTTTAACAGCAGCTACTGAGTGACACACTGTGTTAATAATGTCTTTCCCAGCTCATAAAGACAGCCGAGCTAAATCCAAACAAAAACTACGTCCTTGGCTGTCATCCGCATGGTATTTTGGCTGTGGGGGCCTTTTCCTGCTTCAGCACAGAGGGATGTGGATTCGAAAAGGCATTTCCTGGGGTGAAATCCACCTTGGCTGTACTGGCAGGCCTTTTGAAAGTTCCTATCTTGAGGGACTACCTAATGTTTGCAGGTATTTATCAAATGTTCAATAACGGTACTGAACCACTTTGTCTCAGTCTGAAAAGCTATTTGTAGCTGGATGAGATTGATTATAAAAGCCTTTTCTCGCACAAAAACAGTCTTTAATTGATGATGCAGTAACTATGGTATACTTTTAGAATATTTGTGCGAGATTTAGAAAGGTTGCGGAGATTCAAAGATATAAGAATTATTCTTCTACAGATTGAAAAGGAAGTCAAACAAATCTGACTCAAAGCAACAATTTTTAGAAATGGAATCTGAGCAAACACAATTTCTGTAATCCCTGTGACAATAACCTCCTGATTGTAGGGCATTGCATCCATTTACAAATTAATGAAAAATACAGTGGCTCTGTTTCTCGCTTGCCTTTGAACAGAACCAGCCTCTATTGAGCTGAATCGCTGATGCTCTCACTCTGTCTGTGTGATAAGGCATTTGTCCTGTCAGCAAACCCAGCCTTGTGCACCTCCTTTCCAAAAGTGGCAAAGGAAACGCAGTGTCCATTGTGGTGGGGGGTGCTGCTGAGTCTCTGGCGTCCTCACCTGGAGTCAACACGGTGTTGATGAAGCAGAGGAAAGGGTTCATCCGGATCGCTCTGGAGTTCGGGTGAGCACACACAGGGACTAACGCGCAGCGACAGCCACCGCCGGGTGGCACTCAACCCAGCACTGCGGGGAAAACGCATTTGATGCTCATTTGATTTTTCACAGAGCTGACCTTGTGCCGGTTTACATATTTGGGGAGAATGACCTCTTTCACCAGCTGATTTTCTCAGAGGGAAGTCTGGGTCGCAGGCTACAGGACATGTTCAAAAAGATCACGGGTTTCGCCCCTTGTCTGTTTATCGGTGAACAGTTTGTCTTCATACCCAAAAGGACTCCAGTTACTACTGTTGGTGAGCATTTCAATAATCTTTTCATAATTTTTCATATGAAAAACACTAAGAAACATTTGTTCACTTTTTTTTTTTACCTTGCGTCTTTTAGTGGGAAAGCCGATCCCAGTGCCACCGCCTTTCATACCTACTGAGGAGGATGTTGATCACTATCATAGACTCTATATGGAGGCCCTAACCAAACTATTCCATGAACACAAGGTCAGCTGTGGACTCCCTGAAAGCCATAAGCTTCAGATCATTTAGACATTTGTTTTTGTCATCAGCAGACATTTTGGGGGAAATCACTCAAAAAGAACCAAGAGAACTGTTCACAAACATAATGCCACTTAGAACAATTCAATGATGACCAGTCAGGTTAGTATAATCTAAACCGTACAATGACAAAAACCATTAAACATATGAAATTAGAACTTTAGGTGCGAGTGCTTTGTCTGTAAAGTTGTGAAAATACAATCAATTAGTTAGCTTGGACATTGATGTATTTCTATACATTCTGAAATACCGCTGATATAAATACTTGAAATGTGCCTTGTGGTTCAACAGATGAATTATTGAAGTTCATCTTTCATGCCTTTTTTTCCATTTCAGTTTGAAGCGCAAGCTAATGATTCAATTTTCAGGAATAAAATTAATTTAGTTTCTATCTGAGAACTAAATTGTCGCTGTTCTAAATACAATTCTATAAACATAAGACTTCTCAGTAACTGTGTATACTACTGACTATCATGTTTTGTAATTAACTTAGAAGACAACAACGTTTAGGGGATCAACTCCTAAGTCTTCCTTGTCTGATGTAAACCCAGTGGATTTTTAAAATAAATTATTCTAAAAAATGAACGTATTCTGATCACACCTTTATTGAAGACTTGTTTTACAGCAGTACAGAAGCATGTAATTATACAATTATGACAAAATAATCCAAGAAAACATGATGCGAGATGTGCACCTTCTAAAAGAAGTCCATATCATCCGGTGCATCCAGGTCACGGTACTCGATGATATTGCGTGGATCACCTCGGGACATTCTGAGACGGTTTGGAGATGGAAAAAAAATCTTTTAATAATAGTCGTCAAAGGAAAACTAAATATAATAGAGATGTTAAATTCACACAGTGGCAGACGATTTGAGGCGGCTCGCTCCACGTACAGTGCTCTTACCTGATGTTGCGTGGCTTACCCAGGTAGCCACCTTGTCCACGGAAGTTGTCGTAGTTGCCGCGGCCTCCAGCAAACTGGTTAGGCGGGTAAGGAGGACCGCCTGCTGTCAAGATAGACGGTTGAACGGTGAGCAAATAAGGGATTTGATTTCCTGTGTCAGGACGGGGTGTAGGTGGGGATAACATACCACCATAGCCCATCAGAGGTGGTCGGGGCTGACCGAAGCCCATTGGACCCTGAGGAGCTTGAGGAGGAAAAGGCATTGTGGGAGAGAGCAACCCTGTGAAAAAAATAAAAAATAAGCCCAACTTTGTATTATTGTTGCAAAGCCCAGAATGCTGGTTCATTTAATTTATTAAAGAGGTCCTCATGGGCTAACCTTGCCCTGGGGTCGGAAGAGGGGGGAGTTTAATTTCTGGCAGAGACGGTCTCTTAGCATCCATCAGGAAATTGTTGAAGAAGGAGACCTCCTTCTTCACCTCCTCAATTTTGTCTCCATGCTTGTTCAGGATGTGCTTCCGCACAAACTCCGGACCCTTCAAATCAATGTGAAATAAAAGACAAATAACACATGTTATACACTGACATGCAGCAAAGTACTAAAGTACTTCAGCAGAGATTTCAGGTACTTCAGCAGATGGTTCAAAGCCCTCACCTTAAATTTTTTGCCACTAAGAGGGCAGAGCCATTTGTCCTTTCCCAGCTCCTGTGTGTTGGCAGAGACAAACTTTTCCACCTCCTCCTCAGGATCTTTGCGGCCCATTTTCAAAGCGTCTTCCTCAGAGAGGACTTCTTTTAAACTAAACAAGGGAACCAACTTCTCCTCCATCATCTTCTGCCACTGTTGAACTGTTTACACACAACATAAGAAGTGCCCTTGAGTGTTGTTTTTTTTTTTTTAAGTATTTAAATTCACTCAGTTTGGGATTTAAAAGGCTTAACATGAGGGACTTGGGGACATCTGCTGGCAAAAAGCCGACTCTACAGTTAGCGTTTGGAGGCAGAACTGCTGAGAATGAAAGAACTGATGAGGATGATTCATTGTGCTTTGGATGATAAAAACAAAGAAATTCTGATTTTGCATAATTCCTTACTAATGATGAGATGGTGCTGAACTGGCATTTCTACCAATAGATAACTCATAATGAGATACATCGAAGCATTAACTCATAAAAGGCACACGGTGTCGTTATAAACTTGTTAGAATGAAAAGACTTTTCCATAATTCAGCAAATGTATAAATAGATTAATAGTAGCACTTTGGATTTTCACATATCGTTAGAACTTGTTATGAAACAGCAACAGCATACCATTAGAAAAAATATAGTGTGATGGTGAACACATTTTAGCATAGCTGGTGTTGCTAATGACTTCAATTGCATGGAAGCTCAAATAAGAAAAAGAAATGGTAGATTTAATAATGGCACATCCTGCATTTCCTAATAAATACTTTACTTGATCATTTTTCCTGAGCTCCTTTGAGGTGTTAACAGAAACACTCTGACCTTCTCCATGAGTGATGCGGTTCGGAGGAATGGGTCCGCGGACGTGTATCATGCCACAACGATTGGGCATTTCATCCTCACTGGGGTACTCGCAGGTGTTGTAGTAATCAACTGAATGCACAATCCGCAGATACAAGATCAGACGGTCCAAAACCTGAAACCAGACCGTTTCCACAGCTGATTAGTCACTGAACGGACAGAAGAGGAACGCTCTGCTTTCATCTGGAACTGTGCTGCGACGGTCAAACCTTGGCTAGTTTGTCGTCTTTCTCCACAGTCGTCTCAGCCGGGTTTCCCTCCTTGTTGTTTTCCTCAGGATCCATTCCACTCCCCGAGCCCAAGAGCTCCTCTTCCTCAGCACTCACTTCTTCTATCAGGTAATCGGTAATATTCTTCATGATGGGGTTCTGGGCAGACAACTATTTGGAAAGAAATGCAATTAATAAATGTGTAACTCACGAACTGCAAGCCTATGTGATTATGTCCTTATTATGCATAAAACGTGCAGATGTGGAGGGGGGCCACACCTCTGACTTCTGCCCCTCTTCGCGAGTTTTGCTGCTCCACATCTCTCCTTTCTCGTCCAGAGCGTGAATGAGCTTGGCAGCCAGCTTGATGTCGTTGCGGAGCACCTGCTTGTGCTGAGTGATGCCGTTAACGTGGCGCACCCTCCGAGCCAGGTCCCTGTTCACCCCTGGTGCCAGTTCACAGTCTCGCAGCTGTACGACGTTAAGAGCAAGACTGACTTTTAATTTTAACTTTTTTTTTTAAGTAAAAGCAAACATCTGTATGAGGCCTCCAGAAACTGAATGAATAGTAGAGAAAACCGACAACATTTTAGCACTTACGCGTATGTTCTGAAGGTTCCAGCAGACTTCTTTAATGTTGATGCTGCGGTCAAATGTCACCCAACAACGGCGGAAAAACCTGAAGGAAACACATTTATCTGTCTCATCAAATGTCCGACTTGAAAAAGGGTCAATTACTATATTTCAAAGTGGCAAATCAAAAGAATAATATCTGTATTTATCGTTTTTTAAGCCAACCTGCGTTCGGGGTGAGGATCAGACAAGCAAACTCGGAGAAAGCCTGGGTAGCGACGGCACAGCTGTAACAAACAGATGAAAATATGATGAAGACACCAGCAATCTCACTCTCAGCTCTGATGCTCTTTCCATTGCAGCTGGGTCCCAACTCACAGCGACAATCTCAGCCTTGGAGATGGTGGGAGCAATGCTCCTCATGAACAGGGAGCAGGTCTTGTGTAGAGGGCGGGGTCTGGGGGCGTCATCTTTGGGCTTTTTCTCCTCCTTCTTGTCCTCCTCGGAGTTCTCCTTCGGTTTTTCCTCTGATCAAAAACAAATAACAGCACAAGAGTGAGGCAAATGCTTCCTTACCACAGTTAGGAAATGTTAATTTGATGATTCACCTTCACCGTCCTCCTCCTCCTCATCCTTGTCTTCTACTTCTTCCTTCTTCCCAGGTTTGTCAGAGCAGTTGGAGTTTGAGTCAGAATCGGAGTCAGACTCACTCTCCGAGGGGCTGCCTTCATCATCACTGTCCCCACTGCGTTTCCTTTTTCTTCTTGCCTGACAAATGTAAATGAGAGCAATCAAGCATATGTGATGCATTTTTTCCTATTGAAAAAAAAAACTTTAAATAGTGAAATATAAACTGACCTTTTTGGGTTCAGACATGTCTTCTTTGACAACTTCTTTGTTCACTTCCTCTTTCACATCCTGGCCATCTGCTGCGGCTGCTCTGTCTCCGCTGGCAGGGTCACCCTCCTCCTGGTAAAAATGTCCTTTTATCAACACGGCGCTGTGAAATCTCTACTGTCCGACTGACTCAGAACGACACATACCTTCTCCGATTTGTCTCTCTCTTCTGAGGGCTTGCGATTGGCCAGGTTTTTGAGGTCATCCCTCTTTGAGGGTTCAGTTCCACCTGCGACAGATCCCAGCTTCTCTCTGTCTTCTTCCTCTTCAGCTGGCAGGTCCAAAATGCGAAGATCGTGATCCGTCCCTCCTTCCATTTTTATCACAGCTGAGGACAGACAATACGGGTGTGTGGGTCAGACACAAAGAAGGATGGCGAGTGTTCTGCAAATACCGTCCAGTGTTTATTTTGTACCATTCCAGCTTCCGAAAATCAAACATGATCAAGTTATAAGTAAACACCAACAGTACAAATAGCACACTTTCTTTGGGCCTCACCTGCATCTAGAACTTTGATGATGGCTGTGGTCTGCTCGATATCCAGGGAGATATTATCAAACCAGCCATTCTCCATCAAGAACATAAATACATTCAGGCGATTGTTCAGGGCACTCTGGGCCTCTGACTTAAGTCGGCTGGCCTCATCCGGATGGTATTTGGACCTAAACCTGTGTCCAAAGTTGGTGTCCAGAAAGGAGTAGGGAGGGAATGGTGGGGGTTGGGATGAACGGGTTGTAAAAGTTAGAAAACATAATGATATTATCCACCTAAATAATACCTGACAAAATAATGGTGAATTTTCTCCTTGATTGGCAAAAAATGAAATATTCTTATCGGATTTTCCACAAAAAAAAAAAAAAAATATTCGGAAAATTGTATTGTGTATCTGAAGTTAAAGAAACCAAATTCATCAGTGGAATTTAAGTCTCTATGTAGAGGAGATAATTGTAATGTGTGGTCTGTTTAATCTAGAGCTGTATGATGATTATGATAACTTATTCTACATTACATTAAGGAGGTTTGTGATTAACTCACCAAAAATATATATTAATAAATATCAGGAAAAAACACAAGGATTATAAACATCAAGCATTCACATATAATCAGAATGTCACATTAATATTATTTGAGTGGACCACAGTTACCTTTTGTTCTGCCACTTTTATAACAAATAAATACAGAGAAGGGGGGGTCTCTTCTGTGAAAGTGCGCTCCACTTCACCGCAACAGTGTGTCTGTACACACACCAATTCGGTTTTTTTGGATTCGATTTGATCCAAACATAAAAAGAAAATGGTTTCGAAAAAGCATAAAAACAAGAAAAAAAAATCCTCTATGTGCAGAGGACTACTTGGCTGTCTAACTAGAATCCCTGGTACTGTGTGTCTAAGAGCAACTGCATTGTGCGCAGTGCATGCCCTTGCTATCTAAGACTCGTGCAGGTGAGTTCCACTTTTGCTCAGCTTGAAAAAATAAAAATTAAAAAAACGCTGTCAATGCGGAAGTGGAAATGAAGGGAAGAAGAATGTGTTAAGTCAAAACACAACAACTGTGCATGATACCTGTGAAATAAGTAATAAAGATTAACAACCATTTTAAGACTGTGAATCATATTGCATTAAATAGGAAACCAAAAGAACAAAATTGTCTTATGAGTCAAAATGTCTAATCCACTTCATTGTGGACAACTACAATGAAGCCACAGGTTAGAATACTCAATATTGAGCTGCCTTTAACTCCAGTTTAACTCTCAATAGGCATTAAGTTTGAAATTGCACCAAATGTAAGTTTAATTTCTTAATCCATGGACAGTGAGACCATCAGCAAAAAGCATTGGAAACAAAAAGAGTTGTGCTCCTGGTCCTCGTTCAAGTGTGTCATTCAGTTTTAACATTACTTTGCAGAGGAAAAAAAAAATAACTTGCGGCATTCCCTTAAAAATAGACTTCTTGTTGAAAGTGACTGTCATTAATGATTAGGGTACAGATTGTAATGGTAAATTAGGTCTTACCACTCCTCATCTTTGTGAGCTAAAAAGAATTCCTGCATCTGCTGTCGACGGAAGTCGATCTTGTACTCATTGTAGCGTTTGACTGCTTCTGTCTCATCCACAGAATCATCTAAGGACAGCAGAAACTCCTTAAAGTTCTTCATTATTGGAGGGGGAGGACCCAATTCCATGTCGTGGATGTTCCCAAGCCTAATAGAAGGATGGGAAGTGAGATTTGCTTGGTTAAACTAAACCGATTAGATAGATTTTTTTTATCATTTAAAACATCTTAGTAAAGACAGACCATTAAAAAAATTATTACAGCCGTTTTATCCCTCTTAGGCCATGTTTTAATTTGTTCTTCATTTTCATTTCTATATAAAACCTGTAGGACTTATTTGTTTGTTTTTTTTGTAAAAGTTTACTCCAATTATTTTTCACAATCTGAATTGACATTAAGGAAAACAGAAATAACACTAGATCATAAAAGATAAAAAAATTGAAGCTGACTGATTCCACCTCTCACCTTGCTTGAATGGGGATGCCTTGATGAGGCTGCATGAGGTGCAGGTCAGGATGGCCCCAGTGCTGTGGTGGACCATAGCTTGGCCCTCCTCCACCCCCATATCCCAGGTCATAACCCCCACGATATGGATCTCCACCGTGGTCATCCCTGCCAGGACAGAGAATAGAAAGTTGAATAAAAGAAGACTATCTGAAAAGATGGTTCTGCAGTGTTGATGTAAATCTCACCAGTCTCTTCTCATGCGTTTCTGCTGAGGGCTCATATCATGCCTGGGTGGGGTAAACCTCTCTCGTCGACCTCTTTCGTAATCCCGGTATTCCCCACGGCTACGACGCTCCCTGCCCCTGTCCCACTCCCTGAAACATTGATTAGGAACAAATCAAACATCAGTCAATTTTTTTATATTGCTTCCATCCACGTTGAATTTATAAAATAGCTACCAACGACTTGCGTTTGCCCAGAGGTGATGCAGCTGCATGAGGTTTGGCCTCATCTTTGTCCTAATAGCTAAGTAAAATGGAGTCATTTTACCTGTCGTTCCAGTCATCCCTACGTCGGTCCTCTCTCTCCCTTGAGCGATCATAGTCACTTCTCTCTCGCCTGAATTTGTCCCTTCGCCTTCGATCGTATTCGTCATCACTGTCTCCCATCTCCAAGTATGGACGTAAATTTCAGCTGCCCTGTAGAAAGATGGATGGATAGATGACGACCCGACGGCTTATTGACTTAATAGTGTTATTAAACAGTAACTTTTTTTCTTTGATAGAGGAATAAAATGCCACAAACTTTGAAGAGTGGATTTTTGTGATCCTTGATCTAATTTAATGATAGGAGAGAAAAACACTGACATGGAAAGAAATTGAATACGAAAATGTGGATAGCTAACTCGCACCTGGCCATTCACTAGCTAAGGATTGAGAAACATAACATTAACACATTAATAAAAGCACCAGTATCGTAGTAATTAAATCATGAGACAAAAACAAAAAACACAGCACTGAATGGGAAAGGGGGGAAGTGTAGCTTTTACAGAAAGGAAAAGGGGAATAAACTGATGATAGCCAGGGCAGGCTAATGCTATCAATGCTGTTATCTAACCCTAGCTAACATGCTAACAATGCTAAAATCCCCATTCCCACGTCGGTAGCCTGACACAAGGCCACCTATTTGTAGATCATATATTTGTATCTTATTTCTCGCTGTAAAGTAGACAATATTATGAGACACGGTTTAAATAAACATGGATATACCTCTACTTGTATTCGCGTGTGTATTCTTCGCTGTAAACTCCCTCTTCTTTGGTTTCACTTCTTCTTCGTGGCATTTCTTCACGGTAACCCGCCAGAAAAAACGAGAAGTGACTATACCGCCCATAACTGGTTTGGAGTAAAGATACCAGCATACATTTAAATTTATCGGATTTGTCTGCAATAACGAGCCTTCAGCATTCCTCATATAAATGTAAAAAGGAAAGAAATCGATTTATAGATTTTTTACATTTTTAATTAATTTACATAGAAATGCTTGTCCCCCTCTGTTTTTCCATTCTGTAGTATCAGTGAGACTAAATTGTGAATAAAATTCTTATATATTGTTATGAATGTGTAAAAGCTATTTCCCGGAATCAGATGACAAAAAAAGTAAAAAAACATAGTCACAATATCATGATTTGTATTGAAGCAATAGTTTAATAGTCAATGATCTCTCACTATTTTTAGACTACTTTCATTATACAGAGAACTAATGAATGTATCCTTTCCTTGAGCTTTTCTTTGTCCTTCCTCTGAACTTCAACTGCTTCTTCATGTAATCCAGGATCGTACGCGGCCACACTCGAGTAGCGTGAGCCTCATCCTTGAAGAGAAATGCAGATTCCATTTGCGGGAAGGCATGGTCATCCCTGGAGTTAAATGCAAAGTCTTCACCTGGATTACTCCTGGCTCCCCAAGGAGTAGAGGTCATCTGTTTTTGGTAATCCACACCCAAAACATCCTGTAAATGCGCAAAACATAGGTTTTTAAAGGTGCTAATTCCATCTCACATTGCATAGTACTGGAACTATATACATTTCAGGAATATCTTACAAAAGATAGACATAAAAAAATCATGCAACAAAATCTTTTCTTAAGTATCTTCAATTTTAGTTGTGTATCATACTGAAATAATTATATATAAAAGACAATCATCCATTGTCTTTTGATATTGTCTATTATCTAATGTAAACTTTGTAATGTTTAATCTTTTCTGTTTTAAGGATTGATGATCCTTGATGGAATTATCAGTGAAAGTGACAAAGGTCACAAAAACTAATGCTAGAATTAAGAAAAAAAAAAATGTCTTTACCTTGTTGTGGTCCGGAAGTATGGCCCTCAAGTCCGCAACCAAACATGACATTACAGTCAAGAAAAGTACGAATGAACATTTTAGTAAGCATGGATATGAATGCATTACTCCCTTTCCGCTGTGGCCAGTGTCCAAAGCAACCTCATGAACATTTATTTGTTTTCCAAATAAATGGTTCAGAAAATGCATGGGCTTGTGGTTTCCCTGGAAAAAATGTGCCTTTATAGAGGCTCTTGTTTTAACACGTGACACTGACTGTGACGCCATTTTGCTGTGGAACAAAGCTTTAGAAACTTGCTTTTCCTCCCACTCAAAGTGGATTAAATATGTTCAGCTACCTTCTATGTGGCATATTACCAATTTATTCATCTTAAATATGAATTGTCTTTTGTCGAACACAGGAGGTGGCGCTACTTAAGGAGCGTGAAAAGCCGAAACCGCAAAAGAGTAAAGGGCTGAATTCATAAATGCAGGAAGTCTTAATGAATAACTGTATTGGCCAAAGTGTGGCCGGCATGTAAAGCTCTGTGAAAGGACATATACATTTATGTCCTGCCTTTCCATCCAAGGGATAAATTGCTAATTTATAGTGACAAAAACACCTATATGATAACATCAGCAAGCACATTTTTATCAGTCTTAATCAGTGGAAGACAAATCAATCATACAAAAATATTAATTTATGATGAATAGTTTTGTAATAATACTTATTAGCTGGAACTGTGTCATATTGTGTTGAATGTAAAGTATTTGGTAAAACTATGAGTCTGAAATGGTGTTAACGCAGCAGGGTGTCTGAACTCTCATCAGTTCACTCCAACAGGATAAAAGACCTGGTAATTAGCTGAAAATATCCTATGGTGAGCTGTGCCTTTTATACAACCAAGACAAACTGTAAATAGATCTGGCTCAGGACACTGTGACCAGCAGGAAGATAAGTTTAAGGTAATGCTTTATTCCTTAGTGATATCCTGCAAACAGCCCGCTTTGTGAAGATATCCTGACAATTCTTTTTTCAACAACAAAAAACTGAAGAATTATGTAATGAAAACAAGTTTTGGCTCAATTTGATTTAATCTCAATAGTTTTTTCTGTTATCAATTACTTTTTACAGCTTGCTCTTCTGATCCAACAGGAAATAAGACACTTATTTAACAACAATTTATTTTTCAGAGTGGCTTTATTATCAAGAATTAAATGTCAACAATAATTTGTCAAAAGGGCTAATTTACCTCTTCTCATCTAAACAAAATGGCAACATAATGCAACTTCAATGTCATCTTCAACAAAGAAAACATTTAATCTAACTTACCACAAATCGTATTTAGACATCCTATAGATTCTCATATGAGCTTATACATTAAAATTATTCTTGACACTGTACAAGTATTGTTTGATAATCCAGGCACATTTTAAAAAGAACATTTGGGGATGATACATATATTTCCATTTGTTTCCATCAGCAGTCTCCGAAGGTGAGACATTGGAACAAAAAAAAAAAAAGGTACAGTACAAAAGATATTTAAGCACTATTGTTAATATGAAAACAGCTGTTTTATTTTACAACAGAGACGACTGCCAGCCAGCCCCAAACTAATCTTAATAGTCAACAGTAACATATGAAGGTGGAATGTCATTATTTTTCCAATTTTGTATATGCCACGTTTTATCCTCCTACTGAAAGAATGCATTACTCTCTATGTAGTGTTTCCTCTGTTATCATATTCAATAGTGGTATTTGGGACAATGAATGTCACTCCAAATCTGAAAAGACTAGTTTCAAGGATACGTTCTTTAAGATTATAAAATAATTCTTAAAATATTGCACTAATTCTCCTAGACAGGTTCCAGTCTGGACTCAGATTTTACCTGAATGTGCTCGAGTAGAATACAATGTCCTCAAAAAGAAAAAGAAAAAAGGTGATTACATTTGTATCGGGCTATCTGAGGGAACAGTCAGTGGATCCATTTGCACAGGACTTAATTTTTCACACTTTATACGAGTAGTGTACATAAAATTGTGCACTAAATTGGAGCAGTGAAATTATTTGGCCACCACAGCTTTTATGGTTTCCATTTGCTCTGTTGTTTAAATCAACCAGCAGCATAGACAACTGAAAGGACATCGCATACAGAGGAGGATCAAACCAAATCTACTTGGACAAAACGATTAGTTTTTTTTGTTTCATACAAATTAAACCTATGCAAGTATGAGCTCTGTCCTTCTTGCATGTTTCGGTAAAATCAGATGTGGAGCAAACTCTCAGACTGGGGAGCAAAATACAGTTAAACAAAAAAAAAACTAAACAACTAAAGGAGTGACACTTTTGTCCCTTCTAACTTCAAACATTTAATGTACACATGAACATAAAGGCTAATGTAAGGCAATGCACTTTTTGTCTCTAAAAATACCTCCAGGGCCCCACTAATACCTTGCTATTCCTCTGTTGTGTATAAAAAAAAAAGTAAATCGGCTAAATACAAGTATAAATTCTACAGGTCCAAGAAAAAAAAAGTTAAACCATTTAACAAGAAAAAAATCCATTATTTCCTCGCTAATTTCTTTAATCACAACACCTACTGACCCTTCAATTTACCATGAAACCTGAGCTTGTTCTTCCTGACATGTGAATAAAGCTAAAAATATATTTCCTCAAATTGCCCAGGAATAAAATCACAATGTAAATGCAGCAGAACTGTGGCAAGTCGTGGTATATGTAGTATATCATCAAACACAATGTGATTTTATAGAATATCTATACCAGTTAAAAAATAAGAAATGAAGAAGAAAAGCTAGGAAACTCTTCAGAGTTAAAAATAATCCTTCAGACTAGGTTGAAGCTTACAGGGAGGACCTGACACTTCAAGGAGGATGACTTTTTCCCCACAGCCATCACCAATGGTTACTTTTTGCTGTAAGAGACTAGTTAAGTCAAAAGGTAAATCAAAAGTAGGTCTTAAGACAAGAGGAAGGGAACTGAGTATTGCTCAACATTGGACTTTGGTGAACCTGATCAATGCTGCTCGGGTTATTTTGTAAAATGTTCCGTTATCATTAACACAGGAGGAGGTTTTGCTTAAAACATCAAACCGACCACAAATCTGTTGGAAACTGTTAGAATCACATGCCACAATAGCATGGCTAATGATATAAATGATAGAAACACCCTTTTTTGAGATAAATCCTAATAATCTCACTGCAGCCGCGTTGGGGCCATCATATCACCACTCGATCCCTACCAATGAGCTGAGTGGTGTCATCGTCACTGTGGTGCTGGTCCTCTCCAGCGTCATCACTGTCCGAGTCCGTGGACTCTTGAGGGGAGTAGTAGCCCTCGTAGCCCAGGATGGGGGAGTCGCAGTGAGCAGGGGAAGCCAGGCACTGGGCAGTTATGGTGGTGGTGGTGGCTGAATAGGCCCCTGGGCTGCCTGTCGGAGATCCAGGGTTGGAGGGCCGAAGCAGGGGAGTGCGCTCCGAGTCTGCATCGCCCTCTGTTCCATCCTCCACCCCACGGCCTCCGCTGTCCTCGTCAGATTCAGACTCCGAGTGCTCAGGGTTGTTGCGGGTGACACGCTGTTTGCACACGGGACAAGTCTTCTTGGACTGCGTGAGCCACGGGTCGACACACTTGCAGTGGTAGGCTGAAATTCAAGCAATGAGATTTCAAACGGTCAAGACGTGAGCAATTTACAAGCTGAAGGCTGACATGCACAACACGAGTCAGCAAAGTTATATCTTTTTTTTTTAAAATATTGTGATATATCATTCAAACAAAAAATGTACCATGTGAGCAAGGTAACACTCTCAGCTTGTCTCCTTCTTCGTATTCATCCAGACAGATAGCACATACATCATAGTCATCGCCTGTAATAGTTTAAGAAAAAGCTTCAAACAGGTTGAGGTTGTGGAAAACAGAACCTTGGTTACAGGACACTTTAAAAAAATATTCAACATCATGACAGTAAACACATCATGGTTATTTTACCTTTCCTGAACCTGTGTGTTGGAATTCGTTTTAGTTGTTCCTTGGTCAAACGATTTTTCCTCAACCTCTTTCTGTACTGCACACATCTTATAATCTGAGCAGAGAAAAGGCAGCCACCACTCGCGGTGTGAAACACACACTGACAGTAAATGACTAGCAAGTCTTGTTTTGTTTGTTAACTTCAGACCCCATCATTAATTTTAAGAACCTGATTTAGAAAAACAGACATTTTACTGCCTCAAACAAACCAAAGCATTTGTCTCGTGACTAAATAGTGCACCAAGAGAGGAAATTAAGCTGGTTCTAGCTCTGCTACAAAACAATAAGGTCATTGTTTTGCAAAACAAAGCAGGAAAACAAAAGCTTGTCTCTGGTAAGCATGGCCCTAATTCAATGTAGGAAAGCATAACAAAACTGTCCTAATAATTGTGACAATTTAGACTCATAATCGTTAAATTCATATCAAAGAATGAGCTAAATCCTTCTTCATAAGACACAAAGAAACTGTCATGTTACTTACCAAGATCACAGACATCACAACAATAATCATGCCCACCACTCCAGTGAATGGAATCAGGTAGTATGAAAGTGGAAAAGCAAATTCTGGCTTGAGAATCACATAGACCCTTCGATTCAGGAGAGAAACAGTGCATCAAAATTCAGAATGTGTTGGTTATGCAATACATACTGGAAAATGTTTAATATTTTAATATTTGAATGATGGCCAGCTTCCTTACCCTTGTTCTGGATTAATCAAACTCCTCAGGGTTTGTGAAGCATGAAAGCTGGTGAATACAGAGGGGATCTCAATCTGGTCTGCAATGGTATCTGGAAAAAAACAAAATGAGTCTTGATCACTCAAATTCTAAGATCCCTTATCAAGACCTTGTGGATGTGTGATCAGGGAGATAAGTATACTGTATTTGCTTACAGTTGCTAAAGTTCATGCTGAGCAGAGCCTCTGAATTCACGTTGTGAATGATTGCAGCGCTGTATCCAGCTTGCTGTGCGTTTAAAACCTGAAACCAGTTAATTATGTTAGCAAAGTTCACTTCACCAACAGCACAAATTCATCCACATTAATCAGCACCAACCTTTATATCAAAATTGCAATCAAAACGTCTGATGAGAGCGACAAATTTGGTAGTGTTGGCATCATACGGTGGCGGCAACAAAGGAGGGGGGTCCATTGCAACACATCCATTTAGTGGACGAGATGCCACCAAAATTCCCTGCCATACAGACACATGAGTTAACAGAAAGGAGTGATATCAATCAATGTCACGTGCAGCCTTTATCCAAAACTCTGAGTTTACCATTAATCCATCCTTAGGAAGTGGAGATCCAAACACAGCGGGCAGGTCCTCAAACAAAAAGGAGGTCATGTTTCTGTAATGCTGTCAAAAGAATTACTGCAGTCAGTTAAAAAAAAACCCAAAAATCAACAAGTTTCAGCAGAATCTGAAAAATTACTTGCTGGATAAAGCTGAGAAAATCCTATATTCAGTTTTAACTTACAACATATATGTATGCATGGGTAGGTGAAGGGACCAATATGCTGCAGAACACCAGTATAAGGACACTCAATTGAGCCCCCATACACCACGCGCCGAGGCCTGGCATTCTTTGTTACTCCCAGTTGCTCTAAAAAGAGACATGTATTTTAAAAATTGACACATCAGTATCAAGCGTCCAGTCTTCAAGGAGCAGAACAACTACTTCAAGTCGTGTCTGTTGCATTCCTTATGGATTAGACCCATTCAACCCAGGAAGTCCAGAGCTTTAAACTGATATCTGATACCTTTCTTTATGAGACCTGACAACCTTTTTCCAGAGACCTGGCAAAAAAAGTTTGAAAAGAAGGACAAGTACTCAGCTTCAGATGGCTTGGCTGCTCCAAGGAGGTCTCTGTGAATGCATGCTGCCAAACCACCTCAGAGTCCCTTGTTTGCATACTATGTAAATGTTTAAGTTTACCCCCCCAGAAGAGTCTGTTTTGTTTAGTAAAAAAAGTCAGCCCAAATCGAACATCTTAAGGCTGAAACCAAGGCACATAACTTCTGACTCAAGGATTGTTGTCACCTTAAAATGTTAGTTGTGAATTGTTTGTTTTTCTACAAATAATAATGTAAGTCATGGTCACATTTTCTTCACAATTTACATTAGTGTGGAAATAAGTAGAACAGTTGTTGATAAACGCAAACACAGCAAGAACAATAGGAGTATTTGTTTTCCTGAGAATCGATACCTGATAACCTTTTTAATGAGAACAGAAGATGTCCTATGATGTTCACTGTAAACATCATCAGAAGTCACCAGTGTGTTGTTAATATGGAAAACCACTTACCCTAGTGTCTTGCTAATGTATGCTCCGTCAGGGCTTTTAGGAAAATCGTGCCGTCTCACAAGAGTTTATCAGATTACCCAGTTTGTTTTCCTGTAAAATATAGCCGTATTTTCTCATTTGGTGTCTAACTTCATAAGAAAAAAACACAAACGGGAAGGATTACCGTTTTCTGACGTTTGGAGTGTTAGCAGGTTTAAAATAACAGTTATGTTCCGGTGTCGCCTCTTTTCTGTGGCCTGTTTACATATATTTAAACATAGTTAAGACATTTTCAAAGAGTAATAAATCCCACGATAAGAAAACACGAGAGCCTAAATAGTCAAATTAAACAAGTTGCATTAGCTTGCTACTGCTAGGATTGTTGTTGCTTTTCGGTCTACTTCCTCTTTATGTTGTGACTGACTCAACCTAATTTGGACCCACAGCGCCGCCTGCGGCCGTAGCGCAGAACAGCAATTCTCCCCGTGGCCACAGGATTCATGTTTCACACAAAACATCGCAGGCACCATATAATGATTCGTCTAAAACCATCCATGGTCTGAGAGAAGCTTTATTTAAGGCCACTGACACCTGTCATTCTGGTTTCATACGGAGTGAGAACAGAGAGAAAGATCTAGGTTGTATTACGTAAATGGCTGAAGATATGCAGAGGAAATGGAGATTTCCACATATGCAGATTTCGACTGACGAGTTCTCCCTGCATTGAAAAGGTGCAAATCTACTCATTCAGGTCCCTGTCTGTCTTGAAATGCATTTCCAGCCTTAGTGGCTGGAATGTTAAAGAGCTTATCCTCCACTTGCAATGCTTTAGGAATGAGGAAGTTGCTTTTGAATATGTGAGGCTGAAGAAGGATTACAGAACAGTAATGTAACAGTTATGACATACAGCAGAGGGCATCAAACTAAACAAAATATCATTTAAAAAAACAGATATGTTTGCAATTTGCTGTCAGCAGACCTTCATAGCTTCTTTAGTACTGCCCTCCAGTGGTTGGATCTCCACTGTAAGATTTTGTTTTGTTTGGTCTGGTTGTTTAATTGATATCCAGCTTATACAAAGATCAATTAAGTTTCAATGTAAATGTAAGGCCATTTTGTTCATTGTGTTTCAACATAAAAAATGACACGAGTTAATTAATGTTTACTGACAGTCAAAACATGAATGTAATGAGCCATCATGCACGTGTGGACAAGATGTTTTATGCCTTGCAGACTTTATCAGAAAAACAAGGACGTAATATCTCAGTAATGTTCTCCAGAACATGCCACATGTCTGTATCTCTGTACCGGAAAAGTGTTTGTATCACCAGCTGAGTATGAAGGTCACAATGATAAGGAAAGCCACAGCATTTTCTACATTACTCTGTTTTCCACTGCTCAGCTGCATTACTCAGCTCCCAAAGCTGGTTATGTTGAATTTCTGCTTCAAAGTCAAAACCATGCAGATAATATTGTGTAGTCCATACAGTGGCTCATTTCTTGTAGTTTAACATAATCTTCCTCAGAAATGAGCCCATGTCCATGAGGAACACAAATAAAATACATACAGACAGTAACTGAACCCACTCTTCTCACAATGCTAACCCCATAACCAGTATTTAGCCAGAAGCTTTGTATTGGTATCACATACAAAGACTGTGTTCACCGTCTCCTCTAAAATCTTCCTACTTTTCTGTATTGCTACATTTCAGTAAAAGAGAAAGCTGCTACTAAAAATACATATGCAAATTAGACAAGCTTGATAAATAGTGTTTAAAAAAATTTCCTTTGCAGTCACCAGTGGATGAAGCAGCATCACCAAAATTATTATTGGTATAAAGCATTTGTTCCATATGAAACTTCTTTAATGTTCTTGTTAAATTATGAAAGTGTTTTTACAGATGACATTACTTTAAAAATTACACTTTTTTTCTTTTTGGTTATGTAACTCACTTGCTTGAAACCAATGAAACTCTCAGTTAATCTTGTTTCTTTTTTCTAAATCTGACAATTTTTTCTTTTTGTCATGGTTAATTACTTTGTACCTACCTCATCTGTCTTCTGACTTTTTTCAATTAAAATTCAAAGATGACTAAACTGAAAGTATTTGAGAGAAAAATGACATTTTGGGTTGTAAATTTTAGTTTTGAAGGTGCCCAGATCTTTAGAAGAACAAGTACAGAATCCAGTCCAATCAAAGTAACAGCAGCATTTGGCTCACTTGTACACATTCATGTACTCACCCATCACACCCCAGGAACAAATTTCACCCATCCAGTGGTTTATCAAAGCTACATACCATCCATCCATTTTCGTAACCGCTTATTCCCTAATGGGCTAGCGGAGGGACTGGGGCCTATCCCAGTGGTCAATGGGCGAGAGGCGGGGTAAACCCTGGAAGGTCCGCCAGTCCATCAGTGGCCCACACAGAGACACACAAGGACAAACAACCACGCATACTCACTGCTAAGGGCCATTTGGAATGTCCAATCAACCTAACTTGCAGGTTTTTGGAAGCCTAGAGAGAACCCAGGCAGACACAGGGAGAACATGCAAACTCCTGGTTCCCCTGGTACTCGACCCCAGAACCTTCTTGCTGTGAGGAGATGGTGCTGACCACCACACCACCGTGCCGCCCAGCTACATATCAGAGAAAGCTTTTTTTCGTTTTTCTTTATTTCACATTTTCAGAGCTGGTGCATAAGCTGTTAATAGTGGGCTGGATTTTATGATCAGACTGAGAAAACTGACTGTTATGAGAAATTACACTAAAGTATCCAACAAAGATTTGTAGACAAGTCACAGCTGAGATAATTCCTTATGGAAATACACAAAAATAAAGTACAGGGACCACAGTAAATTGTTCCAGCTTTACATAACAGAGTGATGATAATCTGACAAACAGTTGAAAATGGAATAAAATACACAAAAAACAGAATTGTTTTGTGAAGTGCTTTACTCCAATCCCAACATTTTATGCTGCATTGAAATTAGACCCCCAAAAAAAAGAAGAAAGAAAGAAAAAAGTTATTTGAGAATACAAAGTCTGCCATGTTGCACCATGGTTTAAAAGCCAAATACAATCATCCACAGTAGTCATATCTGTGTTTCATCTTCTTTTATGCTTGCTGAGTCTTCTGGTAAGCCTGGATGACTGCAGTGACAAATCAGACCTGCCTTCCTCATAGAAAATGAGAAACACAGCACCTAATGATGAAATGAAAAGAAATTGTATTGTAGCTCACCAGCAACTATATTTACAGAATATCTTAACATAACTCATCTCCATGTTAACACTTACAAGAAGCCTTTTCCACAGCCCAGAGGTCCAAAGAACATTTCTGTTGGCAGGCACACCTTTCTACACACTCCACTGAGACTGGGACAAGACCAAGGAAAGGATGCCGCCTCATTTTCAACAACTGTAACCACAGAAAAAGAAGAACGTCAGCTCTTTTTTGGTCAATATCTTTTGCTTTAAGAAAAATATAAGTCGAGACATGCAGCAATGTGTCACAAGATCATGCAGAAATATTGCATAAAAACTCACCATTTAGCAGTAAGACAACTAGAATTGACAGAACAACTATACGATTCCAAAACATTGTTGCAGCTGATCGAGATGCTCCAAACTGAGAGTATGGCCTGGGTCTGTTTTTAGCTTAGTCCGAAGGGAGGAGTGAAGTTAATATGAAGCAGCAGACTGGTCACTAGGTTTCCTTCTTTATTACAGAATTATACATATCCTTAAGAGAACATGCCTTTCTTAATCACATTTAAGAAAACTGCATCACTGTTCCCGACCCATGACTAAATGTCATGGGACAAGTGATTAGGACATTTCCAAGAGACTACCTTACTCAACTGATTTAAAACACATGTGCATTTTAACTATATCATTTTCATGAGGGAACAAGCACACCATTGATATGATAAATGGAAATTATCACAAAAACTGCCACTAAGCCTTTCAATTCTGAGGGACTTGTGAAATAAAATTTTGATTAAAATACAATGTTTTCTGCTTTATAGATTATGAACTCAACCAGAAAGAGTCAGAATCATACTTTTAGGTTTAAAATGATGGATCCCCGCACATGCTCAACTGGATGTCCAGCCTCTGAGATTATCTGATCTGATTGAAGCCTGTTGAAGGACACATAAGTCAAACGAAGTAGCACCTTTGAAAATAACCTGTTTTTCATTTAGTCAGAAAATGTATCTTTCTCCTGCTCCCTAATGGTTCTGTCACCAAAATAACAGAGGCTGAAACCTCTTAAGGCAACACTCGTCTGGCAGGATTTTTGCTCTTGGGCTATTTCCTCAGAAGCCAATGAAAACATGCTACAAGATGGAGCTCTAATAAAAGAAGTGAGAAGAAACATACTGCATATTTTCTTGTACTGGGCGGCACAGTTACATGGTGGTTAAGGTTGTATCCTCACAGCAGGAAGATTCCTGATTTGAATCTCAGCTGGGGGCTCTCTGTGTGGGATTTGGATGTTCTCCATAAACATGCATGTTTTCTCTCCAGGAGCTCAAGTTCTCTCCCACAGTCCACAAACATGCCTTTTAGGCTAATTAGTGATTCTAAACTGACCTTTAGAGCTATTGTGAGTGTTCACAACAATATTGTTTTCCTTATTTTTCTTTGAAACACAAAACTATCCAAAAAGTGCCGATTAAATGCTAAGTGAAGAAATTAAGAAATGAAGCAGACATCAAATGCTGGTGAACTAATCTAATGATTAAAACATAATGGAGGTTGTAAGTATCTAACTACCTTAAATAACTTCATCCCTTGTGCAGAAAAAAACAAATCCATCTTCACAAGCTGTTTCCAAGTAGATATTCTTCAATTTAATTGTCAAGGGTGACAGTTTACCCACCAGGTCCTTAAATAGCATGAAGTGACATGATAACTCTGTATCCATCTGTCATTCGGTTTTTTTCCTCTGAGCCAGACTGACGTTGAATGCTGTGCAGCCTGCTTCTAAACTTTCTCTGTTTGATTTGAGATGGTTCATGTCCATTAGGATCATTATTTTCCCAAATCTCTACAATGAGGTACACAGTTATGGTGAAGACGTCTTGTTGCTCTGGGACCTGGTTCTATTAGGCCACACAACTTTGGTCAAAGTTGTGTGCCGTGACATTTCATCCACTGGGACTCTCAGGAACGTTCAGGCCTTGAACTGGATGCAACAAAGTTCAGTTCTATCAAGTTGTCATCACAATATTGAGCAAACTAACTGCTGTGAGAGGATGTATTTGAATATATTTTACAGACAAGAAGGCCAAACCAGATCTAGGCAGTGGCTGCTCATTATTCAGTTGGAAGCTGAAAGAGTGAAGCACCACCACGGTGCTACACCCCCACGGCTCTGCATATAACGTTAGAGACATGAGCCCAATTTTACAAAACTTGATCATAGAATTTTCTTCCGTATTGAATTTAGCTGTTTAGGACATTATGTGCAGCTGAATGAACAGTGTAGGTCAGACATTGAACAGACTTTTTTTTTTTTACTGTACTGAGGTAGTTAAACACAATTTGTGTAAGCCACAATGATAAAATATAATTGTTTCAAAATACGGTTTTAAATGGCATTATCTGAGGATCGAAACTTTCCGACACTGTTCCATCATTGTTGCATCAGTGTTTTCCAAAGGGAAGTCATTACTTTGTTTCCCCCTGTCCTCATCCGTATTCTCCAGGTGGTGTCCAAAGAGGTCTCCACTGTGACAAAACAGGAGAGCTAATTACTTTCCGGAGGAATTAGCAATGCAACGTGAACTTATGGCCTCTAATGTGTTGCTTATTGACCCTTCAAATTAGAATTTGACCAGAAGTAGCTCACGTACCCAGGCACATAAGTTTGAATATGATCCAAAACCATATAAAAAGTCATTAGATTATGACCTCAAAATAAATTTGAAAAAGATTTAGAGACATCTGAATGATCTTTTTTTTTTTAAAGCTAGTTTAAAAACTGCATATTGAGGTAGCTGCACTGGCTATGTGTCAGCAACTTCATTAGCGCCCTTGTTTTCAGAATTTGGAACTCATCTGTGCAAACTCTGAGCTTTCCAAACATCTAAAGATGGACAGGCTCAACTATGATTTAGTGATTTGAACCTGGAGTGCAACTGCATTGTCAGTTATCATTAACCCCAGTTAAAGGTAAAATGCTTCAAAATGCCTTAATTTTTTTCCTCACAATTAAAATAACTCCTTGTGCATTAGCTAAATTGCTGTATCACCTTACTTTACTTTTGGATACGTGTGTCTTAAACTCAGGTCTTTTACGTGACTCCCCTGAAAACAAAAAACAAATCTCTGTAACTCACACAATTCAAAGAGAGGTTTGTGAAGATTTTCTTTTTGTCCAAAGTGGCAAAATCCTTAATTATGCAATTTAAAAGTTCACTTTACAACTCGTGAGTTTTATTGATAGTTTAATTTCTTTTGATTAGCTCTGGAATGAGTGTGTGCTGCTTCTTATCTGTTCAATGTCTCTAATATGTGCAAACATCGTGCAGATGTTTCTGCCACGTTTCCTACAATCAAGGATCTGTTCACCCGACACACTCAATTATGCAAGTGGTTTTAAATGCCTCTGGGGGTCAGCACATTCTCATAGAAAGAAAAATGAGGCCTTTTTTGTGGAGTTTGTAAGTTGTTCATGTGTTCATGTGCTTGTATTAATTTTTTCTCCACATGCTGCAAATTGTTAGACTAAGAGGAATACACACAGGTTTCTTTTGATCATTAAATGAATTACCACAGCCTCGTGTGTAATTCAAAAGTATGCAAGTAATTTAACCTTGACTGAATTTTTGTAGCCACTATTTAATGATTTGTTTGTACTTCTGCATAAGCGTAACCACAATTTTACGATGTGAACGTCAACTGATCGAAAGTTAAAATCCTTATTCACTACAAATAAGTATTACTACCAGCATGTATGGGCACATTCTTTTAATTATGTTCTTTGGGGTGATTATTTGGGTGATGTATAATCTATATATACAGATGATCAACAATAATCTTAAATCAATGCTCCCAAACAATTATCTCCTTTTGTCCAACTTCCAGATTTTTTTTAAAATTATTTGCTCAGTATTTCAATATACTATTTAAGTGTTGTTAAACTCTGTAAAAGATTAACTGAGCTTTAGAACACACCGGTGCCCTTAAAAATGTAGAAGTCTATTGCTGTATGGAACCCCCCCTCATTGTTTTTCTAACATAGAAATTGTGTGCAGCATGAAGAATCAACATGCTCATTAGTGGTCAGTATATTACATCCCCCTGGAAGCAATTAAAAGTGACTTTTAATGAGAGTGAAACTTGACCGGTAAACAATACCCCAAAGTAAAATTAAAATCAACAGAGGAGCCTTAAACTTCCTCTAATGTTTTTTTTGTAAAAATAAATAAATAATAAATTGTCACAAATGTTGAAACTTCAAAGTTAATACTCAAACCAAAAACTTGTGAATCCCCAGATCTGGGAAAGCACGGTCAGGTGTGAAATGTGAAAAAAATTGGAATAACGCAATATGTTAATATATTTCACAGGGTAAATGATCATTCACAACTGTAACAGATTATTTTTAGTGAGGGTCAAATTATCTTGCAACAACTGATACCATGAAAATAACAAGAAAGTTCAAGGTGTCATAAACACTGAGATTTGGTGCTCACATTTGTATTGGATAAATATGGTCCCTATATATTAAGTTAATCTTAAATAGCTTCAAAAAGACATCATCGAACCATGATGTCATCATTAGTATAGACAATGGCATGATGTGACTAAACAAATCAGATTTGGCCTCCTGCGTGGATGCTGTGAAGTCATTAGAGCAATGACGAGAACACGTGACTTTTTTCATTGGAGAAGAATATAAAGCTGAAGTGCTGCTCAATCCAGATAAAGGCAGGTAAGAAACTCTAATGTGAACTTGTTTCATGTGGGCTCTTCTGTTCTTCCAGCATGAGAAACCTGACTGTTGTGACATCTTTTCACCTTACTGAATACTATGGGATGGAAGAACTGAAGTCAGTGTACTTCGCCATTTTCCTGATCGTCTATTTAACCATCATTATTGAGAACGTTTTATTGATTGAGGTCATTTATCGTGAAAAATCCCTTCACGAGCCGATGTATGTGTTATTGTGTAATTTGGCTGTGAACGAGCTGTATGGAAGCACTGCTCTCCTGCCCGCACTGCTGATCAACATACTGTCTCGCTCACATGAAATATCCCTATCGTTTTGTCAGTTACAGGTCTTTGCTGTACACACATATGCCATGACTGAATTTACTATTCTCGCAGCGATGAGCTACGACAGGTTTGTGGCTATTTGTTATCCTCTGTATTACCATACAATCATGTCACAGAAGTTGGTCAAACTGATTGTTTCCATGTGGCTTTACCCTATGCTGGCATTTCTGATTGTTATCATTTTTACCCTCCTGGTGCCGTATTGTGGAAGAACCATAGAAAAAGTGTACTGTGCTAATTACTTACTTGTAAGATTGTCATGTACGGATAAATTTGTTTTGAACATTATTGGCCTACTATCTGTTGTTCTTTATGCTGGTCCACAGCTCATTATGATCTTTTATTCATATTCACACATCCTAAGGATTTGTGTATTGTCATACAGTACATCCAAGTTCAAAGCCTTCCGGACATGCACTCCACACTTACTAGCTATCATCAATTATTCTATTGGATGCTTTTTTGAAATTGCACAAGGCCGATTTGACAGTAGTCACATGTCTTATAATACAAGGTTGTTTTTGTCTCTTTACTTTTTGATATGTCCACCACTTCTGAATCCAGCAATCTATGGTTTCAATACGCAGTTCATAAGGAAAAGAATTGTCAGGCTTTTCAGCAAAAAACCTAAACAAGTTAACATGGTGTAACAGAGACATGGGATGCTGTGGACTTAAAAAATACTCTGAATGGTGCTGAGAACTGTGGAAATCTGTGCACACTTTGTTTAGAGCTCCAGTTTCCGACAGAATTAGACAAATGTGAAAAAAATCCGAGTAGTGCTGTTTTTAAATGATGTCAGTCTGAATGTTCTGTTACAGGAACAATACACTTTTCCGTACTCACGTTCCTCGTCTGGTCTTACAAGGACATTTAGACAAAGCATGATATGCAACTGGTAAAATTATCAAGTGATTAATGTCTAACTTGTTTGTAAATTGTTTCACCATTGCTTGTGATGATTATATTGACTACACAACTGCTTTTTATAGACACATTCTTCCCTGCCTAAGACTTTATCTTTGCTTGTTCTTGTTTTGTTTTATATACATAGACCTATTCAGTTCATTGTTGGCCCTATATGGGGGACAACAATGACTGAACTGAAAAGCAACAAAATGTGATGTATTTATTCTGTTTCATGACTTTCATTAGTTTACAAGCATTTTAATAGAAGTGAAAGTCATATATGTAATCTATCTGAAAATAAGGCGCAGATGTAGTCTGCTAAATATATTTTGCAATACTAATTAATAAAGTAAAGCTGTTCCAGTCAGTACATGACATTTTGCCTATGATCATTTAATTTTTCTACTTTGTTTCCTAAGGGACATTAATACAGTTATGAATATTAATAAATGGCTGCACCCCCAATGCATTAACCATTTTTGGAAACAAAATAAGTTGTTCAAAAGTTCATCCATCTATGCATGGAAATCATTACAAAATTATCAAAATTATGGTAGTCTAAATCTTCTGACTCAAAATGTTCACCCCCAGATATTTCTGACACAATTCCGTTTTAGTGCCCTTAATCTGTCTGAGGGTCATAGGTCAAATAGCAATAACATGCATCTTAGATTGATGTGGTGCAGGTGTATGGCAGAACCGCCTGACTTTATCATGAACAATATGAATGGAAAAAGACATTCTGTCTCCTTTGAATATTAAAAATAATATTGAAAATTGAATGTCTGAGGTTTTTTGTCTGGTCTGTGGTTGTTACCGTTAGTCACCCGAGCAACAAAAGTGACAAAAGACAGAAATAAAACATGTTTCATAAGAGTTACAGCAAGTCTTGTGTGCACTTCAACAAGAATTTATTTAATAAAAAAGTAATGTAGCTACAGTGTGCAGAGTGAGTCAGTTTCAAAATGACATGGTAGTGTGTTTTAGTTTTACAAAGCATGCTTTTACATTAAACATTTAATAAATACAGTTATTCATCTTTTAATGGTGAACACTTACAAAATTATCATATATTCTGGTCAATTTCTATTAGAAGAACTAAAAATACATTGTGGTGCTCGTGTGCTCGTGGGTGGATGTGGGTGGGGAAGATAACAACAGTATTCTCTGAACCAAACGCACTTAGAATTACAAAACTGTCTTACAAACAACCAGGTAGACAGCATGCATACAAAAATAGACAACTAATCTGATCATTCCTTTGTAATTTACAACATTAGTTCATTATTGCCAAGCATCATATTTTTGTGCATCTGCTTTGAGGAATGCCTTGCTTTCTAAATCTTCACTTATCTCTCTTAAAAAGGTACAATGTACATTCACTATCACTGAGGCACAGCACTTGATGTACAATTTGAATACGTACCCCAAAACATTGTGTATTCACTGTGGTTGGAATGTAATATTAAATATATATGTATATATGTTTAACACCCTTTACACTCAGAATAAACATACCCATGAATTAAACAAACATGCATGATGAAATGTTGCGTACACCCAAAAAATGCCTGTTCAGAGCAGATTAAGTACACTATTCCAGCATAATGTTCGGAAACAATTCAGTGGAGGTGGCCATGCATGTGAGCGATATTGTAGAAGCCCCCAGGCAATGTTTGACGTGAACACAAAGTGCTTATTTTCCATAAACCCTGCAAATCTTGGTAATTTCACAAAGCCATAAATCTTTTGCTCTCCCTTCCTCATCTTAGAGACAAAAGAGTGATGAGGTAAAGAGGGACACCAAATCCTTGAGCTCCTGCACGCTGAGTGAAGGTAGAGGAGGAGTAATAGGGGAGGAGATGGACAGATGAGTGGGGAAAAGATGGTTCTTGGTGATTTTTGTCTTCCTCGGGGGGGAAAGCCAGCAGCCTGAGGCACAGCCAGAGATGACTCTGAATTGGTAATCCTTAACAGGTTACCCCAAAAAACCCATTGAGTGATTTCTGTCTTGAAGGGGGACATTCTGTAGGAGAATAATATCATTAATTCCTAATAGATGCGACTGTACAGACAAAAGCAGTGCTTAAAAGTGCGATACCTTCAGTGAGCTATGGAGCATTCGCAAGCGCTGAAGCTTCTCATTAAGCAGCGGGTCTCTGCGGACAAAGGACCGCTTGTACTCTAGGCGACCAGCTGATCTGTGGTCAGTAGCGGACAGATTGGTCTGCTCCAGAGCCCGGTACAAGTCCACCAGTGAGTCTGTCTGCAGCCGGCAGTCACGTCCACGGCCTAGCAAAAAAGACAAGCAATAGTCAAGAATTTCCCAACTCACTTTATTGAGATCATACCTCTAAATCAACTCTCTATTCTTGTTAATACAGTGTAGTGATCGTAAAGAATAAAACTTTATTAAAAATATTGAGGGTTTTCAGGGGATAAAAAACTACCACTATAAGCTTTCATTTATATATTTCTTACCTTGAAAAGAAATATGAAAACAAAAAGACATTTGCTCCTATTAAAAGATAATTGACTTTTTCATCATGTTCGCCAATATTATGAATACTTCAATCGTAAGCCATGAAAGTGTGCATTATTGTAACAGGTCTAACTAGTTGAATTTTTTCACAAAATTTTAGAGATTGAAACAATACTCTACAGCTCACTATAGGCTCAAATAAAACTTTGGTTGGTCTTGTAGTTCATTAAAATGCAAGCATCAAAAGTCATTTTCAGACAGGATATAGGTAGCTAATAGATCCAACAGCCTTTTACATTGTTTATATTGAGTTCATTTCCATCTTCGGTCCATCATGCTTTAACTTAGGCAAGTTAAAGGTAAGAATGTGGAAGTTTTGTCACAAGGGAAGAAACGTGGCTGTGAACACAAAATACCTCCCACTAAAAAGTCATCCAATTAATTTACAAAGACGCCTCATCTCTTGTTTAAACACACTGCCCTCTGTTGGCATCTAATGCACATTGCACCACACATTATGATCCTTTCTTCAAGGGGGTGGATTTTGAAGCTTTGGGGCTGCTCTTTGAAATTTATCATGCTTTGTTTGCTGTCTGTTTTGTGTCGGCCTTGTCTTTATTGGAAGCGGTGGATAGTATGGATGGGGGAGCAATAGATAAATGAGGACATGAAGACAAGACCTCAGGCATGTTTCTTTCTCCTGTTCAGAATTCAAGATTAACATAGGCTGAAAGGACTCTTCCTCCCTTCTCCATCCGAACAGTGCTGAGAGGCACAATAGCATCTCGATCAGAGGCGGGGGGGTGGGGGGCAACAAAGGAGAGATAGAATGAGTCTGAGTGTATATAAACAGAGAAATGGAGTGCAGAATGCCAAGATAAATCAGTATCAAACAAGACATTAAATTTGATCTCACTTGGACAACTACCCCAGAGGTCTTGGCACGATGCCAAATAAGCTGGCTTCATCTCCAATCCAATAAAGCAATAACGGCAAGAAGTCAACCTCTGACATTTCCTGGCTCTAAATGCCTGTTATGGACTTTAATGAAATACCTGATGATAAATAAATGCATTTGTTAAATCCCAAGCGCATGATAGACTGAGCGGCATGCAGTCCTGCTAAAAGACATTTACACATCAGGGTCATTTAATTGGTCGTGCTAAAAGTGATTTCTTGACCTTCTCTAACTATGCACCACCAACCTTTAACACCCCTGTAGACCTGTCAGATCAACTCAGGTAGGCCTTCATCTGCACCAGATCTGTTATAGTCAATTAGTTCAAACCGCCATTTAACTCGGTGTCAGTAAAGGCTTGTGATGTTGGAATTCTTCATGGTCTGACATGCAAACGTGCACCCTTGGTACTAGTAGAAGCTGTAAAATGCAATCATTTCCACATTTCATCTGTCACTTATGACAATTTAATTCAAATTCAGTAAATGTACTGTTTTCTAGATTACCTAACTACTTGCCACTTGCTCTCTGAGTGACGTGCATTTCTAACTTTACCTGCTAGGACTAAGCGCGATGGAAAATGGATGGATGTCATGAAACAGATTCTAACCTCTCATTTTAATGTTTATATTTGCATATTTTTGTTAAAATTCGTGTGAGGACTGAGTCTGACCAGTGTCTCCACCTCGATCCAGGTGGTAGTGCTGGGGTTCCCTCTGATCCGATGCGGCGGCAGAGGCAGCCAGGATGGCGTGGAGGCCGCTGTCCCGGGGAAGTGTGAAGCTGCGAGGTTTTCCTCCGGCGTCTGAATCAATACTGGCCCTGAGGGGCAGTGGAAGGGCCCTGTACTGTTCTTGCAGCAGGCTGCGCTGTGCAGGCAGAGTGGACTGCCTGCGGTACTCCATGGCCAGCTGGTCTCTGTCCTCAGACTGCAGAGATTCCGCAACGGGAAACGTCTGGAGGTAGTGCATCCTCGTGTTGCTCTCCCTCTGGTCCTGCCATGAATTTCGGTGGCTGCCCGTCTTCTGCCCAGGGGAGATGCTGTTATTGCTGCTGCTTTCCTGAGGCTCTGAATGGAATTCCTCGTGAGAGGAACGTGAATGAAAGGTGTCAGAGGAGGAAACGTGGCCACGCTTTGGCTCCAGGTAGGGACTCACCTAAACACAGATTTATGCAAATAAGGAATTACACTGTGTCAAAGAAGAAGACACTTGCCTCATATTTGATAACAGCAGTGTATAAACTCACAGACGATGCCCTGGGATAGGTATCGTAAGGTGGCGGTGGACTGTCCTGTTTGGGCATTGGGGGCATCTCCATGTCCTCATGATCACTCTCACTCCAGTAATCTAAATCACGATTAAACATGTATGATATATTGCTTCACGGAAAAATCTAATCAAGCTCTTTAAATGATGAATAGAAGGAATTCTAGTTGTGATATGACTCATACATATGTAACATGTTCTGTGTGAATGGGGCAGAAAGCTCAGATTCTAAATATGTGCTCTGGCTGCGTTGCCTCAGGGTGAGTGTGATGAAGCATAAATCTGAAAAGTGAGAATTTCCGGGGAAGATTTCTGGAGGTGTTGAAGATCTGATTTAGCATTTTACCTATAAAAAGTAAGCTTCCCTCCATAAACCAATGACAGACCTCTCACACTTCAATCTTGGCAAAGTTTTTATGTAGGCTTCGCTAAATAGCTGAAGTGTTAGTTACATTAGTTCCTGTCCATTTGTAAAGAAGCCAACGGTGATCAAATACGAAAAATAATAAGACCTGCTTTCCGCATCAGCTGAAAGCAGAGCTAGCCTGCATGAAGTAAATTTGAAATGCCTCTGCTGCTGACCTAGAAATACGATCTATTTATTGAATTCAATACATTGCATCAACATGCAAAATCAAATAGGCTTTATGTTAAATTTGGTCCAATAATCCTTAGATGAATGATGTATGAAATGGGGGCTACAATCTGCCCCTGGGCTGTACCTTGAGTAACAGTCAATTAGTACAACAAGCTCAATAGTTAGGATCCGCTTTTTTTTTGTAAAATGTTTCATATCCCAAAAAGTTTGATATATTGTTGTTTAAACTGACATAGTTTAATCGTTTATGGGTTTTGTGTGTGTCTAACATTACTCTAATGCTTTTGGAGACTCCTGCTTTAAGTGTATCACTCTACCCACACACTTTTCATATATAGCCTTGTCTGTCTGAACTGAAATTGTCCGAACTAACCGAAAATCCCATTTGTCTGAGAAGATTGCCATTTTATTCACTGCGCAGTGAGCTCTTCGTGTTCGGTGCTGAAATAAGTTCTTCAGTAGGAATCTGCTATAGCATCTATTTATATTGTTTGTGGGCTATTTAAATATTAATGTTTTTTCTATCACTTTTTGGATGTGTATGTCAACATTATAGATGCCAATCACAATAGATAAATCATAAAAATAACTTGAACTGCCAGAACATGCTCAAATGTACTTCTTTAAGACATCTCTTGCTTTATCCCGTTCCTTTTTTTCTTTTTTTTTCTCATTATCTTTTTTTTCCCAGTCATCAGTAATTGGACAGAGCAGGTATTGGAAGTCAGTGTTAAATTAAAGTCAGCTCCATCTAAAATCTTCCATCTGAAAACAACAGCATGCTATGCAAGGTTTTATGAACAAGAACCGTGACTAATCTCACCCTGGTCCTGGCGCATACTCTCCTGCTCGGCATAACCTGCAACGGCCATGCTGAGACGGCTCAGCCACCTGTGGGGGGGATAACATTTGTGACGCACTGCAGGTCAACAGCCAATGAAACACCTCGTGTGTGAGTCCCACTCTGCTGTTAGGTGAGCGGGTGGTCCGGTGGGTGCATGTGTGGACAGTGAGGGTTCAAATGCAGGACTTGGGGAGTTTTCAGCAAGCCTATCAAAGCGTGGAAAACTCACCGGGACATGTCATCTACATTTTCCGCAGCGAAGTAAAAGGTCTTTATTTTTGGATGGCAAGCCTTGAAAGCACTGAAAAGAAAGAGGTTTAACCTTGTGTGAGAACAAATAGGACATTCTTTACAGTAAATAACATTAATTAATGTTATTTAATGCAGCTCTGGGCCAACCATAAGCAAACTACATGTTTATTTGATTTTATCTGAAGTTTGAATGAGCAACCTCATAAAAACATTAATATTGAGCCTCTTGTACAAGATTACCTTTAAGATGCGATTATCTCTGTGAAACTGTCGGTGTCAGCTAACAGATGTATAAATTGTATTTGAGAAACCTATCTCTAAAATCCTTGTTAAAATTTGAGGCTTAATTAGATAACACTCTAAAATCTCTGTTATAGAAAAAAAAATCTATACTCACTATTTCCTTCTGCATTCAGTAGCGCGATCAATTTTGAATTCCGGCAGGCTGACAAACCCCTCCGCTTTCTCATCCTGAGACCAGCAAAAGTAGATTTGAATCAAATTTTTGCTTTTAAATGAATCAAAAGTTTCAGGGGATGATGTGTTTTAAGAAAGTCTCCGTACTCACCTCTTCGTTCATGTACCAGTACAGGCAGGTATCTTTCAGGATGAACCAGTACTTTTTCCACTTCTGCGAAAAGTAGGTTTTAGCATCTTTCTTCTTCCACAGCCAGCCCTGACAGTCCCCCTGACCCAGGTCCCTGCAGGAGATCCGCCGCTTACTGATGGAAGCCATGGGGCTTCCAGCTGATAGTGGGTACACAGAGCAGACGAGGGGGTCACAAAACAATCCTCACAAAAGAAGCAGCTGCACATAAATGTATTTGAGGAAACATATGCACTTAAGGAAATCTCAACCAATATTTGTTCTACCTTTATTCTTCTTTTTAGACCTTGACAGCAGCGAGGAACGCTCAAACACCTGCAGACATAAAAAGATTGATGACATCCAACAGATTCTAGCACTACTATGTGCTCCCACTGCTACTTCTTACTTCTCACAGGCACATAAGGGACTGACATGATATAGGGATGCAGAGTCAGAGCTGGACGTGGACAGCGAAACTTGCATCTGGAGGGCTGGTACTAGTGTGTAATGGGTCGGGCTGCTTCCCCGCTCCATCTTCCTTCTGTTCTGACTCAGGCTGCGGCCCAGCAGGAAGTTCTCCCCATGGGGTTTGTCTTCACTGGCAAAACGCATCAGGGAGTTCTCTACAAAGACAAAACAGTAGCAAACTCAGCACTAGTAGTACACAAAAGGGGCTGGTCAATGAATACCGGTAATTATATTAAACTGCAAATGTTGTGCAAGCAGATAGGATATACAGAAACATTAAAAGACGAAGCAACCTCATCTGGTCATAAGTGTAACCACCTGTGAGGTGTAAAGATGCCCTCACTAAGTTATTCTGACTAGGTGGACTTATTATGAGTTAAGTGGATAAGTTATTTTTTATATGTTTAAAAACTTTACTTTTTTACTTTTATTTCAAATTATTTTTACCCAAACAATATCACTTTGACTACAAATTAAAGTTTTAATTTAAGTCTAATACATTTTAAACATTTCATAACCGTTCCATTCAAACCATGTGGTAAGCCATCGCTGAATTTTCGGGTGAAAACATTGTCCTCTCCAGTGCGATGAATGCCACAGGGGGAACCAATCAAAAATTATCTATATGATCAGCTGATCACTTTGGTTTCTGTGATCAGTAGAGGGTGATGTTTTAGAAAACCTGCACTTTAATTGCTTGGAATGCATTGAACAAGATGACAGAAAAACTGTTGTCGGGCAGGAAGCCCTAAAAACAAGTACCTCTTGTAGATAAACATAGCACCATCAGTTTTCCTGAAAAGCCTAAGGGGGCAACCATTATCCTCAGAGGAAACAAACACCTCATTCAAGTCTTTTTCTGATTCTGATGTAAAAAGGTGCAGTCTCTTCCTGCTGCATTTACCATCAAGCTTAACACTCATCACGGATATGTGAACATCTCAGGAAAATATATCCACACAGTTGCCAAAGCAACAGTGTACTTTTTATATCCCAACAGAAAGAAACGGCCAAGCTGAGAGCAACTGGGACAGAGGGATGAAGGGGAAAAAGGGAGCAGAGATAGATTATGAACATATGGAGGAGATACAGGCAGGAACTGATATCCAGCATGTTATCAGTTTTGACAGGCCAGCTCACGCTTCTACTTCTTGGCACCAAGATCTGAGAGGGTGAGGATATTATGAGATATCCACCCCCTCGCCCCAGCTCCCTCTGTCCTTCTCTGCCTCCCTTTCTTTTTTTTTTCTTTCTCCCACTGCCTCCCACTCACCTCTCCTGCTCTCTCTCCTCGGCTTCGGCAGGTCCTCGTTGTCTCCCACCCAGTTGTATTCCACTGGCATTGAGATGGGCCTGAGCCTGCCTGCAGCAAGGAGACATGAGCATTGTCAGAGCTGCACAGCTGCCCACACAGGCATCACACAGCTGCAGATGTCTCCAAAACACCTAGAAACATACACCCGTCGCATTCGAAGGGCTTTGTATTCTGAGGTCTCACGATCACAGAGATGCAACCTCATATAAGACAAGAAGTCTTACCATAGGTAGGAGTGCTCCCCCTACGGACTGATGCTGTTTCTTGGTTCTGATCATACTCGTAGCAGTAAAGTATAGCATCCTCCTCCACCAGGGGAAACCGGCGTCGGCACTCCTGGTCAAGGTAGGAGTTTGGTGACTCAGATCCTTCTGCGGCTTGGAGATCGGATTGAGGGTCTTCATCCTGCATGTTTCCCTTGTCATCTCTTTGGAGACAGACAGCAACATGTCAGTCAGACAACTAAAAAAGAATACCAGCAGCATTTAAGCTCACATGTAAAGGGGAAAAAAAGGCAATCATCTTAGACTTAACAAATCCGTTAAAGTTCACAGTTGAGTTTTTCTACCAGTTCATCACTATGACTCACATATTCATTTGTGAGTTTTTTATAGCATGGGCTCACATGGACAACCAGGCTATTGCGGCATGTTGTACAGTTTATTCCATCAGATAATAGTTCCAGTGGTGAACTATAACCCCAAAGCAAACAGGTTAGGGTTTGGGTTCAGATCTGAGTCGATATGTTTCTGTTTTAAATGTGGGCATTGTACAGATGGCATATATAAAGTATTTTAGGCTGAACATCAGTGACAGGGCCACTTAAAAACTGCGGGGTTTACATGCAGTATCAAAGGTATTAATAGCAGTTTCCAGTGTCTAAACTTGTGTTGATAGATGTTCACATTTGTCTGATAAATTATGAAAATGATTTATAGTTTTCTGAACTGTCAAACCACTTTACAAAAAAGGATAACATGATAAAGCCACAAAAATAACTTGTATTTCAACATCATCAAAAAGGATGATAAATCAATTCCAAATAAGTTATGTAAAAAAAAATGTAATTTGCTATTACAGCTGCTCTACCATTCACTAGAATATAAAGATAAATCACGCTGACAGTGGAAATAGGCTTCCTTTGATATTCGGTGAAACTAGCACTGTGTATTAACCTTTAAGTGTTTTATGTGTACTTGTGTTCACCTGGGGGTGTAGGGCTCTGCTGGAGGAGGGGGGATATAGAGGTCCTGCAGGGCACAGCTACTCCTCCTGGAAGGAGTGCTTAAAGTGCTGGTGGGCGTAGCGACACTGCTGCTGGGGCTCTGAGGGAAGATTGGCTGTATGTAAGTGAGTGTTTGTGCAAGTGTGAGAATGTGGGAAAGCCAGAGAGACAGTCAGACAGAGAGGAAGAGGGAGAGAAACAATTACAGGATTTGACACGATGAAAACAGTCCACAAAGTTATGGACGATGAAGCTCAGCATCTCACTTGTGAAATGAACAGTGCATATAATGAAGTGCCCCAATTCCAAATGTCGCACAGAGGAGGACAGCCTACAATTCAGTCTAGTTGCCCCTCTCAAAGTCTAATGGAAACATACACATAGTATGTTCATGAGCGCAAGCTAATAATCTTGCAAATTTTGTTAAAAGTGGGAGCAAAGTAATAATCAGGCATTTTAAAGTAGCGAATTCAACAAAAGAGGAAAAGGTAGTAACAGTTCTCAAATGAAACCACGTACACTTAATCCTATAATCACCAATGTTTATTCTATTTAATGAACATTAAAATAGAATTAATGTGATGCTTATACTTAACATGATTTTTCAATAAGCCTGTTAATAGTACACAAAATGAAGATCCAAAAAACTACATCCTTTTCTCTTTTTTTCCTCACTTTAGTCCCAAAATATTGCCTGCAGGTGAGGACATGAAGGGGGAGGAGGCTGAGCAAGACTGTGCCTTAGAGCCTCTGGGGAGAGAAAGCCTTTACTTTGGAATGGGACTCAAAGAAAGCCTGAGCTACTTTAATACTAAGTTCTCTCGTTTCCACCAAATCTGGCACTGGAACACAATCCAAATATTGTAACTGGTTTGGCTGAAGTAGGACAGCAGATGTCATTTATGGATGAAATGTTAACATTTGAATGAATAATGTCGGTGCCTAAAACTAATTTGTCACAAAGGGTAACTTGACTATCCTTAAGCTTTAAAATGATAATTTGGTAATGTGAAATTGCAGTCCTTGTAGCAGGGAATTGTTCCATTTCTAAACAATGAGCTGTTCTTACTCATCATTGTCACACAACAATATTCTGTTCATTTCTGGGACATTGGAAGTGATAGTCATCAACAGTCTATGACATCTTAGGCACGGGAACAAACACAAAAACACATCAATAAACACACAAAAACAAGCCTACTTAAAGCAGTCGTCATACCTGCAGAGCTAATGGTTTCCATCTCATGTTTTTGAGCAGAGCAGGGGTTGATGTGAGGGTGCTTTGTGGGCGCTTCTTTAAAGTTAAAGTCACACCGGCAGGGTCCCCTCGCAACAGGTTCACAAGGTTTTTGAGCTGCCAGCCCACCTAACAAACAAGAATAGTATGGGAAAGCTACAAAAACACTCATTTTTCAGCATTCTGTAAGAGGATATTTAAGGGATTTGATTCTGTTTATAAAAACGATAGATTTGCTCTTCTTAATACTTGGAGGCCTAATCCTCTTTATATAGAGGTCGATCTGGGATGCGTACAATCTACAGCAGAGCCTGCAGTCTCTGAGGTCCATGTTGATGGGGCAAAAGCAGAGTTGGAGGCCAAGGGCATCATCATATATAACTCCTGCTGCTGTGAGCTCCCTCTCTTTAACCCAGTTTTCTTAATATTTGTCACTAAAAAGCATCCTGCTCAAAAGCCATAGTCCAAATGTGAACCGAATATGCCAAGTCTGGTTTGGGAAGAAAAAAACTTTCATTGCTTGGATGACTGCACAAAATTGAACTGCATATTGTGCACATATTCACAGCAGTCTAAGAGACCGGCCACTTTTCAGGCTCTGAAGTCGTGCTTAGTCGTTTAGTTTGCAGCCAGGATATTCTTTTTATTTGCCATCCATAACACAAAAATGCCAAGCTGAGAGTGACAAACGCATTAAATTCCAAAGCCTTTCTCTTTTCTGAGAAAAACAAGCAAATTAATTAATTAATTAATTAATTCACCATGCACAAAGAGTGGATCTGTGATTTAGAACAGCAACTAAATCCCATTTGGGATTCAGTTTAATCAAATCTAAACTACGGTAATCTAAAACATTTGCATATTACTCTTTTGTTTTAGGCCCTCCACTGTGACTGACCATCATAGCACAAAATATTAAACTGACACCATAAAGCGACCAACTAAGCTTACAAAAAAAACATATTATTGTCAGTATAGAGCTCTCTTGGCTCACTTCTTTGTCCATTGCATCAGCAGACTTCTTTACATCTACCCTCTGTGGAAAAAGATGTTTGATACCTCATCACTGCACACTCCTAGCTTCCTTAATGATTAAACTAATGGAATTATTCTTTTATCTTTTCTTCACTGTTAAAACCTGTATGTAGCTTTTCTTTGTGGAACCTCTAAGGGTAAGTTTAACAACATCAAACTTCACTCCAATTTGTTCATAGCTATGTGCCACACTGGATTAAAAGTAGCATCAGAATTTAAGATGGTTGTGGCTATCCTTCAAAGTGACAATGCAATTCTGGCCCATCAGACATGTCAGCTGTGTTTACGTGCAGTGTCACCTACTTAAGCTGTCAAACTCACTCAGCAGCTGCTCACTCAGCAAGAGCCGCAACAGGACACCTTTCATTTTCCAACATCTGTCTTAGAGCACGTGTTCCAGCGCCCCACCACACATTAATACTACACAATAAATACAACATAATAATCTCAATGTATTACTGTTCCCATGTGGTTTATCAGAAACAAATCTAATGCAAATTAGTCAAAAAATCCATCCAGTAAATCAACCCTCTGTTCTATTTAGGCATTTCAGCACTGCAAATGCATTATCTATTGTATCACAATTAAAGTTATTAATTACACTGTCATGTTAGGATAAAAAAATAGCTACATTAATAGTGCTGTTTTGATGCCTCTTCAGGCTTCCTCTATTAACAGAGACCAATAACTTCCTGATTTTTTTTAGAAGTCTTTAAACTCTGTGTGCTCCAGTGACAAGAAAGAGTCCTGACACCCTCAACTCTGTATTTCCAATTATTCTCAGTAAGAAAGACCCCATTCAGTGGGTGAGCTGAGTGACTGATATGAACAAATGTGTAATTATCATACGTCCTGCTGTTGTAGACCCAGGCAGCAATTTATTTTAACAATAGTGTCTATATTTAAATTCTGCACCCCAGGACATTTTTCTCTTGTATTTAAAATAAGATATGTATTCCTCAGCAGCAAGCCCCCTTTTGTCTCATGTCTCATTGGAAAAAATCAATACAGGGTCAATAAGCCATTTACAGCTGACTTTTTCAAATATTATAGAAAGCGAGAAGCAAACTTTATGCAGATTTTGCTAAGGATGGCTTACTTGGCTGTTAGTCATACCTGCATGAAACTGCAAAAATAGCATAGTCCCCAAGCAAGCTCAACTAAATGGAATTCCATTGATTCTAAACATTCTGAATCCCTTCCGTCCCTCTCCTGTTACAAGACGTGAAAATGTCTGCTGTTAGAATGGTTCATTTGCACTCAGAAGGAAGCTGTGCACAGCTCAGAATAATGAGATGTCACCAAACACCCATGTCAGACTAACAGGAATGAATAGCATCACACAGCTCTAGCACAGCACATTAGTTAAGCAGGTATTTCTTGATCTGCTTTTATCCGACAATCCAGGTAACTCAGTGATGCATAAACGAACATGTCCGTGCAGTGAACAACATGAAGGTTCTGGCACAAGAGACACTACAGCAAGCAAAGTAACGTGACAGCAGAGGTGTTGTGGAGTCTAACTGTGGGAATAATGAGCTACAGATAAATACAGAGCTACTGATTTTACATGCACATATTTCGTAAGCCGGTTGGTTATTTATAGTCAAAAAAGTATGCAGACATTTGCTTTAACGTCTGCAAATGTAAATGAAAAATGCAAATTAACAAAGTATATGTGAAGGACACTTGAACATTCTTCAGTCTTACCACTGTCTGATGATTGACCTGAATGACTTCATCTCCTGCATGGATTTTCTTACAGCGGTCAGCCAGGGACTAATGGAGACACAGAGAAACACTTAAACACGTTACGCCCCAGGCTATCTATTCCAATGGTGTTGTTTGGAAGAGAAAAACTATTAAAATACAGTCAGTAACAGCTATACAACTATTCAGTAGAGAAAACCATTCTATAACCCTAAAATATAACCTCTACGTGCATGTCGCCAGACCAGATTAAGAAATGACACTTATTCATCTGATCAAAATTGACTATTTCAGAGCAAATACCAGACTAATAATAATTCATTATGATACAAATAGATTTTAACCTATTGGAATTGTATTACAACAAGAAATGTTACAACCATTTTTTTTATAGTAGAGGCTGGAAGTCTCTACTGTTGGGATGTGCTTACATCACAATACAGCCAGACCCAGTGGAGGGTTCTCCAGTGAGGAAGAGGTTAAGTGGCTCACTTCAGTCTGTGAATTGTACTTCAAGTGAATGAATAGTGAGATGAACAAAGCTGACCACAAAGAGGCTTGTACTTACTCCTTCAGTGGTTCCAGTGATTACGTGCAAACCATCATACGTTGATTTGATATACATGCCCTGAGGGAATACAGTAATAATATTGATTGTCATCTTTTGAAGCAAACATTCATAATGCACATAAAAATTCAATCTCCAAGTTCAGCCCCAGAATCATTTGCAAAACAGACCAGGGTAATTTCATATTTGCAAATCTACTTTAATCTGTTTGGAGTGCAAAATGGGTAGAAATCTGGCTTTATCTGTCATTTTACAGCAGCAGTAAAAGCTTGGATTTGTCTCCTAAATTCTTGGCAGTGATGTAAAACATCACAGTGTGTACTTTTCAAATGTACCTGCCACATTTTGAATTTATGTCATGCAGTCAGTCCCACTCAAATCTGCTTCCAAGCTGATTAAATCGAACATGAATGATTACATATCTGCAAACACTGCTGGTCTTTTGCAAATTAGCTCGAAACTCGGAGCCTTCACTAAAATGCATCTAAAGTGGCCGCACAAACACATGTGCACAACTGTGTCGCACACAGATAGGCAGAAGCAGCATGCCAGTCTTCAAGATGAGCGGAAGAGGTTTATTTTTAGGCCACTTGGCCCACTGTTGTGTTCAGGGTTCGCTGAACGGATGAGAGAACCTTCATGCCCAATACAAGCCTTTCTGTGGGGGTGGGGCTGTTTTTGTGGCCCCAAGCAACGTGCTTGTGTCTGAGTGTAGGTCAGTGCCAAGATGGAGTTCAGAAAAATGCCAAAGAAACAAACTGCATGTGCAGCTAAACAAAAAAGCCCAAGCATGTTGGGTAGTTGTCGCAGTGTAGTTTGTGCAAAGACGATGTTCCAATGTGGCCAACGTGTTATTTTTCTGTTGAATGTTATCAGCTGACTCATGTGCCCACCAGCTCAGCAAAACCCAGTTCTGGCACAGAAGGCTGCATTAGATACTGGATAGTATAGCAGCGCCTTGTTTATAACTGACCTCAATTCGTTTAATCTCACCGCAAATAAACGAACAAATTAAAAACTCTGGACGACAAAGGAAAAAAGTGTTTGGAGCTGATTGGGCTGATTTGGCTACAAACCCAATACAGGGTTTTTAAAGGCCTGAAGCACCTCAAATAAATCTAGATTTGATTCATCATGCAGATGTGAGGGATTTTAGATCTCATACCTCTTGAGGTAGACTAGAAATATGTATTTTTATCTTCTGGGCCAAGTAACCTTTTTTGGAAAAAGCCTCAGCACTTGGTCACTTCATGACCCAAAAAGACCTACATAAGTTTTCTGTGCCTGAAATAGAAAACCAACTCTATACAAGTTTTTATTTTTTATATTTAGGACAAAATATATCAGGAAAAGTTAGTATTGGAAATGAGCAGGTCAATTAATTGCATTTGCATTGCGTAAGAGACATGCTGCACATGCTAAGTTTAAATAACACAAGAAAAGTTGTCAAAAGTCATGCTGTTATGATTTTTGTCATTAGTAGGTACCATTATGTAGGATTAGATACTGTTTTGTACTTTACTTTTTTGGTATCTTTTTCCTCATTTCATAAAACCTGGAAAACAATTTTACACCTTTATATATTCGCACAAACTGAATTTGATTTCAGTAAACCTACAGAAGAATGTTGAGCATGTACTGAATGCCTACAGATTTTTGTGTGATTGACAGCTCAGGGATCATCCACCATTTGACTGAATGATGTACTCAAACACTAATAATTCAACATGTAGGCCTTGACTGCTATAAAATGTTGATCAACTATGTAGCTAACTTTATGTAAAGCTCATATTCCCACTCACCTAATGACAGAATACACACATGCTCCATGGCAGCAAAGAAATTATGTAAATTCATTTTTCAGGATGTATGTATTGATTTATTGTCAATAAGTATTTGTTGATTTCAATTCATGATTTAAGGGATATCCAAAATATTAGTCTCATCCAACTCTTTAGTCTGGCTATTCGGACCCATTTTTTTGGTGGCTGAGAGGATTTAATATTCCCAAGCCAATCATTAAAGACCAACATACCCACTTGACCTCGGCTTGACAGCAGCATTAGCCCCATCATGGTACAGATGGGCTAATTGGTAGTCCTCCCACAGTGCTCATTGGACCGTTTGCTTGTTCGAATGAAAAACTGCTGGTACACAGCCAGTCGAATCAGTCAACTCAATTAAGGGGACTTATTGAAAGATTTAGATCTAGAAAGAGCATGAGGACAATCTACATTGAAAAGAAGTCTTCAATGTCCCTTTCAGAAAATAAAATGTGCTACTCTTTCTCTCTCTGTTATAAAGTGGAAATTGCTCTGACCTGCTAGCTTCACATCCTCCTCAATTTCATTTTGAAATAGCTATGACATTTCTATTGTATTGGACTCATCATACATTGCCAGATCTCCAAAGTAAACACCTTAATGTCAACATGAAGTCTGATGATGCATCATTGAGCACAGCGTGTCTATGGTATAATCAGGTGACTTCTGAGAATTTAAATTAGGCAAAAACAAATATTACTTTAGCTATTAATGGCGTAAACACATAACCTTAAATTTGACGATGTCATCTTGTATATGTATACATTGATACTTAAACTTTAATTTTGTTCTTAAAAGTGGATTAATTTAATTAAAGTTTTCAATTCGATCTTAATAAAATAGAGATCGGTTATTTTGTAGATAATCAAAATGCCCTTTTTACTGTCATTGTGTTTTTCATATGCATGTGATTTAAGTTCTAGAGCCTCGTTAATACAACGAGAGCAAATTCGATACTCAGTATATATTTTGCTGTGTAACATAACACAGTGGAAGTCTGAATGAGGGTTAGTCTTACCAAGCCTTCAGTGGATTTTATGTTGGCTAGCTGCACAACCTCCAGATGTGCAGACTGGGACACCATGGGATCCGAGGACAGTGAGATAATTTGTTCGCACACTTCAGACAGAGTCTTACACTGACAAGGACACATAAGAAATTATTACAGTTTAAACGTGTGCACTTCATTTTCTTAAAGAAAATTCAGACACTTACCACATGTAGTATCTTGTTTTCTGTTTCATACACAGAGCAGTCCTGGGGAACATTCAGAGAAAACTGTTACCTCAAGAGAATTTGCCTAAATTGAGTTATTATTGGCATTCCTGCTGTAGGTGGATATAAGCAAAAATTGAGCAGCTTGGCACCTATAACCCCCAACACTCCCACACAGGCATGCACAAACACAAAACAAATGAGTCACCAATGCGGAGGCAAGTCTCTTTATTACTCTCTGCCAGTCTTCCTCTCTCTCAGCCTTTAGTTCTGTCTGTTTTGCCCTCTTTCACTCCAAACTTTTCCCCCGCATTAATATTTTTCTGACCACCAAATCAACATTTATTCCATCCAGACTAGGCTAGAAACTACCGAGTTTCACTTCCTACACAGTTTATGGCACCCTTTTCCACTGACTCTTATCATGCATCAGCTGTGTGTGGAAATGAACATACTGAAATTAAAATCTACCCTGAATTATTTGACCAAATAAGATATTCTAAAAAAAAATGCTGTGGTCTTAGCAACATAAGGTGATTATATAAACCAGTTTGTGCTCGTCGAACACTGATTGCTTAATGTGTCGTCTGTGTGTGGTCTGAGGAGTCTTACCTTGCTGGGCTTAAGTTGAAAGCGATTGCATGCTTTTATACAGTTTATTTACCTGTTGCACAATTGTAGTGAGCTCTAGACACAGCTGGATCACATTGTTTCTGGTCACAGAATAATCTGCCACTGAGGCAAATGGAGACCTGAAAAAGAAGGAGCACCTGTACTGAACCATTAGATCATTCTTCCTCTGAAGGCTAATCACTGGTAAACATGTGGAAATGTGCATTTTGATATTAAAGCATATAAACACGTTTTTTTAAAGGTTGTAAACTCATAATTACAACTATCTCAACATTTATACAAACTTGTCCTAAATCAAAAACATCTTATTTCTTACAAGATGTGTATTCTTTATTAATAGATAAAAGGAGAATGTGTATAATGAATTTCTTGTAATAATCCTGTTCTCACTATTCTATGCTACCCACATCACCTAAAGCTTTGTTTAGTTAGAATTCACACATTTCTGCAGTCTAATTTCCTCAATAATTATACATTTTCAAACTTGAAAGTGAAACAGAATATGAATTTTCGCTGGATGAAAGCTGAGAATTCTCACTGTTTTATGAGGGACAGCAAAAGCAAATCACTGTTCTGTTGGAAGTTGTCAGCTTTGAACTTCCAAATTCATCAAAAACACAAAAGGCCCACAAACACAGGCGCAATCCCACAGAGAAAAAAGGGATAAAATATAAATAGACTTGTTCAGTGTCTTTTTGGCCACAATGTCAGAATCCACTTATATAAGGCTTTAGTCATTTCTCCCTGTTAGCTGATTGGGCACAGACATTATAGAAAAATAGGACTGGTCTAAATGCCACAGGATAAGAAAAACCACACAGTGCCGCTGTTTTCCGAAGCCTAATTTCAATGTCTGACTAGCTGCAAACCCTGCTGGAAAAACATTCATCCAAATCAGTCAAATATCAGTGTAAATCTTCATGTTTTATTGGTTATTTCAAAGTCACTAATTCAAACTGTATATCAATACATCTAAGCGTGTATAGATGAATGTGCATTGATGCAAATATCCAGATGCTGGCTGAATTGATTCCACCTTTTTGCAAATCTCACCTGTCCAGCCATGCGAGGAGGCTCTTGGCAGCTGCGATAAGGTCAACCACAGAGGTAAGGAAGTCATTGGGCAACTTGCAAGTGGCTCTGCCGTCATAATGGCCACTGCGCCTTCGGCCAGTGATGAAGTTTTGCAGGTTCTTAGCAGATGCACTGAGCTTATGAGACAGCGTTTTCAGATTTTCCGTCTCCAGACCATAATTCTAGAGGGGAGAGGAAAAGAAATTCTCTTTGTTTGATCGCCTTTTCTGGGTTCGTTTCAACTGTGCGCTTTGCGACAATTTCCCCGGCAGACAGAAGACTGGAGCCTGCTGCTGTAATGCCGATGCACAGTGATCAGCAGAAGCAACCCAGATCCACCTTGTCTCACAACAGAAATGCTGCAGATGTCAACAAATATGCGAAAGCAGCTGTCGCTTTGAATAGCTACGAATAGCTGAACACTCATAACCCCGCAAGCTGCACGTGCAGGCTAATGGCGTCTTTCACATCAGAATTTCTCGGGAGATGGGCGCACAGCAGGAGGGCCACTAATCATATTTAATACAGGAGTGCCTGACAGACTTAAAACTAAACCCCAGTTACATAAGAAGCTTTGGGGCTGAAGCAAGGCCCCCTGCGCAGGGATGAAGGATGAGAGGTGTTTAGATTCAAATTGCATCTGCAACCTTGGTCCACTAAATCTCCATATAGTTTCTCTAAAGGTCTCTAGAGTTACAAACCCATCTGCATCTATCTTTCACCCACCTGTCATCAGCCCAGCTTCAAAATCATCTATCATCTGTCCCTTTAAGTTACTTTTGTTCGACTGATTTTGGGTTCGAGAGGAGAGCACTGGAATGTAATGCTGGGTGTAACTGGAGACCATTGAGGTTTACCTTACTAGTGTCAGAGACTCCTGTGTAAAGGAGAGTGTGCAGTAAATCATCAGGTGCTGGCAGTCAGACAAAACACGTGTGACATTTTGGCAAAGACATCTGAACTAATTTAGAAAATATGGATGCAGCTTCTCTGCTTTTTTGTGGGTATTTTTTCATTGTAGGTTGTTTGTATAAAGTGAGGCTACTGAACAGATCGTTCAACAGATCCACAAGGCTTCAAACTTCCCACGCATCAAAATGACATATTTTAGAAAATAAAGTTGTTGTTTTTTGCCGTTACATTCCAAATATAATTGCAGAACATGTATAAAAAGTCTGAACGTAGATCAAAAATTCTCTTTTTAACAAAGTGGTATGAAATACACAGCCGCATAAAACCAGAAGTGGAGATTTAAGGGAAAACTGTTACATAAAAATTGAGTTTCTCTTTAAATCTTTGCTTCAGGGATTTTTTACTGGTACAACATCATTTTAAGTAAGACTAAAAATTCTTGTAGTTTAAGTTATTCCCTTTGATATAGTCTCTTGTAGTCTTTTATAGATAATGTTTCAATCCTTGTCTTTGCTCTCAACAGAGAGCAGAATAGTTGCGCCATAGAAGCTGTGAAAGCCTCCAGCTGATATAATGTGATCCCATTAACAACTTCCAAAGAATTACAAAGCATTCGAACAACAGGCCTAAACTGACTGCACTGCCTGATTCTATCAACAGATACTGAGTACATTTTTCTCTGACAGGTTCAGTATCAGCTTTTGTTCCTCTATGTTGTTGCCAATGTCAGGCACAAGGTAACTTACATCACTGAATTACAATGTGAAAAACTTGACATTAGTCAAATCAGTAGAGCAGCAGTCTATCAGGCTGACACACTTTAATATGAGGCTGTAATCCACGCCAGCACTAATGATAGATTTAAGATTTGTCTGCCTGAAGAGGACATTCTGGCCAGATTACTGACTCCTGCAGATCTGATATTTTAGAATTAGGTCTGAAGGCAACCCCTTTATCACCAGCATATACCACTCATTACTGGCAGGGTTAACTTTTCACTAGCAAAAACCTTTTCAGCCTCAAATTAGTTTATACACTCAGACTTTTCAATAATTTGATAAAACATTTGGCACAAACTTTGTTCCCGAGTCTGTGAAACTACTGCAAAGGGTAGTGGGAAGATGGCGTGGGAAGCATGGACTCACCAGAGCACAGAGTAGGTCCACAGCCTCCAAGATGAGCTCCTGGTGGCCAATTCTGGACACCCCCAAATCTTCCAGCTCCTGGTGGGTGATACGCAGCAGCTGGTCCCCCCCTACTTTCTCCTTTTCGAAGGTCTTGATGTACTGCTGCAGGCAGTCATCCAGACCTGAGGGAGTCACACCAGAAAACGTTCAGCCCAGCTTGGCAAATTGAAAAAAATATATATATATTTTTTCCTATGTTGTGAAACCTCCATTCTGAGTATATGTTCTAACAGGGCTTAATATTCCTGTCCTTGCCAGCAAATGTTCCATAAATCTGTCAGGTGTGTTAGCACAGGTTGTATTTTGCAGTTTTCAAGTGTGAAAACAGTCTGTGTCAAAGGAGCCATCTTGACACATACCACCCCCTTTTCAACAATCCTATGCTGCTGTTACCGCTTTAATCTAGAAAAGGCTTTCAATTAAACAGGTTTCTGAGTCTGTACTTGGCTCATTTTAGATATTTCACCTCACATGTGTGAGGTCTTTTGGAATGAAACAAACTGAATGGCTCTGCAACTCCTGTATGCATTAACAGCCCCATGCTTTACATTCTGGATATTCATAAGTGGAATATAAGCAAATAGGGATATTATAATAGATCAAATATAGAGCATACATTGTACAGACAAAAATCAGCAGAATTCTGTTAATTTAACATCAAAATAACATATATTATTTTTAATTCTCTTAGTGAAATTCTTTCTTTATAACTCATCAGTGCAGTTTAGTACAATGGATTTTATACTCCTTTATAAACTCCTTTTTAAATAATTTATAGATTAATTGGGTAAACAAAAAAATCACATTATGTCTCTAATTACTATAATATAGTATGTTTATTATATCAAACATAAGGATCAGAGAAGAATCTTGCTAGTAGAAGATCTACATGGTCATCTACTATTATTTACCATTGATGAGGGAAAGAGTAGTTTTTGTATGGCTTATTTTATACAACCAGCTACATTCCCATTGTTCTGTCCCTATTCCCTGTTGCTCTCTCTTTCACACACACTGACAACTCTTTCCCCATCTTGTTTTTTTCCCGCGGTGGACCAATCATATACATGGGACTCTGAGCCTAAACTTGATCAGGTATTCACGTCGGGTTTAGCTGGCAGCTAAATGGTGGAAGGGAGACATAGGGAGCTCCATGGTTTTGCGCACCACTTAAAGGCTTAACTAATCAGCCTCTTTACCAAGTTAATTGAGACTCATTATGTCAAAGAAGTATACCCATGTTGCCATAGAAACCACAAAGCAGGTTTTTGGCAGGGATACTCAATGACCGCGGGGTTAAATAAAGAAAATAAGTGAAGGGAGGACATAATGCCTGCAACATTCAACTGACCTCATGGGAATAACCAAGAATCACAAAGGGATTTAGAAACATTTAAATGATAGTGTACTACGTTGTACGGTGCTATATTGATTGTTGAAGGACAAGCAATGGTAATAACGGGACATTGTGAAATCGATTAGAATACATTTTCTTTTAAAATGCAATATTTGTTATCATACTAACGCAGAAACCCAAAGTCCTGTCTAGACGGATCTTGGTTCACGGATTGCGCTAAGTGATTCCCTTACATTGTTTTTCCTGTCTATATAAACGGTTTACATGAGAAATTAAAAGCGATGACATCTCCTGATCTCCAATCTAGATAATCTACTTGTAATATATAGAGGCAAAAGCTCCTCAAGGCTGTCTGGACTGGTGTAAAAGCTTTGTTCTAATCTGAGCAGTCATTGATCAGTGTCAATGAGACAGTCCGACCCGGGCAGAGAGAGTGTAAGTGTGCTCTGGAGAAAGATTCAACTGCTACATTTTATCAAACAGAAATGGCCTTTGTGCACACTTTAAAACAATACTGAATTTGGTCAGCTACTCAAACAGAGGAATCCTCATATCACATATATGTTTGCTCACATGCCACTCACTTGGGAAGACAAAAGGAAATGTTTTAGTCAGAGCTGGAATTCTTCTCAGTAGAGATGAGACTCCTGTTCAAACAGCATTGTCTCAACTGTGAATAGAGCATCTAGTTCACACAAAACCAACTCGGGGTGGATAGAGGGGCTGTGGGAAGGTCACAGGGTGCCCCTCTTTGGCCTCCAGTGACATCACAGGGTGGTATGCTAATAATGGAACTTGTGAATGCTGAGACAAAATGCTGCCAGACCTCTGAGCTTCAAGATGGATATGAGAGTAGAACGAAACCCCCGCTCTACTGTTTCCTCTGCCTCGGTTTCTCTCACTGCCACTTTTGTCCCTCACTTCAAATTACCATTACTGGGCACAGAAACCGTCTCTGCTCTACTTGTCATATATGGGACACTGAGAAGCACTCGTTTCTATCCGAGCTCCACTTCTCATCCCCTGCTTTTTTCACTTTTCTTCTACATATCTAACAAGGATTCATTTGAACTGTTGTGGTCATACTGTCATAGACTATTTCAGCATTTGGTCGTTCCTCTTTGGCAAGATTTCAATCCCGCAGGGAGCTTATAGACACACGTTTACACTTGTGAAAAGACCTCGTTGGAGGGCTGCATCACGCCCAGGTACTGCTCAGTAGTACACATGATCCAGAACACGTGTGGTCTGATGGCCGTGATCTGAGCACACACAGACGACCTATAGGCTGAGCGTTATGGTGATGCACGGTTGCGTGTGTGTGCGTTGAAGCAGTGAAGATGTATGGTTGTGACAGTTTCATGTGGAGGCCTGTGGCCTGACACGTGAGCACATGGCCCTGCAAAACACACACATCACTGAAACAATTATCGTGTTATAAGACAAACACGCGCAGGCAGATGACTGCACCCCCCCCTACTCGGATTAGAATTTCTTCTTACATTTGCTTGCGGTAACAACTTTCGAACGCAAAGAGAAGCAGCAAAGCTGATGACGAATCCGTGCACTGAGAGTGGGCCGAGGATGTAAATCCTGCACAGCTGTTTGGAGCATTTACACTTCTTTGGATCACAGGAAACACTAATCTGACACAGCTTCCACATTAGGTGAAAGACAAATTAATTGCGACAACTTCCCCCTATTTCCAGCTTTTCACAAAGTACAGTTGTCAGGCGTCCCTTGAAAGCCAAAAGAACATTCTGAAACCAGCCTGAGTCAACTTCATCAAATCGTATTTATCTGGTGTGAGCCCAAATAAAAAGATGTCCCTAAAGACCTATTGAGAAATAAATTCTGTGGAATTTTTCATTGTAATTCAGGATTTTAACTATCAAGCCAGTGTTATCCTCCTCTAAGTCATCTGTGACTTTTTGAGGACTTTTAAGCATATATGGATAAACACTGGGCACAGATGGCTTTGAAAGCTCAGAAAATAGCTGTGCTTTATTCTGTGCTCACAGTTTAAGGCTCTGTCAATAACTTAAGCCCTTTTTTTTTTTCTCGAAGCCCAGATTTGAACCCACCAGCCAGTGGGATCTGTGAGCATGTCTGTGTAATTACTGGATCTCTGTGTTTCCCAGCCTCCCGCACGGCAGCCCTGGGTTAACAATGACCACCGCAGGACACAATGGCTCTAAACCCGTTTTGGTCTTTCTGAATGATGCGCCAGGCTCTGGGGCTCGAGCCTGTCTGAGAGGACAAGTGGATTCCACGTTACAGTTCGGAGAAATCGATTCAATGAATTGGGAGGTCATTAAAAGCCCCGAGAACCCGATGATGAGACACAGAATCTGCAGGCTCCGCAGGTGTTTGGTTTTCTTTTGCTTTCAGAGCGTTTTCGTGCAACACAACATGAAACACAGTGGTTAGATGGGAATGGATCTCCACTGGGCAGTCACGGTGCCAGAAGCCTACCTTTCATCCAGTCAACCACTTGACTGGAGCTCCACTTGCTCACGGGCTCCATTACCAGTGCCATGGAAGAAGTTTGTCTTGACGCCTCACAAAAGAAAAACACACCCCAAAAAAATCAACCCCCCACTCCGATCGGGAGGGGGTGGGGTGGGGGGGGGTGGACGACTGTGCAAAAAAATTCTTAGAATCAATGCAAAAGTCTCTGGAGATTCGTTTCTATCGGGTTCGAGTGTTTACAAACAAACCGAGGTAGGTCCGAGACGTCCAAACGCCGATAAGATATGCCTGAGTGGAGCCCTGCGCAGTTGTGCACATTCCGACGCTATTCGCGCTTTTGAAAGAGGTCTTTTACTTATCATTCACGTCAGGCTCGGTGGCGGTGATGCTGGTGGGTCCCTGACGCCCGAAGCCTCTTCCAAAATACATCCCAGTTCCATCCAGAGCCGCGAACAACGCGCAGACTGTTACTGACTCCGTGCCGCTGTCTGGAGAGGCTGAATTGGCTGTGAGCATCCTCCCTCCCCTTCACCAGAGATGTAGTCATAGCCCTCACAGCCTCCACCATGCCAAGCCCTCGGTATGAGGGGTGATTAGTGCCACAGGAGCAGGGGGGGAGGGTGGCTTCCCCTCAGAGTTTGTGTGTATGGACCTCATGTAGAGGAAATAGTACTTTTCCAGGGTCAGCTGTGATGCCAGGTTACAAGTCTTCCATTCTTAAAGCCTTTTAGTCCAACCTCAAATGAAGTGTGAATGCCACAGCTTTCCTCTGGGCTCTTTATTATTGACAGCATTGCTTTTGTTAAGGAGAGTATTATGTAAAGATGTTTATGTTATTAAGATAGATTATTTAGATAGATATTTTAATCAGCAAATAATGTGCCATTTGGGGATTTCACAATATCTTTTAACCCAGTTGTAAAATTCTGCTCAGCTATGGGTAAAAAACTTTTGAATATATTGCTCTCACTTAAACTTGTGTTTGTTTATCTAATTGATTTAAACTTAAATGCTCATCTGTGGTAACAGTGTCATTTCCAAACAGAAATGCTCTAATTGAATACTTGTATACTCATCATCTTCCTTGCGTAATGAATTCTGCCAGAGCATTGATCTCTCTGAATGAGAGACATTGTAAATACCTTTCATAAAATAATCAAGTGCGCTGTGGCCGGCAAACGAACAAGCAGAAAGAGTCAACCTCAATCATCTGTCGCCATAATCTCTAAACTCAGCCAGCACTTTTCTGCTTGTGTTAGTCATCATCGGCTTTGCTCTGCCACCCCCACCCCCAATAACAACAGTTTACCACCAACAGAATGAATTTAAGATAAGTTATGAATTGTGTTTTCACTGGTTTGAGTGTATGCTAGAGGTCTCCAAACATAATGTTCCCCCCTATTCTACTGAGAACCATTAGATAAATACACAGAAGAGAAGCCTATTTAGAAGTAGCTGCACATATTTTGTAAAGTGTCAACAAGGGGTGCAGTAATGTTTAGTCAGTCGCTGCAATCATCAGCCCACGGTGGTGATTTCAGTTCCTTCAAACCCCCTATTTCATCCCCACAGACCACATGAACTGAAGATCAAGTCTGTTAGCACATGCGTGAGCAGCAGCACTGATGGCTCGCTGCTTAAAAGAGAACATCCCTTCCTTTCTTCTGGGGCAGTGCAGCAATCTGACCAAGGCAAATGTAATGAAGCCCAATCAGCATGATGGGTGCTCTCCCAATGGTTTCTGCACATTACCTCCAAAGCCCGCCGGCACTAATCACCCTTCATACAGGCCACTGTTTTTGCTGCTGCCTTTGTCGCTGCTCACGCCTCCGTCACACAAAGCTCAGTGTAGTGGAACGATGGTCACCGACGATGCAAGGATGCCTGTTTTTTCATGAGCGAGTAAACGGCTTCGGGGTATAAGTCAATATTCACTGCCTGAACGCTCAATATGCCTCCACTTTTAAACAGATCGTAGGGGGAAAAAGTAAATATTGATGATAACACAAACATGATTGTGTGTACAATGTTTGCTATCCGGAGATAACGAGCAAGTGTTTGTCTCTTTTAGCTCTTTATCATTATTATTCTTATTGGTAGTATAATCATTTTTATTATTTGTTGTAATGATAATAGTCCTGTGTTTTTGTTGTTGTTGAGTCCACATTCTTATCTTAATTAGCATTTTTCAATTATGGTAGTCTATATAAACAGATATTTCATTTTAACAGTACCTTTTAAAAACCTTTTAAACTGAAGTCTAGATTTGAAGACGACACGGACATTTGAGGGTATTCACATTCAAATTTATATAAGCAAATTAGCCATGAGGCTCTTTTTTTATACTCAGGCATATGTAAATGCTCCAGTGACACAAAAGCTGTTTCCTGAGCAGGTCTACGCCATCATTTTAACATTATAATTTTATTCATTAAAAACACAGCTCACAAAATGTAGCCAAAGACGTTCTCGGAGCAAGTTAATCAAGCTGTTGGGAGGCAAAAAAACACAGAGATAAGAGATCTTTCATGCACACATAGAGAGCATTGTCCTAATCCTTTTTTTATATAGATAATGATTGCAGCCAAGTCTCCAGAAGGTGGGCATACTATCCAAAGCTACCATAAATAGAAAACTGTATGAGAGTAAGTATGGAAGGTTCACCACTGGTGGCAAGTCATTTATAGGCCTCAAAAATAGAAATTACAGAGAATATAGTGCCAAAAACCTTCTTAGAAAACCAGGATGGTTACAATTCTGTTGCCATAATGCCAAACACGACAAGGAAAAAAAAAAAGAAAACCAGGATGTTTCTGGAACTACTATTGGAGACATTAAACACAAATACATCTGAGCAGAATGACTGGAGGACCTGAAGCAGTTCATGATCAGATGATGCAGAATGTCTAAAGTGCATTTATGGATAGAATACAGGGCTTCCACTCCCACTAAGTCACCCATATACTTGTGAGGTGACAGAAGCAACTTGAATGAATGTCAAGTCTTTACAGTGCAAATATAATTCATATTTCCTACTCTTTAAATTTTAAAAACAAGTTTTGACTATGACTGAAAATACAGTTAACCAAGGAGGTTTTTTAAAGAACCAGAGCCTCAGCCATCACAAATGAAGGGATTCCTTTCCTCATGATGTATATGAGTTACAGATTTCACACTGTAGTTGTTCACAATAATTCTAAAAGTAGATTTAAGAAAAATATTCATTTAAGATAGAAAATCTGTTAAAAAAATTCTATGCATAAAAAATTTAAAAACAAGTTGAACAATGATGGATAGTTTTAAAGCCAGTGAAAAAATAAAAGGGTTTCTTTGAATCTTCTCAAATAATTAGTTGTTTATTAACTGTAAATGCAGCGGATTAAGCTCCAACAGTGATAGAAATGACATTCAAAATAATCAATAATAATAAATAAATACAGAGCAAAAACAGTGTGAAACTTAATCATGTGACTTACTCCGGCCTCTTTGTGTTGTGTGATCCTTTTAACTTTATGAAGCAGATTTTACAGCCACATGGAAATCCTTGCAGCAAAATAACTCCATTAAAACGCAGGGGTTCAACACTGAGTTGTAGTTTTATTCTATAGTGGGATTGAGCTATGGATTAAGACCAAATTTGATTGATGAATAAAAGCAATATATATCCTATGGATTAAGCCATTTTAAATCAATCCCTGTAACCTAATCTGATTTTCCCATGATTACGAAAGAATCCATTTAAATTTTCAGTAACATCCATGCCGTAACTCCATGTTATGCAGAGTCTATCCTTTCATTTGCCAACATTATATTCTAATGTCACATTGGACACTAAGTTTTTGTTCTTATAGGATACAAGAATAAATTGGAGCTCTATTAGATCATCATCGACTCCCTCTATTTCCGCCCCCTCTTCTCGACTATATCTACAGACTCCATGTCTTTCCAAATTCCGCCCTGTAGAGGGCGGTCAAGCTGAAGATGTTTTAACTAAACGAAGAAGCAGTAGACTTCCTGGTCGGAGAAGACATTTTTGGGAACAGGTGAGTGAGATTTCGACTTAAAAAACGCGTTCACCACAATAAAGAGTATAAGTATATGATTATATATCTGCATTCGTTTTAGACGTATAGATTTTTAATTGATAGTTTCAGTGGACACACTTGTCTGATTCAGTTAGCCTTTTCCAATATGTCCAAACCTGGAGTGTTTGGGATTTAGTCAAAGTCGTCAAACGAGATTGAGATAACTTGTTCAGACAACATATGCATTGCGAATAAGAACACCAGCAAGACAGTTTCCAAACCTGACTGAGCATTTGGTAGAAAGGTGAGAGGCGTGGTGGCCAAGAGGGCCGAGGAGCTGGATACCTGACCGGGCTCTGCACTAAAAGTTTTTTAAAACACGGTAAAAACCGCGAATTTGTGCCAGGATTCACAAACGGTGCTTAGCTTGTGTAAAAAAAATACAGCAGTCGTAGTGAAATATACTATTGAAAGCATGAAGAATGAACTTTCTCGAAAGGTGGAAAAAGAGGACTGGAAGTTTCCAAACGCTAAGCTAATGGCAGAGAATGCCGACTAAGCTAACGCAACATGCGACGTAACAGCTGCCGTCATTATTCTCAATTTGATAAATAACTTTAAACAGTGTTTTTTTGCATGACGTCTCATGGTGATAATTTGTGGTAATCACCATGAGGTGGTGATATCTGGCTGTCCCATGGCTCTGAATGAAATGACAGTTTTTCTCAACTTCTTACATTCTTTCTGTGGTATTTTGGAAACTACATCTGTTTGGCAGTTAAATATGATAATAGTTCCTTCATCATAGCAAGTATTTATGCTTACAGCAGCTAAACTGAGAGGGGTAGATTACTTTTCAAGACAGAATCCTTTTATGTCTCTAAATATCCTGTCATTCTAACTGCTTGAAACTTTAGCTTCCCCTCAGAAAACATGGTTGATGGATGGCCTTCAGGGCAGAAGTCCTCCATGGACCCAGACAGTCTCTTATTGACTTCTGGCTTATTTTTAAATAGTTTATGAAAAGCAATATTACTGTTTATATACATGCCATGAAGTTATTGAATTGTCCGTTTTTTAGGTAGCACATGGCACCTCAGATAGGAAGATAATGATAGTTATTTATTGTTTGACTATGATCTGATGAGTTGACGAATCACCAAAATAATTGGTCTCTATTCGATTATAAAAATAATTGCTTGTGGTAGCCCCAGTACTCATGTTCACTGTGTTGTTGTGTACATGTTGTGTCTATTCTATTCTTAAAGAGATAGAGATCGAAAGATTTTTCGATTCCAAATGAAAGGCACAAATTGCCAGCAGTAATAGCAAGACCATATTCTAAACAAGAAGTGACCGTATCTGAATAAAGCAGAAATCTGAATATCTGGTCCTCTGATGCAGCTTTTCATGTTTTATACCCTGCAGGCATTTAAAAAATACCTGGGAACCAGACAAGAAAATCATGGATGAGGCAATGTCTCTGGACTCTTCCCTTGGTGAGGCAGTGTCAGGCCGAGGACACCCCGAGCTAAATGAGGAGGAGGAAGAGGAGGAGGAGGATGGCCTTTACTACATCCCTGAGAGAAGGCCATCCCTCGACCTTGGACCCGCTCCAATGGATATCGATGGCCGGTACAGACAGATATTGCACTTCCTAACATTAAAGGTTTTCCTTTCCTGGCTGGGTGCTCACTGCAGTTTTTTTTTTTTTTTGTGGCAAATGGTGAAAACAGTTGGTGTCCTCATGCTGAGAAAGTGGTAAAAAAAATCATATGCTGGGGTCAAAGAGAAAAAGTCAACACTTACTGTTTTGCTGATAAACATGAGACATAAGTATCTATCACACAAGAAAAAGTCACATCAGCAGTAAACCATCATGGACCAAGTAAACGACATTTAAGCTGATTATTTGATATTAACATCAGTCAGTCAGTTTCAGTGTGGTGACGAACAGTATAGGGGAAAAGAAGCATTTTTGTCAATTTCAACATTGTGTTCTGGTATTTAGCTTAAATGAAATCCCCTAAAAAAATGTAAAAACCTGAAACGTGCAAAAAGAATAAAGATGGCAAATAGAAATACCGGTATTACATGTTTATGGGATATATGTATATATAGAGAGAAAGCTGTACTCTCACTGAGAAGTTTGTGAAATCTTTATTCTTTATTTAAAGCCCTATTGTTTATTCTTTGTTCCTCTATCCATGGCTTTAGGTATTTTATGGAGCAGGCTTTGTCTCCGTCTCAGAGCTATGGCTCGATGACCAGTGAAGGAGGCTCCACCTTACCCGAGGATAATGATGGATTCTCCACAAGGTGCGAACATGACATAACACAACAACCAATTACCTTGATCTTCATAGATTAAAAAATGTAATAGTATCTTTTAAGCAGGTTACACTCGAAACATGTTAAGCCTCTTTGTCTTTTAGTCTCAAATTGGAAAGAGCCGACTCATTCTCCAGCTGCTACTCCATTGACAGTGACGATTGTGAGAAGAAAACCCCCAAGTAAGACATTTAGCCACAGGGCTGACCTCCGTATGTTGGTGTGTTTAACTATAAAAGGCCTTGGTGTTTCCAGGATCAGGAGTGAAGATGACGTCAAAGATAAAACTGACCATTTTCAGCCAATCATCAAACCAAATGCAAACAGGCATCCATCTATGACACTAGCATTCACTTTTAAGGTCAGCTCATTTTCTTTTTCTCATCCAGCTCTAAATGAGTGGAACGATCCCACTGTAACCTGCCATTTGGAGGTCTCAACACGTCTGTTTTTTCTTTTTTTTAATCTAGATCATATGTGACACACTACGGAAGCTGTCGGAGGGGGAGCTTAGGAGGTTCAAATGGGTACTCTGGAGTCAGTACCCACAGTCATTCAGCACTTCTCCCCAAAGCATGGACACGTTGGACGTTGTGGATCGGCTGCTTGACTGCTACGGGCTCGAAGGAGCTTTGGACATCACCAAAAACGTTCTTACTTATATGGAGACAAGAATGGTGCTTAATTATCTGGAGCTGAGTTGTAAGAGATGTAAGTACATCTGTCTTATGGTTGTTAATGTAACCTCATTGAAATGAATAAAAAAGACTGGAAAAATGTATTAAATCTTGGATAATTATGTTTGCTCTCTTTCAGATGAGGTACAATATGATCTACGTGAGCATCTGAGGGAGAAGTTCTGTCAGGATATTTCCATAGGTGGAGAGAAAATGCCTTTTAGTGATGCTTACATTGAGGTCCCCATTTCCTCAAAAGCTAATAACGGCCCGAACAATGAACACGAGGTGTTGACGATAAAAAAGCTAAACTCTCACCGGAACCCTCACACGAAGCTTTTTACTAAAGACATTCTGGGTCATGAAGATTCTGATAGTCGATCCCACAGTTTGGTGCTTCTCTACGGGGTGGCTGGCTCGGGGAAGTCGATGCTCTTCAAGAAGTTTGTGATCGATTGGATTGAGGAGCGATCACACAAAAATGCCTTCTTCTTGTTTCCCATAAAATGCAGAGAGCTAAAGAAGCTCCGGGGCTCCGAATTCTCCCTGATCACCCTAATAAAAACACTCTTCCCACCAATGGCTAAACTAGAGGATGGGGATTTGAAGTTTGACCGGGAAGTCACATCATTGTTCATCTTGGATGGTTTAGACGAGTACAAGGCAAATCTCGACTTTGTCAACATTACGCTCGTCACTGACCCAAAAGATAAACAGCCCCTGGACATCCTTTTGGTCAACCTCCTAAGAGGCCGGGTCCACTTCAAATCTGACGCTGTCGTCCTCTCTCGACCGGCGGTGTCGTTCTGCAACCCTTTGGACGTGAACTTCCAGGTCAAGGAATTGTGCCGTTTCGGGGACCCCGACAAGGACGAGTACTTCCGGAGGAGGTTCAGAGACCCGGACCAGGCGGCCCGAGTCATCGAGTACGTCCAGTCCCAGAAGACCGTCCACATCATGTGCCACCTGCCCCTGTTCTGCCGCGTGGTGGCTGACGAGTGGCAGCGGGCCTTCAGGGAGCAGGGCGCGGCGGCGGCGGGGGGGGCACTGCCCGGGGGCATCACCCGCCTGTACACGCAGCTGCTGCTGGTCCTCCTCCAGCAGCGCTGGCTCACACGCGCCCCCGAGCGCAGCCCCGACCAGCACGCCCCCTTCCTCATGCACCTGGGCCAGATGGCGCTGGAAATGCAGGAGAGATGCGGTTTCAAGATCCACCAGGTCGACAGAGACGACAAAGAATGGAACCAGGAGGCGGTGGTCAACAGCGGCCTGTGCAACAAGTACGGGCTGTCGCAGGCCGGCCTGTACATGCTGGACGTGCTGACCTTCCTCCACCCCACCATCCAGGAGTACGCCGCCGCCCTCTACGTCTACATCTCCTTCAGACGGGACGGGAAGAACGTTTTCGAGAAGAACTTCAAAGACATGGTCCTGAGTAAGCTCAAGGGGCCCAAAGCGGCGGATCTGTACAAGAGCGCCGTGGAGAAGAGCCTGCAGCACGAAGACGGCAGACTGGACATCTTCCTCCGCTTCCTGTTCGGAATGGCAAACGCCACCAACCAGCAGCTTCTCCAGCCCTTCTGCGGCTCCTCGGCTCCCATCGCAAACTTCGCCAAGGACGCAACCAGCCTCATCAGCAAGAAGAGCCGTGACTGCCAGCATCCTAAGAGGAGAGACAACCTGCAGCGCTGCCTGGAGGAGCTGGGAGCCTGATCTCAGAGTTCACCCTTTGTTTTTAGCACTCAACGCCATCTGATGTCTTCCTCATTGAGCTAAACCTTTGTTCAGGAAGACTGAGCCCTGGTCGCCCCCCGCACCGCCACGCATACACACAAGATGTAAAGTCAGCAAAGCAACGTCAGTCCTTTTCAAACAGCGTGTCTTCAGCTGCTTTTTAAGACGCCATGAAGTCATTTCAGCAGCAGAGAGTTCCACAGCCACATAGCACCCTAAGAGTCCAGGCCTACATCTCAAAATGAATGCCAACGTTTTCTGGCTACCAATTAAGAGAAGCCGAGTCTTTCGTTTTGATGTGGCATTGATTCCCTCAGACGGAGCCTGTGAGCTACTATTTTGTTCTGACAACTTCTGACAATACCTCCCAAAGCGAGAGACACTCATTTATGCAGGGACAGTAAGATGAGGCGGACAATGTTTTGTTTGGATTCCCCCACATGGTCTTAAGGGATTTAAAAGTTTCTTTGTTTTAATTGATTTTAAAAGTTTTGAGGATACATTTGTGCCTTGGATTTAGCGTTTTTATCTTTATATCGTCGTATCATGTCTCTTTTATTTGTTTGCCAGCAAAAATTGGAGTTGAAATGACTTGGCCTTAAAATGAATTTAGCAGCATTTTGATAACTGTTAAAGCTGGAGTGATATTTGATATTTTCAGAACAGAAAGTCAAATGACCATCACCTTTTTCTAGATTAATGTTTTGCTCCAAGATTTGCTTGTTAAATCTTTCCTCTTGAATTATATTGATGAGTAAATGGGAAGAAATTGCTATTTGATAGCCTCCTGTATTTAATGAAAAAAAACTTTTTAAAACCAGCAAAAGAAATCTGGAAATGGAAATGGAAAACAGTTGAGAAATGGGAAAAATCCATCCTTCAAAAAGACATCTGAATCTAACAAAAAAAACATTTGCTACTAGATACAAATCTGTAGCTGAAAACTCAGAAATTGAGAATTTTGTTATTTTCTTTACAGTTTTGGATTTGTTTCCCTGCGTTTTAAAAATGTATTTTATTTTTTATTGTTTTTAAAATTCCATTAAAACATCTGACCCTCTCTTTCAATACCAATGAAAGTGACAAGTCATGAGCATATCAGTGGTGTCTTTTTAAGGTTAAGGTTGTGTGTGTGGTTTTACTTAATGTACAAGTGTATCTCATGTCTGGTTCTCAAAATTTGGATAAAAAGCCTTTAATAACTCATGAAACTGAAGACATTCGATCACCTAAGTTATTTCATACCTCATTTCTTGCAATCTGGGGAAGTACTAAAGCATAATGAAGAGAAGCAGGAACACTAGTGAGAATGCTGATGAGCATTCTGACAATGAAACACAGGAGCCAGCCATCAAAAACCACAATTTATTAATATTTTGCACATATTCAGAAGCCAGTAGAAAATACCTTGGTGACATCTGAATCATACATAAATCTCAAACGCCCTGTATTTAGTTTAACAGTTTAAGCTAAAGTTATGCAGTTGAGCAAAACTAGTTAACAAAAAACATGTTTGGTCTCACCTATTGTTAAATGATGGGCTGACTCGAAAACAAATGCCGCCCAGTTTATTTATATCTCTCTCGCTCTTATTTGATGAAGTTCCACTCACTGATAAAAGCTATTTTAGCAAGAAGAGTGAAAATAACTTTAATCGCTGCTGCACTCAGTTCTTTTTTAATTTCTCACCCACTGCTAGTTGTTGCTGTTAACGTTATAAACTTCTGTGCCATTCCTGCTGGATTCGTCACGACGCAGCTGAAGGTGCGTTCAAGGTCCTCCAAGGCAACGCTCTTCAACAGCAAACTCTTCTGCAGGATGGAGCCCTCGTCCAGAGTAGATCTGGAACAAGATCAGGTCATAACTCGGTGTTGAAATGGTGCGAAACTGTGTTTGAGGCCGTGGAAACGGGGGGCTCGGCCTTTAATCTGCGCCGGCCTTATTTCTGCTGTACTCACTCGTTTGATTCTACCATCCTGCCGTGGCTGTGCGTGTCCTCGGGGAAAGAGCCGTTGACAAGCCAGTAGATGAGAGCCTCATCGTTGTCACAGTTTGTCAGTGCGTCACAGTGAAGAACCAGCTGTTTACCTGTACAGACAGTTTAACAGTCAGACTTTCATTTCATGGATGCAAAATTTTTATTAAACTGGCTTCATAATGATACAAGTAGTCTTTACCTGGATTAGCTTTTATTTGGACACTGTTTGGCCCAATAATCTTAGGAGATTCATCATCTGAAACTGGAGAACAAATTTAAGTACGGTACTTAAAAAAATTATAATCCAGGTTTGTGCATAATGAAAATAGGTTTTACCTGGAAATCCATCTGCAAACAGCACACTCAGCAATCCCAGGGCTGTCACAGACACAAAATGATCACAAAAGAGCACCAAAACAGAGGAAAATGTCTTGGTTTGGAACATTATGTCCAGTTACCTTCGACAGCGATGTGCAGCTTCATTGCGATTCCTCCAGTGAGCGGGTCGAGCTGCTCATGGCCAGTGAGGATTACTATTTATATGCATTTTAACGTAGTTCCCGTCCGCCCACTCGTTGGGGATTTCCTTAATAATCTGACGACATATGTTCCTCATAGGTCATCCACACAATTTTCCTGAGGCGTATTTTGACTCATTTACGGACGCTTTGGTCAATAAGCAACGTCATGGCCTGGAATTGATGTCAAATATTCTAAAACACATCGTGGGGGTAAAGCACTTTCACACATGCCAAACCATGTGATACTTATTTAATGATCTTGACTAAAAACAATGAGACCAAAACCAAATAATCAGATTTTCACTCCTTTATTATGTGACCTTTTTAAGACTTTGCCTGAGCTGGGGTAGAGGTCACAATAACAAATATGTCAGTCAAACCTGGCCTTTTTTCATTGTATATTGCCACAATCCAGCTACATCTGCACAGCTGGAGCATCTGCATACAGTTTATGTAATGTCCTGCTGTCAAAACGCTCCTCTGGAATGTTTTTCTGTGAGAGATTTGAGAAAAGTTACTATCTAACGTTAACATCAATACATCCAGACTAATTCAGTTACATATAATACAAGAACGAAAGGACAATAGTCGGTCCATGACTACAAATACCTGATAGTGAGTTTGGTGTGCAGTGTACTGTGTCTAAGGGGGAAAAGAGTTTTCCCCAGCGAGGTCACCACTTCCAATCATAAGGCGCCTGACTATCAGTCACAACTAAACTGGTCATTGGAGTTTAAAATATGTAACCACCTTTAGATGAGTAACTACAGTAAAAGAAGTAGTTCCTAAATAACTCGTGTATTTAGGAGGAAGCAATGACTTATGCTAGTTTCCATTCGATATTTATTACTCATGAGCGATAACCTTCAGACACAAGGATGACAAAGTCCAGCACGATCCTTTCAATTTTGACAAATGCTTAAGACATAAATTAGTAAAAAACAAAACCAAAAAAAACCAACCGTCTCTCTTCTGATTTTGAGAGCCACTTTACTAGTCCACGAGTTAAATGCACCAATCACTGGGGTGTGACACTGTAAAGCAAATCCTGAAAAACTGACAGATTACTAATAAAACCCAAATAACTGTAAATACAGTTAAGTGCCTATAGATATTTACAAAAAGTATAGACACAATTATTGATGCTTTAGTTCAGTGTTGGCCCACAGTCTTTTGAGCCAGTGCATATCTATTCCATGTGGCATCCTTGTCCTTTTCGGGTCAGTCACAGGTCACTCCAGGCCAAGCACATAGTTGATGCCTTGCACAAATCCAATTATAACGGGCTGCCAGGCCACCAAGTATCGAAGCCAGTCTAAAAGCTGTCCATACATGACATGTGGCCGTTCCCATCTAGAGAAGTCAGTTAAGGCACCAACAAGTCAGGAGAAGAAAAGACAAGCAGTGGACCTGATGGAAGACGTCAGCCAGGAGCTGCGCTTTCAGTTTCACCGCTCTTTGTCCAGAGTCCATCACCAAAAAAGGAACAGGAACTTTAGTATTCAACGTCTACATGCTTGTTTTACAGCCAGAGATTAACTGTGTTAAATGTCAGCAGAACTGTCCTGCTGTCACTTCCACCCTGTCAAAAGACACATGTTCTCCAGTGATTCAGCACATCTGGCTGTTCTGACTACCAGAGCTCATGCTGAGATGCTGAAAGTCAGCTGACCTCATCTAACTTTCAGCATCATTTCAGCTCTATCTGAGGCCGGTCACACAGCCTCAACTCTGGGCATAAAAAAATCAGGATTCGTTGTGCTTTCCAGTTGTCAAATGCAAAGGATACGGGTTGCTGAACATCCTCTTCAGGTCCACCTTCTCCTTGCAGTACGGGCACATCTGCTTCTTTCCGACGATACACCATCCTCTTATGCAGAACTCGTGAAAACTGGATGAGGAGTTAAGGCGTGGTGCTGTACCAACTCGACATTACAAACCAATCTGAGCTCTCTAAAAGCCACTAGAGCCCCTTCAGGGCCAGAGTTCCATTTCTCAGCTCCATGTGGGAAAATGAGCCCATCCTTTTTTTTTTTATTAAAAAATTATTTTGAGTTGGTTACATATCTACATATTAGAGGTTAAACAGGTCTTTAATACATGATCTATATACTTCACAATGCCAGAGTGAAATCTATCAGAATGTAGAAGATGCTACAAAAATGTCATCAGCAGAATCTGTTGAAAATAAATTGTTATTAAACCAGACAGTTTCAACAGTAACTACCGTAAGTATCTTTGCAGAATAGTCCTTCAATCAACTGTTCACTAGTAATAGAGTTGCAGCTGGTAAAACTATAAAGCTGTTTTGAACTGCAAACCGCTTCTGCATGACTGCTAACAAATATCTACAGTTAAAATAGCTGGATCAAGATTAACCTTGAATGAAAAATAGCCATAAAGATGAGTTCAAAACTACATCTCTAAAGCAGCAGCTTTTTGTGGGAACCAGGGGCTTTTTCCTTTTTTTTTTTTTTAAACAGAGCTGCCCACTTTTCAGAACCCCATCAAACTCGGGACAAGCCAGATCCCAGCTTTGGCTCGTTTCAGCTCAGGTGATGTTGGCTGAAATGTCCCTTAAACTAATCACGGGTGACAGTAAATAATGTTGTTTACAGAGCTCACATGGCAGATTCCAATAATCACCAGGGAAGTAACGCAGTTTCAGACCTAAAGACATAAAGGTCAGGTTAACCTTTGGGCTGATAGGCGAAGGCAGGCCCGACTTCCTAATTACAAGCAATGGTGGTTTACCTTTTAAGGAAATCTACATTCTGTAATATCTCACAACTTCTCTTTTCATCGGTAATTAATACATAAATCTAAACACACAACAAAATTAAAGAAAGACACTTTTCCACACATTTTGATAAAGTTGATGCATCCAAACTTTTGACTGCTAAGTATATATTTACACACACATCAAATAAAGGATACACATGGTTGCAGGATAATCTGTACGTGTTCTCAATAATCCCCTCCTCACTGACGTCTACCAGAATGGGCTGCCCGCACACAGCACAGATGTTGTCAGAGAGGTGCTTGGTTGGCATGCCAGACGCACTGTAATACTGAAATACAAGTTTTGAAAGAAGAAGACGTTTCAGTCACAGTGACTCCCAACAAAAGTGGAGCAAAAACACAAGGAATGCATTTTGTGCCGTTACCCCCACGGTGGAAGCCATGAAATCTGCACACATCTCTGCAAAGTCTCTTCCAAGGACCCCGTAGTACAGCCCGTAGAACAGCAGCGACACGCCAAAGTCCATAGCGTCCTCTGGCTTTATCCTGGACAAAGAATGAGAGGGCCACATGTCCAATTCCAAATCAGAATCTGAAGCGTCCCGGTACAATGATATTTCATTTCAGCACAACCTTTCCAAGATCAGGCAAAAACAACCCCACAAACATCCAGGATTCGGTAAAACCGAGGCACAGATGGCTCTGACTAATGCTACAGCAACTGTTTCACACCTATGTAAAAGAAAAATCAGGAGAAAACTGGAAACAGATCAAAGGTTTGACTTTCAGTTCATTTAGTTTGAAGACAGACTTATTCTGTCATATTGTCTGTAAAGTAAATGATGTCTTGGATGGTGCTTAAGATTTCAAACTAGATGTCACAATGTCACGCTGCCTTCATAGACAAATGTCCTGTTGCCATGGCAGACCTGTGGAATAATCCCTGTTTTATTAAATGAAGCTGTTGAGAATCGACTTTATTAACAGCATGTGGTACTGAAGGTTTATTTTATTCAAGACTGTTGACATTTGTGGATGTTAATTTTACATTTCAAGTGGGAGATGCCAATAATCAACACATTTTCAGAAGAACTGTATAAAGTTCTATGAAACGTAGATCAGGCCTCTTACCTCCATAAAAGGTAAGGGAAAAGCAGCAATGTGCTTCCAAATCTATCAAATGGATTTTTTGTTCTGATCATCAGGATTAATTTCAGCAGACCGAAGCCTGAGATGGACGTTTTACTGAGCATATCGTCATCTAGTGGCAGTGCAGTGCAAGGGACTAAAAAATGACTAACGCTGTTAAAAGGAACCTGGAAATCCAGGCGTTTTATTCAAAGGGGGTTAAAGATACATTTATTAACATTTGTAGAAAAGGAAAAAAATATTCATTTACAAATAACAATACATACCTGAATATTAGGTTAATACCAAAAAGTGTAAACATGATGACGCTATAGCCAACGATCCCAGTGGCATAGCTGATCTTGTACAGAAGGAGGAACCACTTGTACACCAACCTAACATTAAAAAGAAAAAGGGACTGAGTTTGCCTTTATTTTCATGCCAAATCTAAACCACTGGAGAGGAAAATCAAACAATGGAGACAGCTGTTTCGGTAAGTCATGTTACATATGATCAGAGTTTTACCTCGGCGTGGTGCAGGCCAGTGGCTTGCGGGTAGCGCGGAAGGAGATGTAGGCTGTGATGACAGAGAAGATAAACCAGGTGGTCAGGAACCTCCACCAGTGAAGTTTTGTTGTAAAGTAGAGAGGAACTACCCACATCTGGAACAGAGTCACCAGCTGAAAGACAGTAGAGTGTGTGTTAAAAAATGTATGTATAACAGAATTTCATCATGTTTTTAATTCTTTATATCAACTCAAAAACAATCAAAATTGATGTAATTGTATATTGTAAACCCGTTGGGACACATTAATTTTTTTAACACGTTTAATCACAGGGCCACGCAGACTAACCAGATACACTGACCTCTACAGTCAATTTAGAGTAGCCCGACCTAACTCGACGGCCAGGGTTTAAAGCAAAACCCTCTCATCCTATTCACACACTCAATTTAGGATCATACAAAAAAATATTTTCCCTCATTTTCAAAAGCAAAGGTGGACATGGTCATCTGCTGCGTGGACCAAAGAAAATAAATACAAAACAACAAGTCTATCGGTAGTATATATGTATGATACCAAGCACCATCTGTCCCCATGACTACAAACAGACACGTCCTTCTTCTAAGCTGTGCAGTGTCTGTACTCAAAGCACAAAAGCTTTACACAATTTCACGCTGACATTTGAACACACATCTTGTGTCTTTTGGCCCTTACATTATAAGACTTTGGATGTCTCTGTTTCCACTGCACAAGGACTAGCTGGGCGACGACCAGCGTGACGATGAGGATCAGCACCATCTCTGCGTGCATGGCCTCGTGGCCTTTGTGTTTGGCGTGCATTTTTGCATGCTCCACCCTGTTGAATAAAGGCAAACACAATGAGTTAATCACACATATGACGAGCCACGTGATCAGTTGGGGTGTGTCCTTGAAAGTACGTTACACAATATTGAAATACTACTTTACTGGGGGGGGGGGGGGGTTAATATATGAATGTACTGTAAGTCATTAATGGTGTGTGACAAAAGTACTAAGAAAACTTTGTGTATATATACACAAAACCTTTGTGGTACACTGTGCTATATGCAGACACCAACCTCCATTTCTCCTCTGGTGAAAGCTTAGACACATCAAACTAAAAGGAAGAGCAAAAAATGGAACAAAATTAAAACTGATTCTCTGGATAAGTTATCAATAGAACAGACACACAAAATAACAAATAAATGGCAATTCGTGCAAAACAAAAATCCTTGAACTTTAGGGAGAAGTATAAAAATCATTAATAAAGTCCTTTAACAACACGTGTCTAAGCTGGTTGATACACATCTATTTCAACATGTCAATTATTTATAGCATTTGTGAATGTCCATAAATTCTCTGTCATCTAATCTGTCAGACCACAGTAAAGACAAAAATGACATTGTTTGAGATACCAAACCTTTTTCCGCTACACAAATTACACAGATTTGTAAATTGTACCTCACTCATCAGATTTGCTTTTTTGTTGCTCTTTACTATTTATTCACCAAGATGACAGAAGAACAGGCAGTAAATTACTGTGGCACCTGGATTATCAAAGGTGGATTTAAGGCTCTCATTGAGGTATTTACCCAGCCTGTTATCATGTATCCATTTACTGAAGCAAATATACACATTTAGAAATTACACCTCAAAGATTATGTACTTTAACACAGTTTTACGGTTGTCCTGCGACAGCCTGAACGGGTTTACATACAGTAACCTCATCTACTTGGCAAACAGCTGTTAGGTTTGACTTGAAATTAGAAAGGAAATGGTGTAATTACTTCCTCTGACACGCCAATGAACGTGCTTAACCTTTAACCCCAACAGCCACATCACCAAAATTTAGAGTTAATACATTGAATCTTGACTAATTTCCCAACGCAGTAAGATGACTGCTGACAATGAAAATAGTGTTATCACTTGTTTATTATCTAGGTAAACAGAGGGGCGTCACTTTGACCAGGTCACACCAACTAAAGTTAACTGTTAAGTACTTCTTCATTTTTAAATGCACTATTTCCTTGACAACTTCGCTCGGTTCAGTGAGTAATTCACCTTTCCTGGACAACAATGCTTGGTAACGTGCTAAGTTAACCGGTAGCTAGCTGCTTACGGTGGGATAAATCCGTGAGTATCGGCAGCTTAGTTTGAAGCTAGCTCCACTGTGTAAACTCCACCTCTTTGTTTTTTCTGTCACAGTTAACGTGACACATTTCCTTCACCTGGTTCGGTTCATTATGATGCTCCAGTCCATGGTCGTGCTCTACCCCGTCAACCTCCACCTCAAACACCCCGGCCATCTTCGGAGTGTAGCTTTACCGTTCCGGGGCCATTGGCATAAGGAGGAGGGGAACTGGGGGAAAACGTCACTTCCTGTTTAGAAATGATTACAAAGTAAAGATGGAAAAAATTATGGACTGTAGGTCAAATTATTAATTTGAATAACTCTGTTTGAAATTAATGGGATTTTGTATTAGTTTCAAAATAATTAGAATAGTTTACATTTAAAAACGCAATTGTAAACGAAACGCAGAAGTGAATAGATACAATATTAATGAAGTTTAACTCATGAAAAAAAATGTTTTCAGAATTTCGTCATTAAAAAATAGAGTATCGTTGGTCAACAAACTCAGACTATAGTGTACATATTATAAGTGAGTACTGATCGTTGAATATTTAAGTTTGATAAGTGTGTCAATAAAAATACTTTTAAAGTGTCGGTTCCTCGCAATCAAAGCTTACGAATGTTTACTAATGAAATTCCATTAATGCATGCCTGTATAAGCACTTGGTGATTTCTGTGTGCCTTGAAATGAAAGAAATGAAAAGAAATTAAAGGAAGAGCCTATAAATAAACCTTCCAGACTCCGCCTATGTTTGCTGTTATCCCGCCAGAGTTCAGCCTGAAAGGCTCCCGGAAAAGGGACTGTGCGTAGATTCTGATTGGTTTAGGAGTCAGTCAAGGTCTTTTCTCATTGGCTCCCGAGCCGAACAGCTTGTGGTCTCTTGGCGCTCTTAGTTTGAAATCAACACAATTGCCGGGGGTTGTTTCAGCTGTGTACTCACCGGTTAAAGCTTAGTAGTACAGTAGTTTATTTCGTGTCTTGGATTTATTTTAGGAGATAAAACCACTGCCGTCTGAGAAAACCAGCAACTCCACTGCCAAAATGCACGTGATTAAACGAGGTATTGTTGCTTAATTTAATGTTTTTGCTGTCAAATACCGCTGAACTTCAAAGGAGATGTGCAGTTCTGCAAACCATTTGAAATCATTTTAACTATCTCCACACATTAGTATAGAAAAAGAGATGAAATGCTTGAGCTGGCATTTCACTTTGAAGTGTTTTTTAATGCGTTTTTTTACTCTTTGTGGGATATTTGCGCCAAGGCGTCAAACAAAGACTTCAATTAACTTTCACTGGATTATGGCGCTAAACGTAATTTTTCTTTTTGTTGTTAACGTTTTTTGTCAATTAACTAGTAAATTAAATCATTTCTGTCCTATTTATTCAGATGGAGAGGTTTACGACAAGTTTTTTTATAATCTGCTGCCTTGGCGCGCAGCCTTAACAATAACTGGTCAGACAGGTGTTTTCATTGCGGACTTCCTCTAAGCGGGACTTCGGTTTACAAGGCTGTACTATCCCTGTTTCAAACAAGATAGCCAAAACAGCAATAAATGATGAGATGGTCTAAATAGATGGGAATGACATGTTTTCATTTTCTTGTTTGTTTGTAAGATGGGCGCCAGGAGGCAGTGAGTTTCGATAAAATCACATCTCGCATCCAGAAGCTATGCTATGGACTCAACGGCGACTTTGTGGACCCTGTAAGTTCAAAGCAACACAAAAATGAAGCGATGATATATGTAAGGTAACTGAGAGCCAGTGCTGGCAGATGACAGGTAAATGAATATCTGGTTTATGACCTTTATCTCTGTAGACCCAGATTACCATGAAGGTGATCCAGGGGCTGTACAGTGGAGTCACCACCGTGGAGTTGGACACTCTGGCTGCAGAAACTTCTGCAACCCTGACCACTAAACATCCTGACTATGCGGTCCTGGCTGCACGGATCGCAGTGTCCAACCTGCATAAGGAAACTAAGAAAGGATTCAGTGGTAAAGACTTTTTAGTTGAATGACATACAGCTCTAATAATATCTGTGTAGTAACAGATTAACTTCATTTATAAATTTGCTGACCGTAAATGATTGAAACAGCCAAATTGGCATTTCCTGTACTAAATATTCTTTCAATTGCACTCACATAGATGTGATGGAAGACCTGTACAACTATGTCAACCCCTTAAATAAAAGTCACTCACCTATGATTTCCAAGGAGATGCTCAACATTGTCCTTGAAAACAAAGATGTAAGTGACATCGTGATTTTATCAACTTTGTTCTTACTTCAAATTTATAGTGAATATGTTCAAGTTTAACATGTTCTATGATCACAAGGTTGTTTTTTTTTCCCTGCAGCGCCTCAACTCAGCCATCATTTATGACCGAGACTTTTCTTACAACTTCTTTGGCTTTAAGGTAACTTTTCAGTTCATGAAACTTTCAGTCTTTGGTGCAGATCTCAGGATTTTCATGGAGTGCGTCTTTCTTTTTTGCTTTCCAGACACTTGAGCGGTCATACTTGCTAAAGATTAATGGCAAAGGTGAGTTCACAAACCCCAACTAAGAAATATGTTTGGAGTCACTTTGAAGCCAGTTGTGTAATTCAAAAATACCTTTCTTGCTGTTGTTCATAGTTGCTGAGAGGCCCCAGCACATGCTAATGAGAGTAGCTGTAGGCATTCACAAAACAGACATCGATGCAGCCATTGAGACTTACAACTTGCTGTCGGAGAAGTGGTTCACCCACGCCTCCCCAACACTGTTCAATGCAGGCACCAACAGGCCACAGATGTCGAGGTGAAGTCCAGCTAATTCACTAAGAAAAATTATATTAGCAAAGCCCAGATTCTCTGCTTCTTGTCTGAATGTTGTTTTTTAATCTTTTTTTTTTTTTTTACAGCTGTTTCTTGTTGGCTATGAAGGATGACAGTATCGACGGGATTTATGACACGCTAAAGCACTGCGCCCTCATCTCCAAATCAGCTGGAGGCATCGGTTTGGCAGTGAGCTGCATCAGGGCAACAGGCAGCTATATTGCTGGGGTGAGAAAAATAATCACAGTGCTGATCATAATCTTGCAAATAAGGCGGAGCTGGTAATATATAATAGATTAATATTATTTTAGAATGTATTATCGCTAAAAGAATACATGCTTTCAGACTAACGGCACCTCCAACGGGCTGGTTCCCATGCTGCGCGTGTACAACAACACAGCCCGTTATGTGGACCAGGGCGGCAACAAGGTCAGCATGACGTAAACAGAAACAAAATGACACACGTGTCATAAACTGTATATAAAACATATAAAGACATAAAAGTGTCATAAAGAGGAATAAAATGTTATCAGACATAATCGTTAAAAGTTTATTGATGTGCTTTGCTGCCTTTTCCTGTGTAGAGACCAGGGGCCTTCGCTGTGTATCTGGAGCCGTGGCATTCAGATGTGTTTGACTTTTTGGAGTTGAAGAAGAACACGGGTAAAGAAGAGCAGAGGGCCAGAGACCTGTTCTTTGCCCTTTGGATCCCGGATCTCTTTATGAAAAGAGTGGAAAGCAATGAGGTGAGTGCTGGAGGACATGCATACTTACACACTTTGGCGCCCCTGCCCAATTTTCAAGATACACAGATGTCTCATTCCTCTGGTGTTCCCATAGGACTGGTCTCTGATGTGTCCCAGTGAATGTCCAGGATTGGAGGAGTGCTGGGGAGAGGAGTTTGAGAAGCTCTACACTCGGTAGGATTAGCACGCCTGACTCTGTCTTTAACAAATGGCTCATTTGTCAAAGATGCCCTGTTCCACTAATCTTGCTGGTCTTCAGGTATGAGAAGGAGGGCAGAGCGAAACGGGTGGTAAAGGCTCAGCAGCTGTGGTACGCAGTCATCGAGTCGCAGACAGAAACTGGAACTCCGTACATGCTCTACAAGGATGCCTGCAACAGAAAGAGCAACCAGCAAAATCTGGGCACCATCAAATCCAGCAACCTGTGCACAGAAATTGTAGAGTACACAAGCAAAGATGAGGTATGGGGCAGATAATAAATGGTACATAGACACTTACAGATTCATCTTTTTCTCTTCACATGTTTTCATTACGCTTTTGTCTCTTTCTATCTCAGGTTGCAGTGTGTAATCTGGCATCTATTGCCCTGAACATGTACGTCACACCAAAAAAGACATTTGACTTCAAAAAGCTTGCATCCGTTACCAAAGTTATTGTCAAGAACCTGAACAAGATCATTGACATCAATTACTACCCTGTGCCTGAGGTGAGGTCTTCTGTGCCGCTCTGCTTCTCTGTCTGCCCTGCAGCTGAATGTTTCTGTCATAAAGTATCTCCTCTATCCTTCCTTACAGGCTAAAAAGTCCAATATGCGTCACAGGCCCATTGGAATTGGTGTGCAAGGTCTGGCTGACGCTTTTATCCTCATGCGCTATCCGTTCGAGAGTCCAGAGGCCCAGTTACTCAACATTCAGATCTTTGAGACCATCTACTACGCTGCCCTGGAGGCCAGCTGCGAGCTGGCAGCAGAATTTGGGGCTTATGAAACCTACACTGGCTCCCCGGTCAGCAAGGGAGTGAGTACTTTTCATAAATACCTCATCCCAGGGCACCAGATTAGCGGTTTGGTCTTAATGTGCTAATTGTCGGATTGTGTTTTTCAGACCCTGCAGTACGACATGTGGGGCAAAACGCCTACAGATCTGTGGGACTGGAAATCACTCAAAGAGAAAATAGCAAAGTAAGACTTCCCTGTTCTTGTTGTCAAACATCTGCACGTGGTGTAACATACTCATTATTTACCTCCACTCGATGTCCTCAGGCACGGTGTGAGGAACAGCCTGCTTCTGGCTCCGATGCCCACAGCCTCCACTGCCCAGATTCTGGGCAACAATGAGTCGATCGAAGCATACACCAGCAACATCTACACTCGCAGGGTGCTCTCAGGAGAGTTTCAGGTCAGTCTGGATTGTGTTCGGGCTTTTCTGTCCACAAAGGTTGCAGTTGTTGTTTTTTTGTTTGTTTGTTTATTTCCTTTCTGCCTTCCCTTTTAGATTGTGAATCCCCACCTGCTGAAGGACCTCACAGATAGAGGACTGTGGAATGAGGAAATGAAGAACCAGCTCATTGCTCAGAATGGCTCCGTCCAGGTAAAGCATCACCCTTGTAAAATGTACTACTGAACTGTCAAACTTTCAGCATTTTCCCTCTACAAACTGATCATCTATAATCTGGTGGCTAAACGTAACAACATGCTTGACTTCTCAGCAAATTGAAGAGATCCCTGATGACCTGAAGCAGCTGTACAAAACGGTCTGGGAAATCTCCCAGAAGACTGTGCTGAAGATGGCCGCAGATCGTGGGGCCTACATCGACCAGAGCCAGTCCCTTAACATTCATATCGCTGAGCCCAACTATGGGAAACTTTCCAGCATGCACTTCTATGGCTGGAAGTTGGTGAGTCAGGACTGATGGAGGAGCCAATGGCACGGCGCGCTGCGCCTGAGCCGGGAGCTGTGCTTTACAGCCTGTTTCTTCTCTCTGCAGGGCCTGAAGACTGGCATGTACTACCTGCGGACAAAGCCCGCCGCCAACCCAATCCAGTTCACCCTGAACAAGGAGAAATTAAAGGAGGCCCAGTCTAAGAGTGCAGAGGAGGAGACCAAAGAGCGAAACACTGCAGCCATGGTTTGCTCCTTAGCAAATAAAGATGAATGCTTAATGTGTGGTTCCTAACCGGGCAGCTCCCCCATAATCTCACTCCACCAAAAATGTCTGTTTATTTTATATCTGATTTTGAAACAGGTTTCACAGTTGCTTTTGCCTTCATATATGAAATAATTATAGTCTTTATTTAATGTAATTTTTATCATGAAATGGCTGTTGTGTTTTTATGGGTTTAGTCAATATTAATATTTTTAAATATTTTTTTGCCATTTATATTTGTCCTGTGGTTTATAAATGTGAATGTGTGTGAATGAATTACATGTTGATCTGTTTTTTAAATTCATATAAAAGCAAACTTGTTTCAATATTGTGATTATTATTTGGCAAGAAATAATGATGCGTGTCAACATGCCAACTCAAGAAAAAATTAAGCAGTGTGGTGCTGAAAGCTTGCCTCCTACTTTACTTTGCTGTTTGTTCTCTGTGATATGAGCAGTTACATAATTTTCCTTTTCATTCAGGAAACTAACCAGCTGTTCTAGTAGAAGGTCGGCTGTTATGAGCTGGAACTGCCACTTGGACAGGACTATGAGCAGCCAAAAGTGAAAGCAGGGTTGATTAATTTTGCAATGCTGCAATCGATGGCAACACTTCAGCTTGTTTTTCTAGAGGAAGTTTCAGTGTGTCCTGGGAAAGGTGATGCAGCAGGTGATGAATTAATGGCTGGATGTGTTCATGAGCGATACCTCAGGGGAGCAGAATGTGCGAAACAAGCTGAGACCTGCAGGATGACACTAGCAACAGGTAGAGCTCACATAAAAAGACACACTTAAAAAACACTCATTCCTATCCAGCCCATAATCCCTCACCTCAGACTGAGATATGAAGCCAGAAAAAAATTAAACTTAAAAGGTTTTTAATTGTACAAAACATTAACCCCAGACAAAGCTTTTTTCCTCATAATCAAGTGTCACTACAAATCAAAACAGTCAGCAGGGGATGAGAATGCATTTAAAAGCCAGTGAATTTCCTATTCTAAGGGAGAGTCATCTTAATCAGCTCCCAGTCTTGCTAAATTCAACAGGTTTCGACTGTGAGTTAAATCAGATGTTAAAAGATCTGAAGAGAAGATTTGCAAAATTGCACTAGATAGTGAAGGACTAAAAAAACATACAGCCCACTTTAATACCTCCATATAAAGATGGTCTACTTCTTTTCTGATTTATCTTTAATGAAATCAAAACCTAATTAAAAATTATGTGTAGAATTTTCACAAATTGTCCTAATCTACCTACAAACATCGTCCAAACTCACATTTTCCCATTTTGTAAGTTTACAGCATTTAGTTCTAGCTGGACTTCAGAGCGTAGAATTGGATTTAAGAAAATTGTGAATATTATCAGTAATTGATGACACAGTGATAGAGTGTTGTCAGATTTTGGTGAGGAAAGAGCTAAACTGCAGAAAAGTAGCTGTGTTTAGGCGTTCCCTGGCGTCCCATCGATGGATCCTTCCCCCTCCTGGGAACCGAAGCCCGTGTCCTGTGAGCTGCCGCTTCCCGTGGGAGAGGGAATCAATTTGTTTCCCGATTTTCCTGCTACATTAGTCTCGAACTTCCGACCCTTCGTCCATGCTGCCTCCACTTTTTTCTCTTGTAGCTCCATGTCTTTGAACTTGTTCATTATTTTCTTGGTTTCTGTCATTGCGCCGCTGACTTTGGTGCTCTCAGTGTGCTCGGTCAATGTCTCTATGTGCTTTTCTTTTTCCTCTGCCCCGTTATCAGTCTCGCCTTCCCCTCTAAACTCTCCCTCCTCCGGTATGTTCTCTGCCTTCCCTTTTACTTTCACATGATTGAAACCGGTCCCTTCTGTGACCTCTTTTGACTGAGTGTCACTGTTCTCACTGTTGTCTGATTCTGCCTGCTCTTTTTTATCAATTTCCTTTTTATCGCCCTCCTCTGCCTTAGCTCGTCCTTCCTCCATTTTCACTACTTCACAGTCTGTTTCCTGCTGTGAGGCTTCGTCTTCACATTCCTCCACGTGTCTCGGTTGTGTGTCTGACTGCTGCTGCATGTCTGAATCAGCCTCTTCTTTGTCAACCTTTTCCTCTCCTTGGTGCACGGTTACTTTTAGTGATGTGTTTTTGTCGTCTTGCCTGCTGCTGTTAAAACCCCTGAAATTATTTTTTGCACCAATGATGTATTTCCCTAACACAGAGGACCCATCCTTGGTCAATGCATCATTTGAAGCGTGTACGTCAGCCATCAGAAGTTGATGGACCACTTTCATCTCACTATACATCCTGGACACAGCTTTATTCAGTTCAGTGATCCGGTTACCAATATCTAGAAACAGAAAAAACAATCAGGGATTGTGTTGAATCACACCACACCCTTACTTCAAATTGGTCATTTTTGTCTTGAATACCATCGATATTGGACAGCCAGCTTGGTTTCAGCTGTTGTGTTGGCTAATCATGATTGTAAAAATAACATTAATTATTTAGAAATTAAAATATTTGTCAAGTCAAAAGTTCTTTCCCTAATGAACATTTACGTTGTGTAATTCAAGGCAGTGAGTTTACTATAGACCCCAATTAATTCAAGATGTTAGGGTGCTGTTTGAAATGTGAATTTCAAACAAGAAAGTATAAATAAACCTACATTTCATTAGAAATAGTATATATAAAGCAAAAGGTTGTTTTTTAATTAGATGTCTACAGCAGATTAAAATACTGTAGTTAGAACAGAACCAATAACAAGGAAACCGTTGATTATTACTAATTAATAACAGTGACATTAATGCCCTGTAGGGTATCTCACTACTGTGGGAGATGACAGTTTACTTCACAAACATAACGATAGGTAATATACGCAAAAGAGTCCAGAAAACCAGAAGTACAGGAAAACACTGAAAATCAGTACCCCCTCAGGCATTAATAATGATGAAAGTCTTCAGTGGAAATTCACTAAATGGACTCAGGAACACAAATTAAACAACTCACTGAGGAGTTTATAGTAAAACTTTACTAGTCACAAATAAAGTCTGTATAAAAATACATAAAAATAACTTCAACCAGAACCACAATAAACTATAGACTTTTTCCAAGGGGTGATAATATAATTTCTGTCCTAGGTCCTAGCTCAAAGTTTCACTTACTTAAAAAAAGCCATGTGTTTTGTGTCTCATCAGTCGGGAAAGTGAACATCTTACAGCATTTAGATGCGCAACTCAGCAATAAACCGAGCAAATCATCCTACTTACTAAGATGGTAAGTAACAAGCTTGCAGAGCAACATTTGACTAAAGCAAACATTTTTTCCATTATTCTAATGTAGCGGTAGGGAAAAGTGGGATATGTGAGGCCAAGATTGTTGCTGTGTCAGAGCGACATGGTGACCGTTACCTTTTCTCTTCGTCTCTTCAAACTCCCTGCGAGCCGACTCGATGTAGCGCTGCACCAGCGCCCCGATCACCTGCTGCCGGTAGGGCACCTGGCTGTCCTCACCTCCTTTGTTACTGGACTTGAAAGTAAATTGAAAAATTATTTGATATAAATCATTCAAAGAAACATAAAAAAAGATTATTGGAATTTGGAGATGGGAATGTTTTCATTAAAAGGCCCGCACTCATAGAAGCACACACTCACCCCGGAGGTTATTGGGGGATATCTCTGCTCAGAACCACTAGTGCAGCAGCAACAGATCCGCCTGAAGACACCCCTGGAGCAGAATATGAAACCATGTTATGTATGAAGGAAGATCAACTAGAAGTAGCCACCGTGATGTCGAAGGATTGACCTTATCATGTAAAAAAAAGCCTTAGGTGAAGGAATGATGTTGAAAGGCACCGGCATGGTGAGGCCCTCTCTGAAATAGCTGAGGTACAGCTTCGAGCGGGCAAACTTCCACTCAACATCTGCATCATCCTGAAATGAAACCGGGATCTCAGTGTGCATCACTGCCTTCTGACAGATGCTGCACATGTTCACCTCACCTCACATATTCACCTCAATTTTCTGGAAGGAGTTGGTGATCATAGCAATAAGCATGTTGAGGAGGACTATCACAATGACGAGGGTGAAGATACCATACAGAATCCTTCCCACAAACTCTGCCAACACAAACTGTGGCATGTCCACGTAGTCCTGATTGGCCACTCCGAACATGGTCCAGAACAAGAAGTGGAAGGTCTCATTGAACCTGCAGCGATGTGATGGAGAGTATTATGAAGACGAGACTGCTCTCACACAGCTTTTTAAATAGCCTATGCTAAAGAACTTGAAACACTTTTAGAGAAAAAAAAAAAGAACTGTGACAACTGTAGTATCCTTCCAAAGTATTTTAGCTTTCGCAAGAGAGCTTGTGATACAAGCGTTAAACTAGAATCCCATCAAAGTCTTCTCAGAGCAGCAGTCAGAGCTGATAATTACATCAACATGAAATGTTTTCACCTGCCAAGATGTGGGGAGATGACATAAGGAACGTAGATGTTGTTGATGCCACAGAGAAAAGCCGTCCCAATAATCATCAATATAAACATGAATCTGTAGAGAAAGAATTGACAATGTTAGTTCTGACATTTAACTGCAGACAATGATCTAAACAATAATACGCAGATGGAAAGAAATCTTTAGTTAGGGTAGTGTGTCATAAGAAAATAAAGATAAATCTCACAATGGATGTCAAAAGTACTGACACGTAAGCTGTAGTGAAAAGAAAGATCTAAAAGGAACATGTTTCAGTTGATTAGTTTAGCTGAAAATAGGTCAACGGCTTGATTTTGTTTAAGAAGAGCACCTGAAAGAGGCAGAGTCTCAGATGGAAAGATGGGCAGAGATTCGGCAAAATACAAAAAATTGAATTTTCAAGTAGTGGAACCATTGTAGTAGTAAAATAATTTACGATAACCATGAGCTATAATTATACAATATAAGTACAACTATATACAATAGTTATAACAACAATTGACTTATACAAATATCCTACTGCACAGCCTCCCATCTTGTTTTGTAATGAGGGTTATAGCAGCGCTGCTACCTCATCATGTCATCAATCATCTTCCCGATAGAGATCTGTAACGTTCCCAGAGACTCGTGGGCTGGCAGGATGTATGCCAGCCGTGTGAAACTCAGCATGCTCGTCACAGCAAACAGCACCTCAGAAATGAGCTGGGGGTCCTCCTGATGCCAGCTGTCACGCACTGTCACAGAGCAAAATTCATTGTAAGCATTTAAAATTCACAAATACCTTCAGCCGTTTGGGATGAAGGTCCCGCCGTAATATTCTCACCTGTCTGAGTGAAGTAGATGCACTCGTCACTGTTGTTTTGATCATGGCACAGGAAGTAGCCTTTGAGCATGATGAGCACACGCAGTGCAAAGGACGCCAAGTACAGGCTGAGCACCATCATATCCAAGCAGTTCCACCAGTCTAGGAAGTAGCTTCGCAGACCCTCAAGCCACACTTCCTTACACTCATACCAGAAGAAGCCTGCATACAAAATTACAGTATCAACCAGTCTCATGTCCTACTAAGGCTGGGGCCGGTGTCTTTCTTTACCATGATACTTCTTTTTTTCTTTTAACTTTGACCTCTTGGGCTCATAGTAGACGCTATCAGACACTATTGCTTGAAATTTAAAGTAAAATGGTTTCATATATTTTCAACCAATCATGTTCTTATTGTGCAAATAAAATTGTGTAAATACGTAATTTGGACCGTCAGAGCCAAATTGCAAAAACATTTAATTAAGTATATAAAGAAACATTTTAGATATAAGGGTACACACACTGAGCCTATATGAAGAAAAACTATCTGTAACATGACAAGGTCTAGTTGTTAAACTTATTAGGTCTTACTAATCCTATATATCTTCAAAAAAAGCAAAAATGCTCACCAAATAAAAGCTCGGGTCTCAGGAGGTGAAACACGTGGAGTAAACTTACCGACCACCCACACCATGTGGAAGGAGCTGTGAAGGATGTTCTGCTGGCGGGATGCAAATTTTTCTCGATATATTTCCATGGTTATCGACTCTCCGAGCAGTGTGATGAGAAACCACAGATAGGAGGCTGAGTGAAGGAGAAATTTAATGACGGGAATCTTTATCATCCGTCCTGCCTGGAGAAAAGCAGAAGAGCGTTCAAGGCTAAACCAAACGTGCCCATTTTCCCCTATGTTCTTACTTTACATATATTGTCTGATATCTTAAACATTTATTTGTTATCACGGTTATTTTCATGTGACCTTTGACTTTGGCGCAATCCAGTATATGAGGCAAAGAAGGGGCATGGTAAGAAAGATCCCCACAGAGACCAACAGCTTCCACGCCGTCCTGCTGCCTCTCCAACCCGACAAGCTTCCACACCAGATCGATGACAGAACCTGCTGGCAGATTGGATGGGCCACAAACTGCCCCAACAAAGACACAACCAGAGGAAGAGAGACAAAGGCATTTTTCCAGTTTATGTCTTCTTTCATGTGTCTCAGGCTGACGGCAGCGTTTCAGCCCGGCTACCTGCTTCTGGTTGTAGTTGACGGCGAGCCGCAGTCGGGACAGATTGGGAATTCCCTCTTCAAAGGTCTGCTCGCTCAATGAATCCTGGCTCTCATCTCCACAGCTGTTCAGGATCGTGGTCACCTCGCTCTGGTTGCGACACATGCCCAGCAGCTCAACGGCAAATTCCTGACAGAGCTCCTCCAGGCTCAGGTACTGAGGCTGTGGGGAAACAGGAAACACGGCTGAGTCACGACACGATGAACACCTGACACGAGCAGCCAGCTGGGACCGTTGTGAGTCTCCCTAGACCTTGAACTCGGGCTCCTTTTGGGACAGCTTCCGGAGCTCTCTGCTGAGTCTGAAGGCGCACAGCATGGCATCGTCAGAGGTGACGGACAGGTAGGCTCGGCTGGCCAGGCCACGGTAGGTGTTGATGCGAGACAAGGAGAACTTCAGCAGGTCGTACTGCCGGCCGTTGCGACATTCGAGACAAGCACAGGATATCTTGTGTGGCCACGGGATGCTGTGGCCTTTCTGGGTGAGCATGGTGACGATCTCGTACAGATCTTTCTGACAAGCTAACGTCAAAGGGGTCACACCTGGGGCAAACTGGGAGTTGTCAATAGAGTGATCAAAGATGGCCTGAGAGAAGGATCGTACGTCCATCTTGTTGCCTTTCTCCTGGTCCAGGCGGTCCAGCAGACGCTTCACCACCTTGGGCTGGTTGGTGTCCACCGCAACTAGAAGGGCCTCGTGGATCTGACGGAAGTCAAACTTGACCCCCTGTAGGAGGGTGTCCATGGCATCCTCGCTGCCCAGGCGGATGGAGAGGTTGAGAGCCTCCCTCCACTGACGATCCTCAGAATCATCCAGCTGGCGGACGATGCCGTCCCCCGTCTTCAGCAGTCCACACAGCAGCTCGATTTTCCCCTCCTTAATGGCACTGATGAGCTCCGGAGGGAAGCGCATCTTCTTGTTCATGATCTCCCGCCATTGCTCTGGCTGCGGTGCAGAGCACAAATAAACAGAATTTTCACATGGACTTTCACAGATTTTTATGAAGATAACATAAAACATTTGATTTGTATTGGATTGCCTTCTAAGCCAGTTAAAAAAAAAGAATCTTTTCACATCAAATTCTTCCATTTGAAAACACATTTCAACCAAATATAGCTTCTTGGAGCAGGTTTGGAGCAAAAAATACCTCAAGTAATTTGTCCTTTGCTGCATATTCTGTAAAACAAACGACTAAAGGTTTGCTTACCGTGAGGTTATCCATATCCTCGATGACAAAATGACACAGTTTTGAGCGTTGGTCCTACAGTGAAAACACAAGTACAGACTCGGTAGACATAAAGTGGATTTTTCCCTGTTATTCTGAGCTCGAAAGATATCAATAGATAGGAAGTTCAGTCTCAGTAAGTGATCTGAGCTCTTTGGCGATCATGTGCTACCGCCTGACTAGACGGACTCATCAGCATCCACAAACTCAGAAGCACACTTCAATTCCCCAGGGGGCCAAGGCCAATTAAAATGTAACCTGTTCAAAGTGTTTCACGCTCGGCTGGGCCGAAAGCAAACTGTTCTCCATTCAAACAGGAATTATCTCTGGTCTCCCCATTGGAAACAGTGCCACAGTACAATTAAAGTAGTTGTTAGTGGGCACGCAGCAGCTGTCATTTCTTCTCTCAGAGGAGCTGGAGGGATTCACAGCAGGGGGAATAACATGCGAGAAAGAGATTCACTAATTATTTTCACTTTCTTTCATAAGTAGTTCTCTCTGCACAAGTCTGTTTTCATCCTGTTATTAAAATCATACAATAAAATCTTGTTAAACATTATTTCCTTTGATAACAATCTGAACATTTATGCCATTTCAGTTCAATTTACGGATGCCAAGTTTTAAGAGCCCTAAATAATTTGTTTTAGGGTCAAATTTATCCAGATCGTCTAGTCTTTGGCAACCTTTCAACACCAGTTTCTCAGTTATACAAAAACTAAATAAATGTATTCAAATTACACCAGAAAGAAAACAAAATCAATGATGCATTGAATCCACTCTTTAAGTGGAAATGTTTATTTACTTTCAATCATTGTTAACCACGGTTGGAACAGACTATCATCAAGATTAAATCGAGGTACCAGCACAGTGAAGAGTTTATTAGTCACCTTTCTGAGATGCAGTCTCATTTAGGGGGGGGGGCGACAGGCTGCTGCTGGAAGTAAATGAGTTTTAGCATAGCAGGCACTGGGCAACAAACCCTGCGCACTAAAATATAAACCTTTAGTTTGAGATTTAAAAAAATTACGTATAGAATTTATTTTTCTCTCTAAAACAAAAGGAGAAAATTGATTCAATTCCGAGTGCAATACATTACTGAAAGTTATTCAATCATACAAAAAACGCACAGATCTACTACTTTTTTTCCCTTTAAACCAACACTGCAATTTTCTCAGCAAAGAAACTAATTCACAAAAAACATAAAAAATCGGGGAAAAAAAATTCTACATTTAAAAAAAACTATTTGAATAGCTTACATTATCAACACATTTAAAAACTCTGGTAATGGAACATTATTTTACATATTACTGAATGTAGTCCATGTGTACATACTATGGAGGACTGAAGCGGACATTATCAAAGATGCAGAAATATATGAAAATAAATCAATATGCTAAAAAAGCACCAGTTAATTGACAAAAAGCTGTATCATTTTATATTTCTAATCTAATTTTCACCTGTAATTATACACATTTCTTCTTTTTTTTTAAAGTCCATTTATTCACTTTAGCACATGCTTTATAACTCATGTCACTATTTTTTCAAGCCTGTATTAATCATTCAATTTTCCCTGTATACAATACTTATTTAAGATATTTGTTTTACAACTTTTACTTATTTTATTGAATGTTTTCACATTTGCTTAACTAACTCTGTTCCCCATTCAATCTTATTAATTCTTTTTATAGGTTGAAATTAGAGTGGAAATGTAAACTTATGTTGCATTCTGTTGTTTAGTTGCCGCATTTTTTGGTAAATTGATTTGCTTATGGAGAAATGTATATATAACTGCATTTATTTTTAATTCTATCAATTTCAGTCCTCCATAGATCTTCTGTAAAAGTTGTAAACTAATGTATTTCTCCCTTTCATAAAATCTTCCTACTCCTATTTCCAAAAAATTCAATTGTAGAAAAGAATGTGTGTATAAAAATATTTCTTGTCAAAACATAGCTGTTTTTTCTATTATCTTTTTAAACACCCAAAAGATTGAAGAAATAAAAAGCCACTATAAAACTATAACACCACAAATAAACTTTACTTGCTACCAGATCCTGTGACAATATGTGCATTCTGGCCAGTGACATATGACTTAAAAAAAACACTAATTCAAAAGACACTTGGATGTCCCTTTGAGTCTTCTAGTCCTTTTTACAGAAAGCAGTCATGATACCATAAAACATGTTATGTTGCACCATGATCCAGACATTTGAAATGTCAGAAAACAAACTTTCTGGGCCAGCCAAACACTGGAGAGTTGTGAATGGATGAGAGTGAAAAAAAGGATTTCTTCTAAGACCAACAAGTTGATTAAAATAAAATACACTTCATTTCTAATATGTGAGATTCAAAGCATAGTCAATAAAAAAGACTGAACACAAAAGGGAAAAAGTCCTCTATGTTCCTCAAATTTAAATACGACCTAAAAAAAAGGCATCACTAAATATACAGAGAATTTTGTGTTTTACTTTGTGTGTCAACAGTAGTGTCCAATATGTGGAAAGCAGTGCAGGTCAGTCCAGTAGGATTTCAATTTACTCCTTCAATTCTGCGTCTTCTTTCAGTTTCTGCTCCTGCATGCGACTGCGGGTGGAACCTAAATGGAATGAAAGATAAAAAAAATTTGAAAAAAATTAAAGCAAAAAACTTGCATGAGTCCAACCAACACAACTGGCAATAACAATATAAAGATAAGAAGTAGTGTTGCGCGCAGAATATAATGATGGAGATTTCACTTACTCATCTCTGCAAGCTTCTGTATCAGTGTCGATTCCCCTCCAGATTTGCTGTAAATAGGCAAAATTATATTGAGCTTAATTCAAACAGATATATTACTGTACAGCAAATGAGCCCTGTGAAGGTGTCCAGTTGCTTGACTAAATGATGTCTCTAATGTATCTCCTCGATAGTCTGAAAAACTAATATTTTACCAAATTCAGGGAGCTTACATAACAAGATGAGTACTATTTCTACTAAAGGCTGTGGCTCTCTCGTCTTACTTTCTGATCGTGAGTGTTGTCTGAGCTTATAGATTGGGACACCGGATAACAATAGCAACTTTAGCAACGCGTGTGACCAACCTGCCATCAGCCTCGTCCTGACCGTCCACATCGAAACGTAACCTCTTCAGTGGCTTTGGGTTGGAGCCAAAATCCAGAGTTCTCTTGTGGGACCGCTCGCTGCTGCTGACCATCTGGTTGATCTTCTGGAAGCGATTTCCCATCTTGTAGATGAAAACAAAAGACACAGAGTAAGAGAGTGAAACATTCCGGATTTGTAGCTGTTGAGATGCTGATCTATCATTATAGGAACTCAAACTAAACATGTCCATACCCCAAAGGATTCGCCAATCGATACCAGCATCCTGCAAACAATAAAGACCACAGCATGAAAAAAAAAAATTTGAATACATCTTATTTGAAATTAATACAAATCATAATGAAAACATAGGGCTGACCTGGAACGAGGAGTCATGATACCCGGAGACATGCGTGAATTTTTCATGGGAGAGACGTACACATTGTTACTGCCAGGCACACGCAGGGGTGAATTAGAGAACTTGTAGGGGCTGCATGGGATTTGTGGGATTGGAGACAGTGTTGGTGGCTAGAGAGTAGGAAAACACAGCAGCATTAGCAATAAGAAAGGGTTTTTTTTTTTTTTGTACATCTTAACAGTAAGTAATTACCACTAATTAGACTCACCCTGGTAGACGCATACTGGAGGATGTTGATCTTTAACTTTTGCATGAACACTTGATTGTAGAATACGATGATGGAGTCATACAGGCCCTCTGTGATCAGCACATGCTTAAAAGTCTGCAGGAAATATTGCAAGAATTAAAACATTGCCCAGAAATGTAACAAGTCGTGATTAAACATCCACCGACTGGACGACCGCAAAAGTTTGTCCAAAAGGATGAGTCTTACTAACTGGAATTTTGAAAAGGTTACATCACCTCTTGGTTGGTGTTGGGCATGTTCTTGTATGCTGACACAATGGACTTGAAGCGCAGATCAACACTCTTCACTTTGCATATGGCATACATGGCAGACATCATTAACTGCAACAACATTTAGAGGCTTTTAAGAGATGAAGAGAAGAAAAACTAAAGCAGAGGGGTTGAAAGGAAGGAACAAGAGAAAGATGAATAGTGAAGGGATGCACGCATTGAGACCACTGACCATAACAATGAACACAACACAACTTGCCAATGCTTTGTCTAAGAAAGTTTTTGTGTGTGTGTGAATTAAATGAAAATCAAAAAACATATTTTTCCTCATACATATTGTGTCTATTCTCGTTTACTTAAGGGTGTCCATACTATGGATTACAAAGTTTTTGATTTACAGTAAAATGTCACTACTAAAAAAATAACAATTTTCCTCCTGTCATAGTTTTGACCTGCACAGCTCTGTCCCCTACAGCAATACTTGCAACATTTTTATAGTTCCTGTTGAGGGTGTGGGTGCCCCATAAGACTACAGGCCAGCAAGGAACAGGACATTTAAAACCACAGCCTGAAGCTGTTCAGGTACCTGGTCAAGGTGACGGTCTCTCATGAGCTCGTACTCGTGCTGCAGAGTGTGCTGGAACAGCGTCCATATTATGGGCTCCAGGTCAGGGTGGGAGGACAGCAGGTAGGAGCAGAGCAGCTTCAGCCTCGTATAAGCCAGGCGGTACACTGAGAGAGACGAGGGAAGCTGTAAAACCAGCACCACTGATTGCGTTTTTTTTATAGTGCAGAGATGAACGAGTTAAAATGACCAGTTCAAATGCAAATATAAATTAAGTTAGCTAATAAGCACCTAAATGAAAGTTATCGTTGCTTTGTCTTTTTTTTTTTTAAAGCAGCAGTAGTTATGCCAAGGGTTTTTAGGCAGAGAACTGACTTGAGCGCTGATAATGTCACCTTAACAACAGCTTACATTTCTTATAAAAGAGGCTGAGTGAGTTTGACTTTGGGAGGCGTGGAGCTTGGCCGGCAGCCTGGACCTGGGATGCTTGAGAGTTGGGCGTAGCTGGGGACTCAGGGGGCAGGACACGATGGCCTGGGCGCACTGGGGACAGATACCTGTGAAGAGGAAAAACGGAAGAACCACTAGTGCCTGTCAAGTTAAACTACCACTTTAATACACACATAATTACTGATTGTCAGTCATGGAATTTTACTCTTTCATTTATGATTCATGATGGTTTCACAATACTCCGGAGAGGGTTCTCTACTCTATAGACAACAATTCAGACTCTGCTCTGGTGACTGAGGGTGGGATGACTCACAAGTCAGCGGCAGTGTGGTTGTGCTGCAGCGGTTGGCTGAAACTAGCCGGTGTCTCCACCTGTTCTGCTGCTCCACCCTCGTGTTCCTGCTTTAGGAGCTCAAAGAGCGGGGAGCCCTGCAAAGAAATACCCATAACACCAGGTAAACAAAGCTGATCACATCATTACATCATGGGATCAATTCGCTTAATAGGTTCAAATAAATATCAACTTAAAGAGGGTAATTTCAACAACACCAAATCAAAATTCTGAAATATTGTTATCTTTCTTACGAGCAACCACTGAAATAAATAAAAAATCCTCAGACCCTTTTAAACAATCCTTTCAGACATTTTTTTAACAATACAACACCACAAAAATAGTTTGGAAAAAATAATAAATGTTATTTACTTAAAGAGCCTTTATATATATTTATTTGCAGATTTACCCCTCAGTTCACTTTATTGTTAGCCTTGATTTTCATTCAATAAATATTAACGACAGTATATCATTACAGAATATTTACCATAATCATTGGACATAAACAAGACTTCTGTCCCTAAAGGTGAATGTATTTTTACATTAGCTTACATTAGCTTAAAAATGAGAAAGTCTTTTTGCTTCCACCTAGAACTAAAAGAAAAGAACAGCCCAAGTCAAATCAGTGTAACACGAAAGTTGTAACGCTAACATCTGCACTTGATTTGTTTTGCAGAAAACCACAGCTCATAAACCATATCTATTGACTGATAACACTTTGTGTTGATAAAAGAAAACTTCCTGCAGTATATGACAAAGCAAAACCCATACTGCCACAAAATCAGTGAACACACAAATGTAAATTGCTCATAAGTCAAATGAGCGGGGGAGGAAGGGGAAGAACTGGGAAGTGGGTAGCTGGAGGTTCACTGCTCAGCAATTAAAACACAGTCACTGCAGGTACAGGCACGCCGTGAGTACATTCTTTATGACATGCTTGCTACACCCTGCTGACGCCATCCTAATGTCGAAAGCCTACCTCCTTTTTGACAGTGTTCTGTGTCAGTCCTGAAATCAGCACTGCAGAGCTTTATTGGATTGTGTAACTCTGTAAGAGCTAGGTCATCAACAGATTTATATTTCACTTAAGATCTGATGATATCTTGTACTTAAAAACATTCAGTTCCGCATTAAATAATAATAAGGTATAATAACAGTGTTGATAATCAAAAATGTAAAGTTTCTGTGACTGATTTATTTGAAGGCCAATTTTCATCCTACATCAGTAAGGAATAAAGACAGTCCTGATAACACAAAAAAAATCTAATCTTTTAGCTGAATACTAAAATTCAAACTGGCAATGCAACTGCTATACAATGCAGCTGTAGGGGGACTTTGGTCCCAGCGAAGGCTCCTCCCCTTGTTTAAACAGTTCCAGTTCTCTGTGTCTGAGCATTTGACTTGTAGGCAGCTCCTGGATGTCTGAAATACAGTCAAGCTAGAGACGAGTAACAATCACCACACGCCCAGAAGGCTTCTGTAAGAACACACTGGAGGACAAGGGAGTTAAAAGAAGCACTCAGTGTTGAGGAGGTGAACGTTTTGAACATTTCTCCCGTGGAAAACAACTGAGGATAATTTCACTTGAACCTGGATTAAACGTGATGGACAACTTTCACAGAAAGGAAATGCTTGTATAGAAGTTTGAACGTCGATCTAAGGTACTTGTGGAGTTCTTTTAAATCATTTTCATTGGATTTAATGACAAAAGAAAAACAAACTGATCATTCTTTTCCTTTTTTTGGATGAACATGACTGGAAACAAAACCAGAGCACAAAAGTGAGGGGAGTTTTCAACAGATTATTTCAAACCTCAGTCTGTTGTAATCATGAGTAACAACAGCATGTGCGACAGGGGTGACGACTTCAAGTACCCTCTCTACAGTGCCGTTTTTAGTCTGGTGTTTGTGGTGGGACTACTGTTCAACATGATGGCTATCTACATCTTTTTCTGTACACTTAAGCTGCGCAACGAGACTACAACATACATGATTAACCTTGTGGTTTCAGACTCACTGTTTGTGCTGAGCCTCCCTTTCCGAATAGTGTACTTTGTTAAGCGCAACTGGATATTTGGAAGTGAGCTCTGCAAGATCTCTGTGGCCCTGTTTTATACCAACATGTACGGCAGCATCCTCTTCCTCACATGCATCAGCGTTGACCGTTTTCTAGCTATTGTTTATCCGTTTCGTTCCCAGGCAATTCGCACAAAGAGAAATGCCAAACTGGCCTGCCTTACAGTGTGGGTAATGGTTCTCGCTGGAAGTATACCCACCGGGTTCCTTCTGGACACCACTTCGCCCAACAATACCAACTCTTCTGCCAACTTCTGCTTCGAGAACTACTCAAAAAAACAGTGGAGGGCTGAGCTGTCCAGGGTGGTGGTGTTTATAGAGACTGTGGGCTTCATCCTCCCATTAATGATCAACGTCTTCTGCTCAATCATGGTTCTAAAGACCCTGAGGAAACCCCAAACCATCAGTCGTGGAGGAAACCTCAACAAAACCAAGATACTGAGGATGATCTTAGTGCATCTGTTCGTCTTCTGCTTCTGCTTCATTCCATACAACGTTAATCTCATGTTCTATGCAGCGGTCCGCTCCAAATACCTAAAGGGATGTTACGCAGAGCTTGTGGTCAGAACAATCTATCCCATTGCTCTTTGCATTGCAGTAACCAACTGCTGCTTTGATCCGGTCATTTACTACTTTACCTCAGAGACAATTCAGAGTTCCATCAAACGAAAGACTATGGCGTGGCACAACGGAACCAAACTCTTTGACAGACTACAAATGGACAGCACACAGAGCAGCCCAAATACAACACTCAAAAATCTCACACTGCTGAAAAAGACAACCAACAACGCTAACAATGAGTCCACTGTCTGAGGGCAGTTAAGCGTGGTGTGATTAATAATTCAGTGTGTTTGGCTGATATAAATGAGAGGACAGAGATTAAAGCAGGAGACACACACAAGATTGTTACTAAAGGAATCACGCCCATCTGCTGGACAATACAGAGACCTTGGACCGAGACATAAAACACTGAGCCTTACCTAACCGATAGACGAGCTGCAAACTAAGTGTTTTATAGCGTAAGCATGAATGGTGCTATTGAACATGTAACTGCTTTGTCACAAAAAACATCATCTTTGTTTTATAAATCAGAGCTGACACTCCTCAAGCCATCCTGAACCAGTGTTATAGAGCTTTCATTGTCTTACTGTGCAGCTTATGTATAATATGCGGTAATAATAACACCTATGTGCACTTTATAAAGCAGGATGTTTTATAAAACCCTTTTTTTCTGTGAACACTGGGTGTGAATAAAAAGGTTTTCATTTTTAAATGAATCCTAAAACTGTTTCATTGAAAGAGGTATTGTTGAATGTTTGCTGTTATTATGCGTCTCTTAATGGATGCAACCAAGGCATTTGTGTAGACTCATTACTCATATGAGTACCAGAAAAAGGCTCTGTGGTTGGGTTGTTACAACAGAGGAGGTTAATGTGAAGGCAGAAGTTGTGGTTTCCATTTTACAGGAAGCTTCTATAGAAAATTTGGGGTAAAAAATGGGGGACTTGCAAGTAGCTTTTATCTGCCTTCTTACACTTCCATGGAACTTACGATAGAAGGATGGGAAAAAAGTCTGTCCAACTACATGTGAAAACAGATAACAGCACACATAGATCATGGAGGAATTTGAACGCATGTGAAATATCTGCTTACTCTTGTTATTGTATGCACTGCAAGACAGGGCATTGCTGCATTCCTTTTGTGAGGCTCCGCCAGCGCTTGCTGAGACAGCGAAGCAGACGAGCTAGCGACGAGCTACAACCCGCCTCTTTAACAGCCTTGCATCACAGGTGGTTGATGCCACATAACTAAAAAAAGGTGTTAACTGTGGCTTACCCACTGACCTTTAGAGCGGAAAAACTGAGCAAGATTATAGCAATGATAGATACAACTTTACAAATGATACTTTTGCAACTATTAATATTTCAAAACTTAAAATTTAAGAGATGTAAAAGCTACATCTATAGAAGATGAAACAAATAAAAACACAAAAGAATCATATATATTGTGAACAGGAAAAAAAAGGATCTGTTAATTTTAAGAAGTACACTGACAAAATGCTGAGGATAGCACTGTTTTGCCTACATTTTTGGCTCGTAGAGAGTAAATCTGGAACAGTTCCTCCATTTGGTTCACCTGGACACAGTTCTACAGATTCTCCAAAATGTGCCCATCCCAACAACGACATACGAAATTGCTGTCTGATTGCAGCAGTGTCAGACATCAGAGCGCTGTTATTTTGAGGAACAGCTATAGGGAAAATGGTTAATAATCAATCCAAATCACTAGTGTAGTTTTTTTTAAGTAAACAACTGCATGTGTGTGGGTGTATGTATTATGGGAGGGAGGAGAAAAAGAGATTGATCAGTGGAGCTACAGCTTCAGGCAGTAGTATACATACTGCTACTGCATGATGCTGAACACCAGCTTGTGGAAAAAAGGATGACCACGCTGTCAGCGCGTTAATCCCGTTACCGGTGAGTGACATTTTACCTATTCCAGGTTTACTCTTTGCTTGTACCAACAGATTCCACAACACAGATGCACAGAAAAAGCATTGTGGTTAAATGAGAGATACTTTTTTTAGCTGACATAGATTCACTATTCAATTTTAGTCTTCATTTTTAGCCTTCGATGAACCATTCAACTGATGTATTCAGCAACAGTTCAAATGTCCTTAAAAACCAGGCTAATCATATGCTTACTGATATATAGAAGAAAATAACCTTTTGCACAAATATTTGGCATAAATAACTTTTTTTCCCCCCTGACTGGTTCAAGCATACTCACAGGGAACTGTTTTTAGTCAAACCTAAAAAGTAAAGAAACAGTTCAGGGAGCTGGAGACCTTTTCAATAAGTGTTTGTCAGGGAGTACTCTCCAATTCAATTTCCAGCAATGTAAAAATAATCTAACTACGACAGGAAAAGATGTGACAAACATGTGAGTTTGTTGAAATGTTCCACAAAAAAATACATAAACGTGGTCAAACTAAATCTTAGTCTTTTTTGCCATCTGGTATAAAGTAATGCCTCCCCTATATACTTCTGTTCACAAATAATCTCTGAAGTTATTGTTTCCAGCTCTAATCTTTAGTAAATTGTATTGATGTAAGTCGTTAGTCATTTTGTGACAGAAATTATTTGATCTGAGATCTAAAGTCATGACAAAAATGAATAAGTAAAACTTACAATCAAACACTCACTGAAAGACACCACCCCAAACCTAAATCAAAACCTCTGCAAATGTCCATCAAAGATCAACGTTATGAGCTTCAGTGAATGTATAGAAAGTATATTGTATAAGAAAATTGTATGCCGCTTTGTGTACGCTCCAAATGTAATGAGAGCAAATGTTTGCTTTTTTTATGAAGGTATAAAGCTGCACTTAAAAGTTTATAGGCAGAATGATGTCAGTTAGTCAAATATATTCATTTGTCTAAGCAAATTTACATTCTATAAACCACTGCCGATTTTTAATTACTTAAGTTTTAATCCTCAACAGGCGCAATTTCTCCAGCAAAGGCAAATGAAAATGTTTGTCCCCTGCGTCATTTGCATACTCCAAGCAACGTCATCCGTTTCAGACTAAAGACAGCAAAGGAAGGATTTTATACTGTGAAAAAAATCCTTTTGAGTCATGGAGATGTGGAACATGTCAGATCTGACAGGAAGCCTGGCTTTGCCTTTATACAACTGTACGGTGGATACTAGCTACCGCTTCACCTTCTACCAAGTGTCCTATAGTATCATTTTCCTGCTGGGGTTGCCTACAAACGGGCTGGCTTTGCACAGACTTTTTTCATCCCCATGCACCATGAACAGCACAGGCATTTACATGGTCAGTCTGTCCACTGCTGACTTTTTGTTCATTATCTCCCTACCCATGAGAATCTACTACTACCACCAAAAAGCTCAAGCTGTGTCCTCAAAGACAGAGGACCTGTCCAGCTGGACTCCTGGAGCAGCTTACTACCAGATCACTTTTATCATCAAATACATCAGCTTGTATGGAGGCATCTTCTTCCTGGTGTGCATTGCTGCTGACAGATACCTAGCTGTGGTGCACCCTTGGGCCCCTTCACTCCGCAGGCTTCGCGTGGCACAGATGGTTAGTGGTGGGATCTGGTGCCTGGTGCTCGGACTCAGTGTGAGTTTGCCCTTGATGTGCTCTGCGTCATCCCTCCGAAACAAGTCCTGCCTACTTGACCCGTCCTCACAGAGCCATCAAACAACAATCCTGATAGTGCTGGGTTTAGTGCTGGTGTCATTTCTGCTGCCTACTCTGGTACTCCTCTATAGCTACTGCAGAGTGCTGAGCGTGCTCCGCCGATCAAGGTACCACAGCCACCGTCACAACCGTCGGCACGCCCTAAGGGTTATTTACTGCGTGCTGGGTGTCTACCTGCTGAGCTTCCTCCCCTACCACATCAACCTGCTGGGATATACGCTCACACATATGAATCTGCTGCCCTTCTGTGGGCTGGCTAAGGTGACAAAGGCTGTGCAACCTGTGGTGCTTTCCCTCGCCAGTTTCAACTGCTGCCTCAATCCACTCATCTATTATTTCTCCAGTAGTGTGGCCCACAGGGAGACAGCAGGTGGTTGAGAGAGAGGCAGCCTTCCTTAAGTTCTTATTTAGAAAAAGGCTTTGATTTACCTATTAATGAAGCTAGGCATAGTTTTGTCAGAATGTGTACTGTTACTATTGCATACTGTGTGCGTGTTAAACAAATTTTGTGTTCTTTCACATGAGCAGTAATACACTGAACAGCTTGTGTATTTTGAATTAAATGTACATTTGTTATTCATGTCCTTCAACCTAAGACTGTAACTCCAGATTAACAGATACATGGATATGGAGGGATGACAACCAACCACCAAACCATTGTATAACCTGTATACTGTACACATGGATAAGAGCACACACTGCTGATTTTGCATGTGAATGTGAATATAGTGGAACAGGTAATGAAACTTTCTTTGACTTAGCTTGTGCAGATCATTTCTAAAGAATCTATATTTATTTTCCAAACTGCTGATTAGATATTTTTTGTGTTGTGTATGCAGCATTACAGGTACATTTCTGCCTCAGTGTGAGATAAAACTGACCGTTCTCCATGCAATCTTCTCCATGATCAGGTTCTCGCAGGTCTCCAGATGTTTGATGATATCTTTGCTCAGGGTGGGTTCGGCCTTGATGAAGCTCTCAATTACTTTGTAGAAGTCAAAGGCAGTGAGGTTGAAAACATTCAGTATCCAGGGGAAACACACATCTGTTTCAGCTGGGTTGTCTCCGCCGTGGTTGCACCCCCCATTTTTGAAGCTGCTCTCTGGATACAAGTAGCAAAAAAACATTATTACCCTTTGTCCTACATACAAAGCCTGTCTTCTATAATTGGGTTAATGATTTCAAAATACAACAGAGCTTTCTTATTTCGAGAAAAGGTTTCACCTTCATATGTCGCCATGACGACCTCCAAAGCACAGGCCAGTAGGGATGTGTGGAATGTAGAGTCATTGAGAAGTTTACTGGAAGGAAAGTACAGAAATTAGGTTTTTGTGCATAACAAAACTCTGCTGTCTGATGCTCAACATCAGTCAGGCGAATAAATACCTGAAATTCTGCACAGACAGCCGTTTCTCTTCCTTTTGAATCAAATAAATTAAAAACATGAATCAAAGAAAAAGGTATGTCACATCCAGCATAAATCAAAATGAGTATTTGAGTAAAAAGAAATAAAAAGACACTGTACCGATTTCAGCATTGCCTCCATGACCTTGTAATACAGTCTGACACCAAGGGCGAATCTCTACAAAATGAAGAAGTTAAAAAAAAAACGTATATACGTTCCGTTCAATAAGTTCAGAAGTTCCACTGCCACGCATGCTTCTCGTCCCGTGAGCAACAGTCCTTACCTGCCTGCCGTACACAACACAGCGCGGCCCAACAGCCTCACCAAACTTCTGACTGAACGCCAGTCCGAGTCTCTCCAAACGCTTCTGCACATCCTGCGTGGGGTCCACAGTGCAGTTCTGATCCCAGAGAAGAGGATAGGAAAAAATAGGTCAAATTAAGGAGGAAGCTCATGGGACACTCCAATTTGTTTCCTTATTTCTCCAGACCTACTTTGAAATATGTGACCAGGTTAATGGATGGCCTATCTCCAGTGGAAGGTAGATCACCCCTCAGCAATCTTATGGAGGTCATGGCAGCTCTAAGAAAAAAAAAAGTTGTATAATGGCAACAAAAAGAAAAATTGGTTTGAACACGCGGATAAATGTTTGGTAAAGTATCATAGGTATGAAAATAATCCAAGAGCTGCACTGTTTGGCTCGTCACATCTGCTATTACATCTAGATATAGAAATAAAATGAACTTTTCTAAATTACTGTGCAGATATGCCTCTCTTCATTTTTCTTCTTAATAAAGCGAACTTACAAACTAATACCCGAAACCTCTTATTACATTCTGGTGGTTTCTCTATATGTAATCAAACTGCAAATAAGCAGGGATACCATTATTATTATTGTCTATCCTTTGATGCCATTTTAGAGCTCACTAATACAGCAGCTCACAGATGTCCAGCCACCACAATGGAAGAAACAACATCCCCGTCCCTGCTCTCTTGATCAAGAAGGAAGAACCAGTGAGACTCACCTGATTGGAGTCTGGGGCGGGATGATTACCCCATCCTCATCTGGCTGGCTCTTCTTGGGTGTTCTCTCCACCTGAGATCTAAATGCAGAACCAGACTATAAAACATGTTCCTTAAACACTCCTAACAAATCACTAAATGATGGGAAAAAAAGGGATTACATTTCATCTTTAGCTGCAAGAACAGTCTCATCCCCATCAAAAAACAGCCTTCCGTCAATGTCTCTGCTCTTGAGGTAGTGCTCTTCATACTGTTGATTCACATCAGTCCCCTGGGGGGAAATTTAAGTGTGGTTATTCAGCGAAAGGAGATTTACCAGACTTCACAAATAAGATTTGTTTATTTACAATTATAGCTTATATCTGCTACGGTCTCCAAATAAAAACTAAAACATTTTTAAACAAGAAAAAGCGCTGACTCTCCAAAAAAACCCCATCAGATTCACAGTGGAGTGGAGTCTGCAATAAAATAACCTGAGCTGAAATCTCATCAATTGTCAATGTTTTTCCCCCAAATAAATCATCCCTCTATGGGAGGTGTAATAACGTGAGATGCATAAAATGCTTAAGCACCATCTGTCCGTTACTGGGGTAACACTGCAGTAAAGTAAACATAACCAGTATTTAGAGGACTGTGTCGATGTCGGCAAACAGTAGCCTCCTGTCTCCCTTGTTTTCATAACTCCCTCTGCAATATACCACCTTGACGTACTACAAAGGATCCCCTGTTGAGTAAACAATTTTGTGAGGCTTGTTATGTGTGAACAAACATGTATAGGCAGCAAAAGGAAAAGCCAACATCTGTCAGACACTAAAACGTTAAATAAAGGTAACAATAACAAGGAGATGACTCGGGGAGAAGCTGAATGTGGACGAGACAGAGCACAGGAAAGAAAAGGAATGAAGGAAAACCTAAAAAAAAAAATTGCAAGTCTTCTGACAAACACGTACCTGGAGAAAATCTGGAGATCTTGAAAGATCCAGAGACTCCAGGAAAGCACAGAAACTGGTTTGGTAAACATTTTTTACCTGCAAATCAAATTTGGAGGGGCAGTATTCAAATGATGACCACAAAGATCTATTCTTTTTTTTTCCAGGAAGGAAAGTTCTCATACCTCGTCTGCATTGCATTCATTTTCTTTGCACAAGGTTTCTAGAAGTTGCACATCAACCTCTGGTTCAGCAGGTTTGGATTTGGCTTTGCTCTGGTTTCGACGAGATGTTCGTGTTGGGGGGCTCTGAACCTTGCTGATGGCCGATTCTAGAGGAAAATGAAAAGAGTAGAAAAAACAACGCGAAAGCCATTAACAAAAAAATCTGTTGACAAATAAAGCTCTTACTTTCCACTGCTAAACAACATGATCAACATTTTTTGGCTGTGTGTTGAGTTCAACATAAATCATGTCGTAGCTCACTATAAAGGGGCTGAAGAAGGCCTGGAGAACAGCGTTTGATGAATAACTCCAGCGTACAGAGCAACAACTGGAATGAAATGACCAGGTCATCTTCCATCTGCAGGGTCCTTCCTGCGGACAGCAAATTAAAATCACAAAACACTGGAGCTGAGAAACAAGAGACCCGTAAGCAGGGAAGAAACATTTTCCAATTAATCTGATATCCATAACTGAGCATAAGGGAGGAAGGAAGGGTGAAAAGCACACAATGGAACAGCATGAACACGATTCCATCAAGTAAGGCATCGACTTGATCTGGCCTGTTTTTGGTGCTTTTCGGTTTGAAGGCTTAACTTACCTTTTGCCAGCAGAAACATTGTCCAGCAGGTCTTCATCGTCTCCCTCTCCCTTGAAAATGACACACTTAATCATTAACCATGCGCAAAAAAAAAATTAACATTTATAGCAAGCATGTAAGAGTCAAACAAAATTACTAAGATACAAAAGTGTGCCAAAAGTTAAAACAGTGGCAGTAGATAAGCTCAACTTACGTGCCCTCAGGAGTCAAAGCAAATATTTTCTTGCATGTTCTGAAAAAGAAATGACGATAATAAGTGACAATTTTTTTCCGTAATATTCTCTCTCTCTGCTGCAACGCTCACTCACTTTTCAAACCTCTGGTAAAGAGCCAGCATCACATCGTACTTCTTCTCCAGTCGTGTCAGGGCTGAATTCACCTTACTGCTTATGGTATCCAAGTTCACATCCATCTTTTTCACCAAATCTAAAAACTGTTTTATGCTACCATACAACAGAGAAAACCAGGAGTGAAACAAACATTTTTTTCAAATTAAAATTACTGATAAAGATACTAACAAATCAGTTATAAAGCAGGTGTAAGCAATTGTTATGTTATTTCTGGAGCTGGTAGCATTATTTACATTTTTTTTTAATTTAGGTAAATTCATTAAAAATATGTTACACAAAACTGAAGGTACATCAACACATTTGAAACAAGTCAGCAATGACTTATCTACACCCCAAAAAGATGATGCTTATGGCTAAAATAAGTAATGTGCTCCCTTAAAGTAACCTATTTAAATAGGTGATTATTGCACACAGATATGTAAAATTAAGTAACTTCAGGAACTTTCCTTAAAAAAAGAACAGTGTCCACTTACTTCATACTGACTGCTTTCAGAACTTGGGTCAAGGTGAAACAGGCAACATCCAAGTCTGTTACAGTAACGAACAGACAAGCACCCCAAAGCCTCTTCTGACTGTCCTGAAAGTTGTAAAAGAAACAAACAAAATGAGAGCATATAAGAGTGATATCTTTGCTTTGTGGATATTTGTATTCAGAAAAACAGAAAAGACAGATTTCTCTGTTACAGTTAAGATGAAGGGTTATGTAACACAGTGGCAAACATGCCTATCTATTTGGTGTCAACGAATTCCAGATCTAGTTTCTTTTCTTTAGCATGAAGAGGTTGGTCATTGGGGGGAAAATAAAGAAAAGGGTTCAAGTGGAAAAAAACGCAAAACTGTAAGGCCATTTATCACTCAGGTTGCTATGGTTTTCTTATTAAACAGTAATTCAAACATTATTACAATTTAAACCCATATCTTTTAACATAACCCCAGCGTCACACATATGGTCATGTGATGGCACGACATGTAGACGTACATATACAAATACATACAATAACTTCATCCATGGATTCCTGAACAGTTTTCCAAAGCACCCAGGAACGCTCACAGACCAGGTCAGTCACACGAAGGCTCTTGCAAAGAGTCACAAACTCAGCATCCTTGTCTCTGTGTCTAGAGGAGAGAAAACAAAAATATCAATAAACAACACGGAGGGCAGCAGGTCCCAGAGAACGACTGCTGACTGCTAGCATGTACTGAGTTTCTGCGTTATAACAGCATAATGTGTCCTGTTACCCCAGTCAAACCATAAATATATATTTATACTCCGAGATTAGAGGCGTAGATGTTCGAAAATTGTGGAAATATTACTGGCATTATGTCGAAATTCAGGCCTCACGTCGTTTAAAATAGCTAACTAGTCGGCCTAAGGGATCATGACTAAAGCTAGTAAGCAGCGGTAATATACATGAACAAACCAGCTAAACATAAAGTACAAAGTAACTTTTCTTCATCTAATCGTAAAATGATTGTTGCTGAGTTGCCAATGGTGTATCTTAACAGGTCTTACTTTTTCACAGATAACTCTGGACTCTTTTCTAGAGAGGGACTGTCAGTACTGGGCTTCACTTCTTTGCTCTGTGTCGTCCCGGAGTTGCGTTTTTTAGGTGGCATGTTGGCGCCCGGTTACCTCACAGACAACTATAATTAATTGGAAAAAGGCTGTATTTTTCTTTTGAAGAAATCGCTGATGTTTGACCGGATTTAAAACCCCCAGAACAAGTTCCGTGCCGACCTATACAACAAACGACCTACTTCCTGCAGACCTAGATAGAGTGGTGCTTGTTTTGTAAAACCAGAGTATGCGGTGAACCACCAGTGTGGGGTGTGGTGCTCATTTTAAAGGCGATGCACGCTTACCACTCGTTGGTTTGTTCATGCTTAAATGTTTACTTGATTGTTGTATTAATTTATTCTCTGTTTAAATCAAAAGGCACCAACCACATAAACAACATTTTGCGTTAAAATTACCCTGAAGTCCCAACAACAAACAGACCGCAGTCGGCGTTGCAGGTTCTAAAAACGAGCAAACCCAAACTCAAGCTAGAAAAACGCGCGAAAACGTGTGCGCCATATCCGTTCATTTACATTTAACCCGCCATGTCACTGTACGAGAAACGTTTTGCAAACTCCGTATTGTTCTTATATTGTTACTAAACTACAGTCATATGTTCAGAGTCGGCACATCCACAGAAAACACGCACTTTCTCTGTTTTCTTTTTGTTCCTTATCATATTGTACATGTATGGTTTCTCATTTGCCATAAATAATACACATTTCTTCCAGTCTCATCCTTGAAAAACACATCTCTGTGTTCTATCAGTGTACACTATCCTCGCTGCTATTCATATAAGATCACCAGAACAAGACGTGTTATTTTAGGAATCAAACTGATATCAGACCAAGACACGAACCCTCATCTTATTGGAGTTGCTGCCCTCTTGTGGTAAAACTATCGTCCACGTTCAAGTTTTATTTTTGCGTGGCATTAGGCCTGAAATTGGCGAAAGCTCTGCCGTTTTTTCAATAAGTTAATCAAAAATATGTCTCCCAAAAAATCATTTATAGGATGGTGGCGAAATGAACAGGGCTGAAATTGTGTAAAACAATTTTCTTCTAAAACGTTATTTATCATAATCTGTTTGGTAGGCAAGGAGAACAAATGAGGAAGAGCCTGAAATGTATTCATTCAATCAATTTATTCGTCAGTTAATTTCACAATTTCTGTTTTACGAGGGATGTGAAATTATTCTGTTTCCAATCATTATCTTGCAATCATTTCACAGGTGTAAAAACCCAAACAGCAGAGAGGCTGAAATCTCAACCATTTGTTAATCATATGGGTGAAGCTAAAATGAAATTATGAAATTCCTCAAACCAAAAAATGTAAACATTTTTAAAGTAACCTCGAATTAATACAGTTTAAATAATCAAAATGTTTTGCTTTTTCTTTGCAGGCATACAAGAGCAAAATAGGACATTAAAGCAGGAAGTGGCCCATGGACTATTTTTAAAACTGTCAGCATCTTAATTCTACATTCGTCTGTAGATGATTGTCATGTTTAACATTATTTTTCAGCAGCTACATCAAACATGATCCTAAGGCATTAAGGCAATGTAAAAAAGGGCCACTAGTGTGATTTATGAGCCATGTTTACACCACATTCATTCCACATGCATTGAAGTTTGTAGTATGTAGTTTTTTTTTAAAGAAACATGTTTTTATGTCTGGATGGATCCGCATGGATTTTGCAGGGAAAAAAACACAACAACATTGGCATAAAGGTCCAGTATATTATTTTATATAGAGCTGTTTGGCTGAGTGAGCAATCTAACATCTGAGTAACATTTGCATCAACAAAAAAATACAAGTTGTTATCCTTAGAGGAATAGAGCAAATTTCTATTTCTGTTTTTTAAACTACATGTGCTTCACCAGATAGTAGTCGTGACATAACCGCGACTTTAGAAGAGCTTATATACAGCAAAACAAAATAGAAACTTTGCGTATGGTCCCAGCACATAACTGTAAAAAACTACAAATAAAGAGACAAATAAACAATTTGTCCTAAAAATTAGCAATCATTTAAAAAGTTTTCCTTACAGGAAATACTTTGTTACGATGTCAACATTGTTATATTTTCAATAGAATTGAATAACTGGCAGATTTTTCTTCAAGAAGCTGTATGAAGATGATCAGATTAGGCATCAGAAAAATTTGCTAAAAACATGAGGACGGTACCTTGGAATAGTAAACCTTTTTTCTTTTTACTACCCAAAATTTTTTGTAGCAGTCATTCATAAAAAAAACAAAAAAAAACAATAAGACGGAATAAAAATTGCTGTTGATTGTGCTGATCAGTCATCTGCACACATCTTTAATGATGTGTGCTCACTTCTCCTGGTCCTTCTGCGGGTTGGAGTATAACCGTACTTTTTATTAAGTCCTTCATTTATATACCTCTGGGGTCCATCTGCTGAGTTTGGGTGGTGTCTGTGAAACTTAATTATATGATATCTTCTAGACAAAATAAAATATATAAAAAACAAGTTTTCTCCATCCACAATAGTATAAATAAAGCTGGTATTCCACACTGCCCTGCAGGATGCAATCTGATCCGGCAAAGCCACCAGAGCCTCGCTGGGGTGGGTAACAAAATTCTAAATGTCTCTGTCTCTTAACAACAGAGTCTGCTCATTGTTGTGAGCTCATTGCTGCTCCTTTATGCCTGGCTTCCCAACTCCCACGTCATTGCAGTAAAGTCCATGTCGGTGAGTGTAACAGTGAACGGAGCCTCTACCCTCTCAGGCTCCAAGCGCTCTTCAGCTCTCCCGGTGCTGTTCAAGTTGTTCACCCTCCAGGAATTCAGGGGTCGAATTGACTTCCGGAAACGCTGCAAGGAAGAGGCGGATTGTCACATGCCCACAGAGTCTGCTCCATTCCATCTATGAAACTACCATGTCTGAGGAGCCACAGAGCTGAGCTGTGCTGCTAGCGAGGCAGTAGCCAGGGTGCAACCAGATGTCACAGTGACATAGAGGTGATACTTACGTCTTTCAGTGTTCCAGTTTCCCTGCTGATGGCCACAATGGCCCAGATGAAGATCTGCAGACAACAGGTCGCACCCATGCAGACGCCCAAAGCTTTCCCCCACCGTGGATACACATAAGAGCCGTAGTGGAGCGGAGTGTTGTACATCTCAATAAAGATGTAGGTCAGAATGAACTTAAGATGCAACAAGAGGCGTAGAGAGAGAGAGAAAAAAATTTCATTTAAGCACAGAGAAGTGATCTGAATTTTAAAAAAGGGAGGGATTTTGTACAGAAATGCTTCAGGGGGAGGTCAGATTGAATGTAGTTTTCCGCCCTTTAATTATTTAACAGGAAACAAGATTTCATTATAGTTGAGTAATGTAAAACTCAGTAACGTTTCCTGATACATAACATTTGTCAGGCTTCTTAAAATGAAATTGAACCTGAATGCAATTTCACGCATGTCTTATAAGCCAATGTTTTATTCACACCAGCAAACTAAATAACATAAAGCATTAAAGAACAACATGAACAGAACAACTCCATCCGACATGATTCACACCTGCATTTTGTTAGTAATAGGCTTCCTCGAAATAAATATAGAATTCCTGACTTCCTTTGTTTAGTTCCAGATCCTCAGCTTCACTGTCTAAAGTAAATAAATGCTTGACACCTTCCTGTCTCCTTTTGAACTGAGCACTGAGAGCTAACTGGAAAAATGACATGGGTAAAATAGTGAAATGTCTCCCTTTTTACATTTGACATACTTCATACGTTCAATTGTAATTTATCTGTGATCATCTTTTAATTCCAATTTTGCCAAACATCTCTTCTTTTTAGGAATCAGTGTTGTTGTTTCTGATCCCTCAACCATTTCCTGAGGTATTTTTAGCTCTCGAGGACAGCGCAATGCGTCATCCCTCATCAAATTACAACTTTGTTGAAAGCACAATAATACAGGCAACATCACCTGGGTCTGAATGTAACTGCATGCTTCTGGCAGCATACAAAAGGGAGCAGAAATAACAGAGGAGGTGTTGTCACATGGCTTTTGAGCATTATACAATGCTGTAAGCAGCAGTCACACTCGCTCCTTCCTTGTATTTGAATTTCATAGAGGACCATTTAACATCTTTACTTTGGTGAGTTTAACACATTTCCTGAAAACCATATACACTCGACAAATAGACCGCATTCTCCATAATCAGCCACGGTGCATGTACTCACAAGCAGAAGAAATGGAGTGCAGAAAACCCAGCATGCTTTGAAGTAAAGCAGCACTTTGCTGCACCAGGGAGGGCAGTGGCAGATCATGTCAACAATGTCCTGACAAAACTGGTTGACACCTGGAAAAAAAAATTGAATTGCAGTGTGTTAGAGAACCCTTGACAAAACCCAAACGATAACAGAGAACAGCAGTTATAAGTAAAAAATGTTGCCAGTTTGCTTTTCGAAAAATTTCCTGAAGTGAAATTCACATAATGGACTGACAGAGTTACATGTGACATGAAGAGTGATATTAAGTTTAGGGTTGTCAGATGGAATACCATAGAAGAAGGAGATGCCAATGCACATGAACAAGGTGATGATGATGAGGCCAAAACTAGTGCTGAAGGAGTCTATGAGAGTGAACCAGTAAATCCCTCCCTATGAAGACACAAACAGCACAAGAAATGCAGATCTGAGCTTACAGTGAGGACAGACACAGTCAGATTCTTCACAATATATCCTTCTGTTAAAACAAACTCACATTTGTCACTAACAGGAGCCCCATCAGGTAGAAGCAGAAGCAAAGAGCGCCTAAGAACAAGGACTTGTGCAGCGTGTTCCCCCTGAGATGTGGGAACTCATCCAGTACGGCTGTGGTGATTCCCTCCATGTTGCCAAACTGTGAGGAAACAGATTACGGGGTGTCATGCATATAGATTTGGATTTAAAGATGTTGACTTTTCTACCTATGTTTGCATGGTCTGTGGTCTTACCAGTGTATCAATCCCCAGCATAAAGAGCATGAGAAAGAACAGAATGGACCAGAAAACTGAGCCTGGAAGTAGAGCAAGGGCCTCTGGGTAGGCAACAAAGGCCAACCCCGGACCTTAAGGTAATAAAAAAAATGTAGAAAAACAGCATTACATGTAAGAATGCATTAAAGAGCTATCCAAATACAGTGGAATGAATAAATCCTGGTAAGTACCTGAATCAGCCACCTCTCCAACAGGCACTTTCTTCCTCCATGCCATGTGACCCAGAATTGAGAAAATGGCAAATCCTGCAAAGAAGCTGGTGCTGCAGTTTCCTATGGTGATGATTATCGTGTCCCTGAAATCACAAGGGCAGTGAGCAACAGAGTGATACTGCCATGACTGCAAAAGAGGAGGCAACCACCACCGCAAACTTACCTGATGACATTATTGTCAAACTTATTGTAAGAGGCCATAGAAAGCAGACCTCCAACTCCTATACCTAAGGAGTAGAAGATCTGCGAGGCTGCGTCATTCCACACCTGTAATGTAGAGATGCATTTCAAACAATGAAAATACATCACATATCCCTTTCTGATGTCGAGGTGCGGCCCTTGAAGGTACCTGAGCGTTAGCTAACCGGCCCCAGTCTGGTGTGAGGTAGAAACGAACCCCGTCAAGAGAGCCCTCCAGCGTGGCCCCTCTGATGATCAATACGATGAGGACCAAGTACGGGAATGTGGCGGTCACATAGACCACCTGAAAACATGCACGGCACAGACGCACGTTAGACTAAAAAGATAGAGACAGATTGAGTTTGTGTCTCACCAAAACCACATTGTGCTCAGTCACCTTCCCAGAGCTGCGGATGCCCTTCAGCATGCACAGGAAGATGATGATCCAGGCCGCCAGGAGGCAGAGGGCCAGGGGCCAGCGCACGGGGCCCGGGTCATGGAGGCCCTCACTGTGTACTACACCCAGCACGTTCTCACTGCCAGACACAGACAAAAGGATAGTATGACACTGCCTTTTGTCTTGTACAGTATACAGTATACAGCATTTCCTGAGGCCTAACAAAAAAGTCCTGGGCATTGGTGGGTTGGATTTGAAGTGAGCTGGTTGCAAATTCTCAAGTAACGTGGCTAAATATCAGAAAGGATTCATGTAAAAAGTTTTGGCCAAATTGTAATTTGTACATAATCTGGGAAGCTGTTGATACTCAAAGTAAAACTGCAGATGCATTGTGTTTATAACATATGCATAATACATTCTAGAAATCGCCTTGAAAATATAACATATACCATGTAAAATACACAGTCTTGGAAGCATAGCTAGATCCGTTTCACATGAAAGATACTTTATGGGGGTTGAGCTCTACACAGTTATAGTGTTTTAAAAAAATATGGAAATTGCTTAATATTTAAAACATGTGTCTCTCAACCTGTGTTTTTGTCTTCAAAACACCATCGTATAAAGTGTTTCCTTAAGGTCTTCAGTCATACTGGTATAAATGTCAAGTCATTGTCAACAATAAGTATTTGAACAAGTGCATGTTCAAGTGCATATCTGACCTGAAGAAATAGCCCCTTTTGTTTTATACAACATGTTCAGTTCCATTAGGATGTCTGAGCTGAATTAAGCTTTGTGGCATCAGAAAAAAGAAAAAAAGGCGTGTCAAAGACAGCAGGAACAAGGAACTTACTTCCAGAAAATCTCTGAGGGGCTCCGAGAATTATTTCCGATGGTGCCATTACCACAAATAGCAGCATTGGCGATAGCATCACATGACCAGGGAAGCGGGCTCTGAAACGAGCTGCCCAGGTAGTAGAATGTCCACGCTATGATGACATTATAGTAGAGACACACCAGTGTGGACACACACAGCATCCCAATTCCAATACCTACATAATAAGACAAAAGGAGAAGGCATATGGTCTTCATCTTTTAAAAGAACATTCTCCTCAATGTCACATGGATTGTTTTATAGGTGGCTATGAAACCTCTCTTGCCTCCATATATAATGCTAACTCTAAATAGTATTTCTGACATTTGTTTTGGACAAAAGAAATGTTTCACAAAAAAACAAAAACCGGTAGCGTTTCCCCTTTTAAATACTTTGTCACCTCATCTGATGATAAAAACACGCTAGTGTTTGATCTATTTCTGGTTCTGATGTAGTTCACAGTCTTCAAACAAATGCCAGCCAATGAGCTACGGAGGAGTGAGGAATTTTTAGGGTTAGATACATGACGTATAGTTGTGTGGCGGAAAGCTAAGGTGAGTCAGCAGTCGGTTATTTTCCTGAAGTGACGCTGGTCTGGACCAACTGGAGACGCAGGCATTCTGAGAGCAGCGTGAGAGTCGGCTCAGACGTCACACAGCCCCCGACCCCAAACATGATGGAGCGTTATGTTAAAGGTTAAGAATGCCGCCATTTGCAAATCAAATCCCACAGGAATTGAAATAAAAGTATAAAACAAAAAAATATATCAAACACTGAGAGCAGGATATTTTACTACTCAGTGAAAAAATGAGCTTATCTTAGTTCTGATAGCATGCAGATTTCTCAACAAAAATAGGGTTCGGGCATGTTTGCTGCTGTGTAGCATCTAGTCTCTTTTAACAACAATCTAGAAAAGTATCCGGGAAACTAAGCAGATCAGCTGATGGACCAAAATTTTGATTTGACAAATATTCCTCAAAAATACTTACTTTTTATATGGTTCATGTTACATTGTGACTGATATTAAAGATGTACGAATATTGTATTTTGTCTTTATCTATGGTTTACTCAGCAGCCAATCTTTTTCTGGAACTATACTTTTAGATGCTCCAGGAGGATAAAATTGACATAAAGACATTTATTTAATTGAAATCAAACAAAATGAATATCACGACAACAAGAAGATAATCTCTGAGAGGTTCTCAGCTCTAAACACTGCATTTTAGTTTAAACAGGAGTGTGATGACTGCTATGCAATGCTCTGTGAAAGGGGTCATTACCTTTGAGTAAAGGGCAACATTTCCACACTGTAATCGGACCAGCTGCACCATACTGGCCTAAACTCAGCTCCATGAGGAAAAGTGGAACGCCCGTAACAATGAGCATAATGAAGTACGGGATGAGAAACACACCTGTGAAGATTGAGACATGTCAGCAGGAGGAAGGTGGGTCCTGAGGGAGACATTCACCATAACCTTTTGCTCTTATGGAGAGCATGTTGGCACATGCTCTCCATAAGAGCATACAACCAACTTATGCTGAGATGGCAGCTTTGGAGACATTTTTCTTACTCTTCAGCGAGAAACAACATGTTTGGTTTGAGAAAAGATGTTTAAAACATGGGGCTGGGATACAAAAGCAGAGCACGTGTCTGATGCGTCCTCATTGAAAATCACTGGTGCCACTTAGAGGATTAGTAAATACATTGTAATGTAGTCCTCAGTTTCAAAACCTGCCACAAAGAGCTCAGGACTGAGCCTATAAAACAAGTTAGCATGATAAAAGGGCCGGCACACACCCAAGACTCAGAGAAAAAGACGTGTTCCTCTAGATGAGTGGAGCAGGTCATTACAGACACACACCCAGAAAGGAAAACACCCTCACAGGGCAGCGAGAACGCTCGCAGACCGCTCACCTCCTCCATTGCGATAGCAGAGGTACGGGAACCTCCACACGTTCCCCAGTCCTACGCAGTATCCGATGCATGAGAGGAGGAACTCGTGCTTTCCGCCCCACTGCTCCCTCGGGACGATGGCTGCTGGAGCTGGGACGGGACTCGGGGCCCGGGATTCAGTCTGTGGCTCTGGGGTTTGTGTGACTGCCGGGTAGTGGCCATTTTGAGTGATGGAGTGCCCATTAGTATGCAGTGAATTCTACAACACATATACGCTTTATTAGTCCAGTAATCCTTCAGGATTGGTTCCAGCTGAGAGGATGGACATATACACATACTGTGCACAAGGAATGATCAAACTCATGTACATGGACAGTCTCTCCCTGTAGGCTGCCTCGGCTGACCCAGAGAGGAACTCTTTTCTTGTGTCAAGGGAGGAACTTGGTGGTGATGATCGAAGAGCTTCTGCTTTATGTGCTTCTACCTGAACTGTTTATTGTTTAAAGGTGATAATAATTAATCCACCACCACCACCCATACTACATACCTACACTTTTAATAGCAGTGTCTCTAATTAAGAACCAGAACCTCTGATCTTTGACATATTAAACCAGATTTCACACCTGTTCCTAACAGGAAGTGGAGAGAGACCATTAAATTGTCAGCACACTGATGCACAGACAGGAAAATATGGTCCTGGATGTGGAGGCACGCACTGAATATGTGTTAAGAGTGGATGTGTACCTGAAGGTCAAACTTACAGCTTCAAAAGTAGAACAAAGACCGTGAAATGAGAACATTGAACTGTCATCTTATAAACCCATCAACTCAGCGGTTCATCTTCAGATCACCCCTTTGAGCATTTCCCTGTGTAAATGTAGGCTACACAATGGTTACACTGCGTACAATCCACTGTGACACACAAAAACAAAGACATAATATTGACATAAAGGCTAAAGCCACGCCTTTTAGCAGTAACAGTCACCAGTTCAGCTGATCGTTTCAGGGGGACAGCACATGCCCAAAGCACAAGCACACCTAACCCCGACAGGGAAGCAGACTCCGGGGCTCTGCCTCCGTGCTGGAACCACCGGAGCGGAGCCACCTGTTGAGAGCTGGTGTGTGCCCTCAGCACTGCGTCTGAGGCAGGGCAGAAATGTGGGCGGACGGGTTCCGCCGCCTCCTCTGAAACCTGCATCCTCCTGCCGGCTGACTGAGCGGCGGAAGCCCACAGACGCAGGCTCTCACACGGTGTCAGCAGTTGTAATTACACATACGGCATCTATTAAGGAGTTATCGTAGTTGTTTTGGGCAGTGGAACGAATTATACGAATTACTTGTGTATACTTGTGGGAATATTTGAACCAAAATAGAAATATTTTAACACACAAAGTAGGTCCCGGAACAAATTTACTTCGTGTGTAGAGGTTGTACTGTATTTAGAGGCGAGTCCTAAACCCTCGCTAGCTGAGTTTAGTTAGTCGACCCGGTGGCGGGTTCCCTGACTAAACACCGACCCTCCGCTCTTACCTGAGCCGCGGCGCCTGCGCTTCCCCCGGCGGGACTCCCCCCCGCCGCCGCTTTGCCGTTTTTGTCCTGCATTTCCACCCGGCAGAGGTGGAGGGGCTTTTCAGTGTTCGAAAGGTTGCTCGCTCCTCCGCATTTTACACGAGGAAGCGCTCGCGCGCAGAAAGACGCCGAGACGCGTTCAGGTTTCCGACAAGTACGGCGGCCGCTGGAGTCTCTGTCGACGACTCGAACAGGATGGACTCACAGGCGATGACGACGAGGAAACGGGGCGGCGGGCGGTGCGGCGGAGGGCGGGGAGTCGTGGCGCAGGTGCAGCGTCCCAGAGGAAGAAAACTCTCTTCCCTCTCCCGTAAAGCGAGCCCGGCGTGAGCCCGTGGCGTGTTCAGGGCGACTCTAACGCAGTAGCAACAATGTCAGAAGAAGGTGCTGTCATTCAGTTGGAGAAACAAGGTTGAATCATCACCGTTTGTTACCCCGCATTAAAGATTCACCTGAAATGTAACCAGGGGTGATAGGAAAGACTTGACCTCACATTACAGTGTTTGGGTCTCCTATACTACAATTACCCATTCAGTAGAAATGAAATATAACTTAAGTCCATTGATTCTATTTAGAATGAATGGATCTGTTGTGTGACAAAAAGGTACATTTAATTTCCTGATCTTTTTGTTTTCCTTTGTCATAGTTTGTCTGCAGGGTTCAGTTTGTAGCACAGAAGCCAAAAGAGGCCATGCTTGAAACTATTTTTCAAGTATCAGTATCTTGTAACCAGAAGGCTATTATATTTTTATCTTGGGATATCAAAGCTCATTTTGTCATTCTAAACGTTTAAATGTATCATTATCTTCAGATGAGAATGATTCGACCCAGTTAAGATAATTTCCCCACAAACCGAGGGATTATTTTAAGGGCAACTGCTCTCTGAATAGAAATTGAGTCTGTTGATATTTGATGTGACTGTTGATATTTTTGTATGAGCTGACCAGACGAAACCAGCTTTTAATATCGTTCAGTGGGGGTTGACTGCTGAGTTTTTAGATAATTGTAATTGTGCCTTTAGGGCTCCACAACCAGGGTTGTTATCCTCGAAGGTCCTGCTGTTGCAGCCATGTAGTTTGTCCATTTACTACATGGGAACATAAGTGTACCTTTAAAGGCCTTGAAAAGAACAAATGTGTGCCTTGAGGGTCCATTCATTAGCCCCACAGAGTACAAAAGTCACGCAACTACCTCAGGAGATGTGAAAATACACCCACTGGGACACATTTTTGACAGTGAATGACTTCACATGCACAGAGGCACTGCAGGGGCACAGAAACGATACGGGGATGAGCCACTTTCATGTGCTGATGGTGTGATGCTATTTGACTTTTTTTTTCTTAGTAGGACTCTGTAATCCACTTAAGATCACGATGCGTCTCTAAATCCATCCAATCTGTTGCCTTCCTATACTTAACAGCCCTGCTCAAAAGATTTGGGTCAATAGCAGGTGGAGAGAAGTTGCTGTTTGACCACAAGGTTAGAGCACAACTTCTAGAATCCTTTTAAATGCAAGATCCAAGCAGATATACGGTCAGAGAGAGGATTTGACGCACAAAAATGGAACTCCGAGACAACACGAAGAGCGGCATGGAGCAGTTTTACTATCAGTCACAAATGGAGTTGGATACAAGCTTGAATAGTCGTCTTCTCAACCAGGAGTTAACAAGCAGCTGTGTACAGCTGGAGGGGCGTCCGGACCCACACAGCAACATCTGGACTGATTCTGAACCAGCAAGAACAAAGAACTCTACGGGGCGATCGTTTGCCATGGATGCCAGGATTAGACTTGATAGCCTGAAGTGCGGCTGCAATTCACCTTTGACTTGCTGTGCCACAAAAAACACCTCAAACCACTTTGACAGTGAGAAAGACGTGTCAATACAGTCAGCTCTGGACTTGGTAGAGATCCTTGACATAGAGGATGACATGCAGGACGAAGAGAGTTGGTAAGTGCAATGAGAGGTCTGGTAATCTCCACAGAAAATGGAGTTTGCTTTGCTGTGTCGTTCTGTTTAAGTGTTAGTGGCCACGAAGGGGGAAAATTCCTCTGGATAGGCTCTGACTCCTAAAAGTGTGATTTTTTTCTCTATGGCAGGTTATATGAAGCTCCGAAAAAGCAGTTTGTGGAGAAGGAATCTGCACTCACATGGTGTCGACATGTTCTCGATAACCCCAGCCCTGAGATGGAGGTTGCACGTCGCGTGCTGATGAATAAGCTGAACCAAAGTGAGAAAGCAGATTAAACTCATTAGCCTGGAAGTGCTCCAGATCTAAAGATCTGCTAAAAAAGATGTACTGCATATAACAATTCTTCCTACCCGCTCTCTTTATTGTCAGCATCAAGATGTCACTTCTACAGACATGCTGCGCTTTCCTGTTGTGCTCCCAGCATCTCTGTGGGCTCCTCTGTGGACCAAACATCAGTCAGCCACTCACTCAGTGACTCTGACACTGCAGGTGAGAAAATGAAGCCATTAGGAACCTTTCCTTTAAAAAATGGTGAAATGTAGGAAACACCAGAATCTCTTCAATCTTGATAGATATTCAAAAACATTGACACGTAGCAATATCAGACTTGCAGAGAAATTACTGTCCACAAAAGTACACATACAATTAACAAAAAGCAAACAAAGCTTGCTGTGTTATAGCGTTAAAATCTCAGCTACTAAACAGCATTTCAACCAGTCACTGACTTAAAAGGTTTGCTACAAAATTTTAAAATAAAAGGACTTGACAACTTTTTACACCTTTAACAAATCAGTCTATTTTCTTTTGGTCCTGAAACGAAAGAGCGAAAGGTTTAAATCCCACTTGGTTGGCTTTTAATGTTCATTTATATTCGATGAAGCACAGATCCAATATGAAAACTGATTCTAGACTGTGTCTAACTGTATTATTTGCACAGGTGCCAATAGGCTGAGCATCTGTCGTAACTCCATAACCACGAGCTACAGGCTGCATGACATCACAGATGTTCACATCATGGCCAAAATACAGGAAGCAAGTGAGTGAAGGAAATGACTTCCACTACCTTTTATTTTACCCGGCGTACTCGGTCACGTCATCCCATCCTAACTTTCCTTCATATTTTCAGGTTTAAGAGAAGACTATGGTTCAGCTCCGGCCACAGCTTCAGTCGGGAGAAACGGGGAGACGTCTCCATCTCACTCTGACGCCACAGGTGTCTGTGGTTACCAGCTTGCAGCCGGAACCAAAAGCCGGGCGTCCTCCTTACGCTGGCCGGCGGCTCTGTCATCCCTGAGCTCGTCCCGCTGTCAGTCACCAGCGCCCGCCGCAAAGCTGGGGTTACAAAGTCCCAGACCCTCCAGACTTCACCAACAAGTCACACAATTCAAGCTGCTTAAACGGGCTCAGAATCAAGGTACGTGGCTGCGTTACAGTTATTCACTTGAGATATTTTAAGATGTATGTGGGATATTGCGTAAGGTAAAAACTCAAGCTGGCGTTTTTTTTTAAAACCTAAGGGATTGTTTTAGTGACATATTCCTCCCGTTTATCTTTTGAACAAAGATGTTAGAGAGATTTGTGCTATTTCTTATTTATAAGTAACCAGTCAGGCAAGAACACAGTCCAAAAAAGCTCTAATCTTTATTGAAACTTTATAGTATTTGTTTTGATCTACACTGTTACATGAATCATATTACTCCCGTTAGTCCATTTGAGACTACTGTCTTTAAATGAGCTGCATTCTGTCCGTTGGGTTGTGCGGCAGGAGCAGATGGCAGGACGAGGTCACCTCTGAGGACAAGCCTCCGCTCCCTCCAGGCCGTCAGAAACAGCCGAAGTTTAGAGAAAGATGATTGCCAACCTGTTGGCCAATTCTCACATCATCTAAGAGGTTTGCACCTGATTTCCAACATTAAATAATGTAAACAGACTGCAGGATTCACTACCCGCATGGTTCATATATCATCTAATCAGTCTTAATGTTGTTTTTTTAGGGGTTACAGCGACCAGAGCAGGGTTAACTTTTGGATCACTGCCACCTTCTCCTGCATCTCCGGATCCCAGCAGGGTGTCGCGCTTGAGGACGGACTCACCAGTCCGTCTGACGGCCGTGAAGAAGCTGGAGAGGTCTCAGTCTCTCAGCCCCTGCCGGATCCCTAATCCTGCCAAGGGATACCTGTCTGCTAATGGACGTGTTTTCGCCTCACCTGAGAGGCCGGCGACTGCAGCGTGGGGCAGACACATGACCTACGCTCAAAGATGAAAGACCTCAGCCAGGATAACCTTTTAGATATGCTAACAAACAGGAACATTAAAGAGATTTAAAAAAAGACTGGTTGTTCCAACTAGATAACTAAGCTTGGATTTGAGAGGAAATGGAGTCTATGTTTCAGTGATGTTGGGTTTTACAGAGTAAATGTAACATTTTAGCTTTTTCTGCATATATCTTCTGCATAGAGCTGGGTAATCTCATTCTAAAGCTCCTTTTAGAAGAACAGGGCAACTAATAATGTTTATATATAACATGACAGGAATATGACATAAGGCTGAATTTATCCTGTCACTTGAATTGTGACAATTTAGCCATGTTTGATGACCAATGCAGGATAAGGGGTTTTCAAGCAAATAGATCGAAAAACTCTTCACCTTAAGCTCAAATATAATTATAAGACAGACATGAACGCAGTCAGAAAGATGAACTTCACTTCAGTTCCGCTGACTGCTGAAGGGACTGATATCTGCAGGATGGGAAGTTTATTTGCCATTCTGTAAGAAAGACCAAATAAGTGAATTCTGCATAACAGGAACTGCCATTACTAACAATGACAGTTCCTGTTATGCAGCACAGAATTGTGGGTTTGGTGGTCTTTCCTAAAGGTTGCAGAAATGGACTACTTTCTGCTGGAAGCATGTCCAGGCTGATTTATTTGAACCCATTTTACCCCAGGAAGGTTCATTTTAGATGAAGCAGCTCTGAGGGAAATAGCTTTTTTTGTTGTTGCTCCCTTTATGGACAGGAACTAAGTGTTCTCAACATCAATCTAGTTTTGTAATGACAAACACAATAAAATTCAGCCTCTTTAATCTCTTCTGGATTATATTTATCAGCATGCACTGCACCCTTGCCAATGTCACGTTTAAAATACACGGTTGCGCTAATGTTTACTTTGGTTAAAAGTAAAGAGAAAAGGTTGCACCACTTCAGATGGTGCACTAAGCACACAAAGAATGTTAGAATACCATGAGACCAAACATGTTCCCTTTTGGATTCATCAGCCTGCATGATAGAGGCACTCTGTGTTCTTGGAGTGCCTTCTCTAGGTCATTTAGCGCTGACTAAAGTGTTCTTTCTAATTAAATCTGCAGTGAGATTTGTTTTCCTGACAAAGATCAATTTAATTCATTATGTCTAGTTTTGAATTCTTTCGCATGTGAGAAGTTTAAAAATATTTTGTATATTTGGTTTCTGGTCGAGATGAGAACATTTTTTAACCTTCAGAGTTACAGGATTTTCTTTTTCTCAATCACACAGACATGAACGCATCGGTGACATGCCCAAGGGCACTTAAATATCTGGTATTTCAGCTTTGGAGTGAACCAGACAAAGTTGAATCCTATTTTGTAATCAATACATACATTTCTTTTCTTTACAAAAAAAAGTTTATTGTTCATCTTCAGTATGCTTATTTTTGTCAATATGAAGGGCTAGACATAGTTACCGAAGACCTGGGGAGGATAAAACTAAGTTCAGTTCAGAACTAAGTTAGCACACACCTCTGTGTTAAAATCAATCATGATGACTAATGATCATTCAAAATAAAAAAAGGCAAACTGAATTTACAGCGCGTGGCTGTTTCAGGAGAGCTGCAGGAAGCAGCTGCCAACATTAGCAAGGATTTACCAAAAGAACAATGTACATATTTACCTGAGAAATTATATTTCTCCATTTCAAAAGCAAGATTACAGCGTATGTTTTCAGGATACTGCACACATAAGAAAGCAGACTAATTGTCAGAGTCCATGTCGCTGTCTCCTCCGATAGATCTGAACTCTTCACTCTCCTCGTCTTCACTGAGAGGGACCTGGGTGAGCACCGCTGGGCCTCTCCTCCGTGCCTCATCTTCTTCATCATCCTCTTCCTCTTCGCTGATACCATATTCTTCTCCATTTCCAATGCTAGATGCCTGCATCTGACTTCGACTCTCTGTCTCCTCAAAGCTGCCGTAACTGAGGGAAGGGTTAAAGAGTCAAGATTCACGATTTTTATTTGCTTTGCGTGCATGAACTCACAGTTCTGACAGATCTGAGTTTTCAGTCAACTGTTTATGAAATAAAACACTTTGATAAAAATCTAAAAACTTAATCCTATTTCAAAGATAACTCGTGGGGAAAAAATGCATCTATTAAGCAGGTTATAGTCTCAAAAATATCTACTAGCCTCATTATTTTTTAAAAGCAAGTATAAATGTAAGTTTTCACCCATTAAAATTTTGCTTACCTTGAGATATTTGCTTTAAAACTTGTGAACATGTAATGGGAGAACACAGGGAAGACTTGCTGTACCTGATGTTGCTGTCCTCCATGTGTGGCTCATCTGGCCCGTCCCCGTCATATGACATCATGCTCTCCTCTTGCTCCATGCCCATGCGGGCCGTCTCCTGTGTTCTCCTCGGAGGTGCAGGTCGTATGTCAACCTCTCTGTCTGAGTCGCTCCCACTCTCTGACAGCTGTATGGCTGCAGGGACACAAAATGCATCAGGACATCTTACACAAAGTTACAAGGAAACTTATAGGAAACTCTATTTTATTCTCAGCGGTTGGTGTCCAAAAGATGCATAAATTGAGAAACACTCCAAGATAAACTCTAAAGTTCTCAGTTTTTGTTTCAGAGCTGGTGGTGTACTCACAGGAGAAAGGGTTGTCCCCCTCTTCCTCACTGGCATCATCCTCTCCATCAGACATCAGCAGGTCCTGATACAGCACACTGGCTTGAGCTGGGTGGTTAGATCTTCCACGTTCTCCTTCCTCTTCCTCCTCCTCCTCTTCCTCATCCTGGTCATGAGCCCGCCTGCGAGGTGGCAGCAACATCTCGATATCGTCATCTTCGTCTTCAAGGTCTCCTTCAGCATCCTCTGCCTAAACAGAAAAAGAATATAGAGGTCAAAACAAGCATGGATAAATGCACAAATTGTTTCCAATATGGTATCTATTACGTCTATGACAAGTTTGTGTGTTATTACTCTTATTGTTATTATTATTACTGTCATTATTACAGGAGCTGGAGTCTTTGGTTTGCCATCATCGTCCTCTTCAAAGCCCTCGATATCCACATCAGACTCTTCCTCTCCAGGTCTCCTGCCATGGCGTCCCTGAAAGTCAGAGATAAAAACACATGTCAGAAGATTCTTGCTGAGAGGCAAGGCCTCATGTTAACTATGACGTTCTTGTTTAAAAAAACAACCTTTTCAAAAGTAGGTAAACACAAAAAAGAAAAGACAAAACACGCTCAATCAAGCTAGATGCTGTGAGGAAAGTTTGTGGAGAGGTGGCATGTGGTTGAAAGCCATATTTCAGTCTCTCTCCATACCTGCCCCCCTCTCTTCTCTGGAGCAACCAATAGAGGTCCCTCAGAGAAAAGGCTGCTGGGCTCTCTGGGCAGACTCCCTGAAGCCCCGCTGTCAAACAGATCAGCAGGCTGGCCAACACCACACAGAGTGGCATACACAAATCGAAAGACGGGACATCAGGGTAGGAGTGAAGGAGATAAACAGGTCGGGAGAAAGAAGAAACTAGTGTGAAGAAACTAGATTGTGAAAAGAGAACGTGACAATCTGGCAGCAAGAGTTAGTACAGAGAGCAAGTAAAGAAAGGGCAGAAGGAGCACTACAAGGGGTGACCAGGAAAACTACTGCACAGAGGAAAGTTGAGTCTACTTATTCTGGCTCATGAGAAATAGTTGGCAACCCAAAGTCTACTGAAAGTATTTTCCGAGTCAGCAAAATGCCCAGAAAACCAACATTTTTCCTCCCGGCAACAAAAACTGGGCCACGAGCGTTCTTACCTGTGGTGTGTACGGTCCAGGTGTCATTGGATCCAGACTCTCCAGGTCGGCGGCATCGAGAGCTGCCTCCTTAGCAGTAGAGATGTCCTTCTCCAGCTGAGTCAAGTGCTCATCATACTGCAAATAAATCAAGAATAAAACAAGTGCTGTCACAGCAACACTTTGTCCTGTTCGTAAAAACATCCCAATGAAAAGGTTTATCTGTTTGAGACAAACAATGTGGAAAATATGCAGACATATTTACAGAAAAATTCTTAACATTTGAGTGATATGCGTCAGTTTGATGTTGATGTGCTGAGTGTTTACATCACTTGATTAGGCACTAACTACAGAGATAGATTTAACCAATCCATCCATCATTCTAAGATGGAAAACAAAATATAAAATTCTCCAGACACCTAAGCTATGTTCAATTAGCTGGAAACAACAAAAATTCTGGTCTATTCACAACAAGGCTTCTTAGAAGATGATTAAAATGAATGAAACAAACAAAAACTTTCATTATGACATGGTAAACTGTTCTTAAAAAATAAAAATAAACGGCAGGATTCAGCCTTTTGCATAAATACATAAACAAGCTCCCCAGCCCTTCAAAGAAATAGCGGAGATAAGAATCAACATACCTCGGCCAAGGTCTGCTTACACACATTTACAATGTCCAAGGCTGTCTTGGTGTAAGGACTGTCTGCGCCTGTAGAAAACACTCTTTCAATAATACTGGTAATATTTTCCTATATGTCCAAATCTGGTTTGAATTCAACCCGGAACGCAGCGTGTAGTATTCAGGTGTATTTGATTAAATATGGCCGCAGTGGAAAGTGTTGTGGGGACATCTTTGATTGAGCTTGTAATGCAAGTTCTACAGGAGTTGCAAAGACATCGCTGTAATGATTGTCGAGGGAAAAGATAACCAGGGACGATTACCATTGTACTTGATGCTGTTGGTGTGGATGAGACTGACATCTGAGAGGAAAACGTCCCGATTCTGGTATTTGTGTTTGGAGATGTTCTGTTGAAGCATGAGACGGACAAATACACAGAAGAAAGACATTTTAAGGGTAAGGGGGGGAGTTTTCTTCTTTATATTACTGATAAAAAACATATGTAGTTTTAGACAGGTGTCTTACCTTACGGATGTTCTCTAAATCCATGGGATTCACAATAACCTTGTAATAATCTGGCACAAACTTCTTGTTGACAGGATGGTGAAAAGGCCATGACTGAAACGGTGAAAGAATGATGGGAGGATTATTATCTTACTTCACACTGATGACTGCAGTCATATTGACTGAGAAAAGAAAGAAGAAGAAGAAGGTTACTCACATCAGGGACCGCCATCATTTTCTGGGTTACAATGTTGTCCAGGATGAAGGAGAAGGCCACCTGGTCATCATCATCCAGCAAGGGGTTGATGGCTTTCTCCAGTCTCACCAGTCTGTCCTCCTTCTGCAGTCACCGGCAGAATTGTTGGTTGACATGGAAAACTACTTCAAGTGCACAGAGACGTGAAACGAAGCTCACCTCTTTTAGCTTAGCGTCGCACAAGTCCAGCATGGACTGTGCCACTTGTGTTATGGGATGTTTTGCCCCTGGTGAAACAACACTGATGTGAGATCCAAGTCTAACTGACTCAGAGAAGGCAATGAGTAAGAGGTTTTACAACCTCTTCTAATAATATTACCATTGTAGGTGGCACTATTTTTGACAATAAGCTCCACTGCTTCACGGAACTCCTCCCTCGACGGATACATCCGCTTGCGTACGTTCTCCCTCAGCGTCTGTAGATCCATGGGCCTAGTGATTATCTTGTAGTAGTCCTTCACAACTTTGGCGTTGACTGGTGTGTGGAAGGGATACGTCTGTGTGGAAGATGGAAAGGTAGCACAGATTAAACGACAGAAAGGCGAGAGAGTGTATGAAACAAACAGACATGGATTGTGTTATTGAAAGATCTTTACATTTGGGTGATCTCGCATGTCATTGATGATGCTTTCAAGCACTGAGGACAATGTGACCATGGGGTCGGTGCGTCGGCGGTGGATGGCTTTGTGTGGTTTCTACCAAAAACAAAGAATGCAATTATTTAACACGCCCTTCTAAAAAGACCTCCTACAACTTAAGTAAAAGCCAAGCTTACATTGAGGTAGTCACAATGGACAGCACTGCCAACACGTCTCTTCTTCTTTGGTGGCAGCTGCTGTTTGGGGAACTTGAGCACCAAAGACTTCCTGCGCACCTCATCAGCACTAACAAATCATAAACATGTTAACAACTTGTGGGGGCATGCAGAATATTGTCTAAATATGGTTGCATCTAAGAGGGTAAACAAAAATGATCTGATAAGAAGAAAAGAATATGACTTTGAGATTGGAGGAAAAACAACTATCTATTACCTCTCAATGAGCTGCTTCCCCAGCACAATCTTTGTGCCCTCCACCTTGATCAGTTCCTCGTTGTCGTTGTGGATGACGGTCTTTTCCAGCTCCTCCTCCTGCTCCTCTGTCATGGCAACGGGGTTGGAGGGTGGGGCGTTGGTTTGGTAGTACAGTGGGCAGAATTTGTTGGTCCTCATGTGTCCAATAGCTCCACATGCACCGCACTTCAGCTAGGGAAAACAGGCAAAAATTAAGGAACACGACGATAATCAACATGTGCTATTTAGTAACAAACCTAAAAATAAAAAAAGATGCCACAAAACGGCATAGGCTGTAAAAACGCTTATAAGCCACCAACTGCTAAAAAGGAATAGGGAGAAGAAGATTGTAGTACTGAATCAGCAAGCTTACTTTTACCTTGAGGTCTGGTCTCTCTTTGACCTTCTTGGTCTTCTTCTCTGGGGGTCCCTTGATCTTGTCCTTCTCTTGGTTTCTCTTCAACCTTCTGAGCTGCTCCTGAATACGTCGGCGCTCCTTCCTCATTTCTTCTCTGTGCTGCTCATCAAACAGGGCAAACTTTCGTCTGCAACAATTAAGAGTGGTTTAACATCACTGTCTCAAATCTTTCTGCTCATTTCTTTTCATGAGAGAGCTGGGTTGAGGCACTGTTAAGCAATGCCTCATTCTTATCATGCCGAAATACAATAATTTAAATAGGATTTGAACTGATACAGCCTTCTTATTATCAAATGTAAATTGTACTTAAGATAACAGATTTGTTATCTTTTCCATCCAGTTTACTACATTTTCCATCAACCATGACCTCGCTTATAAAAATAATCCTTTAGCACGGTGAAAACAGCCCCACAGATAAGAATCTGAGATAAAAGACTAACATGAACTCATCGTCCTTGGTGGTTCTGATCCTGGTGTAGGCATCGATGACTGCAGCTTTACGCACTGTCTCGCAACGGACATATTCCTTGCCATCTTCGTCCCTGAAGGTACGATATATCTTGAGCCTGCGTCCAGCTGAAGAGTTCAGGCTGGTGACAGAGGATGTGTCATCATCTTTGTGGGAGCTGGTTGATAAGGAACTGGCTACAAAGTGAATAGAAATAAAGATTAGTTTTTTTCTTTCACACATCAGTCAATACAAACTCTCCGGGTCAGACTTTGCTTGCCATCAAAAACACAAACTTACACAAGCCTTTGCGCCGCTCTTTACGTCCCTTGTTGTCTCGATCGCTCTCCTCACCCATCAGCATCCTCTGCAGTTCCTTCCGCTCCTGCTCCTCCCTCTCACGGGAAAGCTGGGAGCTGGTCTTTTTATTCTGCAGCATGTTCTCAATATTCTTACCCATCTCTTCAAAGTCACTATCTTCGGCTGAGCTGCTGTCTGTGTCTGTGGAGAGGACCTCCGTCGACTCCAGCACTCTATGAAGGTGTTACGACACAGAATAGAAATTAAGGTCTGCACAGGTAGTGTCCTGGATGATTTAGGACTGAAAATGACTCTCACTTATTCTGCAGGTCAAAGATCCTCTGGCACTCCTCCTTATAGCGCTCCTGGTGTTCTGCCACAGAGAAGCGAGAGCCTCGGGCAAACTTACTCATCGGACCCTCGCCGGATCGCGCCTGCTCTGTGGACATGGTTCTTACCACATCGATAACCTCCCAGCGAGAGAGTTTCTTGATCTGACACAAAGATAAAGTCATGGTCACATTTCACAGGCTGGACAGATTTGGATAAAGTAAAGCTACTGTTCTTGAATGGAATAGTTCGTGTAAATAATGGGATAATGTCTAAGCACAATACAGTGGCAAATGAAAGGATTTTTGCACTGGTAGCTCACGTCCAATCGTGTGGTCTTACCTCTTCCTCTGGGACGCCAAACTTTCGGAGCAGCTGTTTGGCATTCTTAAGTGACAGCCTCCTCAGATCAGCATCTGTCCCTGTCACCGTCTTCTTTACAGGCTGTGGCTCTTTGTCGTCCTAATGGGGGAAAAACATTTGAGTCACACTAAAATAAACAATGTGTTGAAAATGAAGCTTATTTAACATATTTAAGACCTTCTGCTGTGTTGGCTTGTTGGGCACTTTCACATAGGAGAATCCTTCTCCACAGCCTGTAGGATCTGCCACACCTGTAACCTCCAACAAGCACTTCCCCTTCATGGCAGAGATGAAGGCTCTTGTCGTGTTCCAAGGAGCTGTTCGCACCTACATAATGCAGCACAAAATTTATGTGAAGTGGGCACCTTTTTCCGTCCTCTTATATCTGAACAAGTTTACTTTAACACGATACCTCGTCATCAATCTTCATCTGAAAGTCCTCTTCGTTCTCCTCTTCTGGAGCAAAGAAGGATTTCTCACCGTATCCAGCATCCTAAAGGGTCAGATACAGTTTGGTAAAATCATAGATAGGATTTACTTTTGTATACCATCAGAGGTTATTTGGAGGACCAGTCTGTTACCTTGAGCCTCTGCTCTGCGACTAACATGCTGTAGTAAGCACAGCACTGCTCTGGAGACACCATGGCTCTGATTTCTTCTTCTGTGGGTAATCTGAAGTCAGGCTTTAACACCCACCAGTTCGAGTCCATCCCTGGCACCATGACAATAAAAGTTTATCATCAGATTACAGGATGAAGTACATTAAGTAACGATATCCTCTCAATTAATTTTCAATCACGGGAACACATTCTGTGGTTAAAGTAACAATCATTCTTACCTGTTAACCTGTTTTCATTACCTTAAGAGTGAAATTCATACTGAAAATAGTTTGTTATGTTGGTTAAAATAAAAATGATGGTTCTTACCTGTCCGTTTGAAGTCGGCACAGAGTTTGAGTCGTTTTCTGATGCTGCTCTCTGAGTGTGAGGGAAAAGCTTTTTTTATATCCTCCATGCGGATCCTCCGGGGCCGATCCTTGCTTTTCCAGAACAGGCGGTAAATAAAGACCTGCAAAATACAGATGTGAGAGCTGAGCTTTTTGAGTTTTGGGGGGATTTTTTTTAGAAGATTTGGCAAAATATACATACCTGCAAAAAGTCTCTAATGTGAGTATTGGCTCGTTTGGAGTTTGGCCCTGGAACCTCAAACAAGGGGCACTCCTGACCAACAACAAAAATATCCACAAGCTCTCGAATATAGTAGCCATGTCGAGTTCGTATGACCAAGAAGTCCGTCTCTGGCATCTTGTGCAGGTATATTGGGGTGCGGAAGAGGTTGTTCTCGAACGCCTATAGAAATTAAAACATTTTTTTTTTTTTTAAAAGGATAACCAATCACATTTTTACTATGATAATAGGAGGGTGATGCCATATATTTACATTAGCAAAATATAGAATCTGAAACCATGATGGTACAGACCTGGAGCAGCTGTCCAGGATGCAGAGAGCCCAGGAAAGGAGATGTGTGGCAGTACACAGTCTCTCCATATTTACAGTCCGGTGCTCCAGGATCTTTTCCGGGTTTCTGAAATATACAGCAACAGTGTTCTCACCTTTGAATGTCTTTGAACTACCTTATCTAATGTGTCACTGACAAGATATTTGTCAGATATTTGTTTCAAACTATTTCACTATCATACACAAAATATGAAAGGATCAACACCAAATAGAAGAATTACCCTTTTGTAGTAGTTTTTGATCTTAGTAGCCATGCCGACTTGCATGATGAGAGGAGCGTATTCTTCACTGTACTCTGCCAGGATCAGATCTCCATCTTTGCCTGTCAAGTCCTGCGGTGTTCGCATAAAAAACATGTCTCCTCCTCCTGCGGCCTGCCGCTCTTGCTCTCGCATCTAATCCAAAGACATTTTAACCCATAGATTTAGTGCACTGCTACAGTTAGTGAAAATGAAGAATATAGAACAGTCGTATGCACATTGACAGAGTAATGACGCTTGTTTTGACAAGAGCTCCACCTTGGCCTTCTTCTTTATGTGTTTGAGAAGTGGCTGAACAGCATGGGGACCAGGTTGAGCCAAAGAGCCGAATGAGTACTTCTTTAGACTCGGACGATGGAACTGGCGAAGCTTCATGGGACCCATGTGAGTGGGAAAGAAGGGCTGCCTCAGCTCTAAAGCTGGGATAGAGTGCTGTAGAAAAAAGAAAATGTATGCAAAAACATCCAACCATTTAATATAAATCTAATCTAATATTATTCGACATGATCCAAAATTCAATGTGCTGACTTGTTGACCGTCTCATCTCAGCCTTAATTTTCTTTTTGATGACCACTGCTTACCTGAATGATGTTACCGCCAAATGTTCCCCTCAGACCCTGCTGCTTAGGATAATAAAACTCATCATTGGAAAGGTTCCAGGGGTCCTTCACCTCAGGCTGGGACATATTCTACATTTAAATAAAGCAAAATTTCACAGTTGAGATTTTATTTTCTTAACCTTTGTTTCATTGTTAAAAGCTCAGTGGTTAGAACTGTGACCCCCCCCCCCCCCCTCAGCTTATTTTTTTTCACTGTATCCATCGTCTCATGGGGCATCTCTGATCTTAAAAATCTGTCACTTTATTTTGACAGTGTCATTATGCGGTTAATTTCTGGCTTCAAGTCTGCTGTCTTAAAAACAGAGTGCTCTGCTTCCCATGATGAAACAACATACCTGCTGCGGTTCATCTTTTATCACTCCGGTCTTCCCCAGCAGTATTCGACTCTTCTTGATTGCAGTTTCCTTCTTATTCTCTTTTGATGGGGAGTTGGAGGTCATCTCCTCTTTTTCATCAGGAATTTCTAAAGACACATTAAATTTAAGTATCTCAACTGTTGAAAAATGCAAACAGAAGTTCATAATTAGCTTAAAACTAAACTATTATTCAACCTACCAAGAATTATGTTCTCATCATTGGGATCCAGTGTTAAAACAGGCGGTGTGAGCAGGTGATCCATCTCCTGGTCATCCCAGATAATGTTGTCTTCCCAGCGACCATACACCAATTCTTCATTGTCAATAGGAAAAATGGAGAACCAGGGACAATCTTCTTCTTGAGAAGCTGAGAAGAACCAACAAATAACAGAAACAAAAGTTAGGCTGTTAAAAAAAGGCTAGGTTTAATAGTTGTATAATGATCAAAGAATAAAGCATTCACCGTGATGGTCATGGCTGTTCTTCTCTCGCTTAGAGCCAGAGATTGAAGAAGTCTTGGGAATGGGTGGAGGGGTGGGTGGCACCAGCTGAGAATTACTTCTGGTCAGACCTGGTGAATTAAACAAATTTGTTCATTTTGAATTTTGCAGTAAGTGTTGTGCATTCACATTAATGTTAGTAATCTGTAGTAAAATGACAGTCAGAAAACAGCTAAATCTGCCAAAGGATATTTATTCCTGGCCGTACCTTGTTGTGCATTATAAGCATTGGCATTGCGGGTCATGCTGGATGGAAGCCATCCTGCCAGGCTGGCTCGCTGAGTCTTGGTGCCCTTGTGCTTTACATCTTCCCCATTCCAAATAATATCATCCTCCCATTGTAACTGAGTGACCATCAGGAAGACCTCATTCTCCAGCTTGTCTTTATCTCCATCACCCTGATCACTATCGTTATCATTTGTATCATCCTGCTTAGGAACCTAAAGAGACATTAGACACAACATCAGCATCAGTTACTTTGATTTCCCTGTTTAGGCCACAGGTGTCTTTGTCTACATACCTCTTGAGATGTATCTGTTACATCTGTAGGCAAATCCTCCTTCTGAGGCACATCGGTCTCCTTATCCTTAAGTTTGAACCCATAGTTGAAGCTGCCTCCATCCTCAGGGACACCCAGCATGTCGTACCAGAGCTGAGCTGGACCGTATCTCCATTCTGCCACTTTAGGCCGAGATTCTGCCTCCTTGTCCCCATCCCCGCAAGTCTGTGAGAACTTTGATTCCACTGGAGCCATCATGGTTATCTAAACGGTATAAAAAACATGGATAGTGACGCCCACAGCGACTCATTGCCAGAATGAAGACATCTGAAGAGCTTACAATATCTTGTAACTCAGGAACATTTACCTCATCGTCAGACAGACACTGCTCTGGAGGTGGCGGGGGTGCATGCTCATAAACCCATCCAGATTTCTTCTCTTGGCTCGGCTCCAAGGTTTCTCCTTCTGGAGGAGGCGTCCCAGGCTGATGGTCTCTGTGTTTCCGCTTCTTTTTCCGGCGGGCGCTCCTCCAGACAGATGGCATATTCTTTCCCGGACCAAAGAGTCGTAAGAACCTAAGCACCTGGTAGTACATCCGATAAAATAGTTGTCAGTGCACATCATCAATCTAACATTGTGGTAACAATAAACCTTCTGCGTGATAAACTACTTTATCTTGTGTATATAAAGTTCTTTACCTTTCCCGGTCGAAACTCTGGAAAGAGCTCTGTGACACCTGGCAATGCCTTTGCAGCATCTTTCTGCATGATGCCAGCCAGAGGGAGGGTCAGTCTGTCTGGAGCGCCTCCAGCTCCTGAGCCCTGACAGGGACGGTCTGTTTCTGACTCAGAGTCTGAGGAACTGCTAAAGTCAACCTTGTCAGCAGTAGAAGAAGGGGCAATGATTGAGGGCAGAATGATTCCATCACCATCTTCCGCAACTGCTACAAGATACATATCACATTTGTTAAACCTTGCTTGAAATTATGCTGCCGTGTTTAAAACGTTCATGAGAAGAAACTGATTACTAATAAATGTGTTTTACCATTTGTGTTCTGAGTAGAAGATTCCTCTTTCTTAGCTGATGTAAGAAGACTCGGTGGCGGTGGTGGAGGCATTAGCTTAGAGTCAATGTCCTCACAGTCTGCGTCATAGTCATCCTCATCATCTTGGACAGAAAAGACCGAAAACATGTTTATATGAACATAAATTTGAGTAGAAAGGCCTCTCAAATTCCAATATTAAGCAGGATTAATTGTGGTGACTAAGAAAAGGCTATATAAAAGGGAAAAAAGATTAATATGAATGAATGAATGAAAATTAAATTTGTGGTAAACTGTTGTATAATTCTATGGCTGTATTTTTACTTTACAAATGAACACAATGAGTCAATCAAATGCTGAAGCTGTAAATTAATCACCTGCTTTCCTGCTTGGCTTCAAAGACCCCATGGCCTGATGGTACTTCTTAGTCTCATCCTCAGCAACCTCACTGATGTCAGAGTAATCAACTGCATCTTCAGTGCTTTTCACCCAACCTATATGAGGAAGAAATATTGAAAATATTGCATTGTGGATTCCTGTCTATATTCATATCAATTTGCAGAGCACATCTGCAGTGGTATTTTTGCAGGTGCTTCTGAAACGCAACGCCAAAAATCTGCGAAGTGGAGACCTTATATTTGTATAAATATTTATATTAATTTCAAGGATTTCTAAACCCTCCCCTGCAACAGCAACCATCTGGATGCATTTCCCATACATGAGTCTTAGATCAAGCTTAAAAATCTGAGATATAGTGAGACCACAAACGAAGTGAATCGCAATAGACAAGGGACTACTGTAATCTTACCCTCTGAATCCACATTTCCAGAGTCTTTGTTTTCTTCCTTCTCCTCATCCTCATTTGCAGTGATCTCTGTGATGAGATTTCCAAGTCCTAAAGTCCCTAAACCTGCTAGATGTTTTTTAGATTCCTGGTGAAAGAAAACAGGGCAGAATCAGCAGGCTAAATTAAAAATAACCAAACCAATAAACATTAAAAAAACAAATTCTCTAGTATACCCACATTGTCAAGAACACTGTCATCCTCTAATTGTCCGTCTTCATTGATGTTTCCGAAGAGGAAGCCTGTGAGGGAAAAAGGTCGATCTTGGTCCTCGTCACTGTCCGAGTCTGACATGCTGCAAGGAGATTTTACAGTATAAATATTCTACCAATTTTAAAATTCTGAGCTATCAACAATAATTCCGGGAGATATTGCTGATGGATCACTAAACTGAATTTCAGTACCATTACACAAAACATTAACATCAAACCTGCTGACAAAAAATTAAAATGGGGGTATTTTAGAACCACAGTATATCTTTCTGCATTGCAACAAGGTGTTCTCCAAGTAGCCACAACGAACTGGAATTATTACTTAAGCCAATTTCTACCCAAAGAATAAATAGGTCAATCCTTTTAGAAGAAGAATATGATGGGTGAAGATTCGGGAGTGTCTGCCCTCTTTGTTTATCTTAAAAAACAGATACTGATTTATATTATTTAGTCTTATCATTAATGAAAGACTGTCAAAACAAACCTAAAACCTAAGTTTGTACTGTGACAATTAAATTGGTAGTGCAGCCTACAATATATACAGTGAAATACAAAATATATTAATAATTACTTTAAAAAAGACACCATTACCTTTTTCTGACTCCTTTCGGATGTTTGAATCACGGGTTTTAACCAGTATGATGCATTTATTGAATGCTAATACAAGCTATTAAGCAAGTTAGCTAATGCTTGATAAATTTTGACGTAACATGCGCGCTAAAGTTAATTATGTCCCATATAATCCACAATAACGGTTGCTAGCTTGTCGTGGTAAAATAACAAACAGAAAAAGCATCTAGTAAAGACCGGATACAGGCAAATTCTGCACAAAACCTTTGTGTTTATTTGTAACAACCGCTACCGTGACACACAGACTAGCTAGCGGAAGCTGCAAATGACCCGGATGAACTTCGTGACACATTGAGGTTCCACAGAAAACTCGGAAAACTGCAGCAATTATTTCCTCTGTTTTAACTTTTTTGACGTAATCATAACGAGATAAATCTCTCTTGTCCGAGTCAAATATAAACACATTATTTTGGTTTAAAGATTTAATCTTTTCTACTTTTGTCATGGTTGTCTAGTGTAGTTTCAACATTGTCAAACAGCAGTTTGCTTATTTTTGCTTTCTTCTTGAACAAGGGAAAAGGTTTGGTTTCCTTTTCTGGTTTGCCTTACAGGTCTAAATCCTGAATTAGATGGACTATAAAAATAAAATATTAAGGCCTGGAACGTTTCTTGAGAGCAATGTAGTTTTGTAAGAAAAAACACAAAAATCAGACCTCTGTTTTTAATGAATAAATTAAACAACTCCTGACTGATATTAAGGACACATATTTTGATGCCCAAATGTCAACATCAGTGGTCAAGTTTATTCTTTTTCATTTGAAATTTTCTTTGTCTTCTATGACATTTTCATGAAGATGTTCTATTTTTCCCTTCTTTTCTAATTTTATGGTGGCCAGTTATTCAATGAAAGCATCAAGTTTTTATATCCGTTACCATCAAAAATGTTCTGTACCATACAAATTTAAGTCCTTTGCTAGTTGTAGAATGGTCCTAAATGGGCATCAACACTTGCCTTTCTGTGCCTCTCTTCCAACTTTGCACTTATTTTCCCAGCCAGGTAAGTATAAAAAATCAATTCTTTTTCTCTCTCTCAGAATTTTTTTTCAAAATAATTGACTAACAGACTTCAGGAATTGACTTTGTAATAGTAATATTGATGTTGAACAGCTTTGAAGTCAACAAAAACAAGCACACAGTAAACAGTTTAGCCAGTTTTAATAGTTTTAAACACTTGAGATTGGAAAAAAGTACAAAAGTGATCCTGAACGCCACAGTATGAAACCAGCCCAGTGATGTAGAGTGATAAGTGTGTTTCTTTAAAAAGCATCTTCTACAGACAAGTTAATTTCAACTGGCCTCACCATACACATACTGTACTCACTAAAACAGATACAAGCAACAGTTTAAATATAATGGCTGACCCCAGAAATGCATTTACAATGATTCTTAAAAAACTAAATAAAAGGGGGAGGAAAAAGATGTTTGACCACAACGCCACCCGTTATCTGGCAGTAAAATCATGCAATGTTACAATCGTTCCACTAAAGAGAACAGCAAAAGCACTCCAGCTGCCACACAGTGAGAAAGAGGGCTGCCCAGTCGGTCTGAGGGCTACTCAGATTGCTCACCCATCGTTGACCGAGTCGTCGCTGATACATCTCCACTGTCGAGCGGCAGCTGAGTGGTAACCGGTCCGGCATTTGCATACATTGTAAAGTTGCACACGGTCTCTGTTAAGGAGAGCGTTTCCTCAACAACCGCATCCGTTTAGAAAAATATAACTGACTGCTATTAAAGAAACCCCCAAAATTTTGGATAGTTTAAGTATGTTGTGAGGAAATAAAAAAGCTAAGAAATACAGTTGAATAAATAAATGCATGACATACATAAAAATCAAGTGGATACGCTGAGTCACCAGAATGCTCTCCACATGAGCACACCATGCTTTTTGTTTTGGCCCGGCAGTGATATAAACATACAAACAAAAAAAAAAGGAAAGAAAGAAAACATGTGGGCTCCATCCTCCACGCCATCAAAAGTCACACCCTATGGTTTTGGGGGCAGAAAGATGCCATAATATATCTAAAATCTGTGACATTTATACATTTTTTTCAGCCCCCGATTTGACGCTTTCCATGTACAACATGGCCTCTGGTTTCACCAATTCAAACGAAATTGATGTTGATGGCAATGAGGTAACACAGGTGGGAGACTTTCACAGTGTTACTGAAATGAAACCGCTCTGTGTCATTACCCGTTGGCCGGCCTATTGTTAGGGCAACAACAGAGAACTTCCTGTCCGGTCAAACTTTTTTCCCTTTGAAAGGGCGGCAACTTGTTTCATCAACTCCCTGTTCTTCGACTGTGGAAACAAATTATTATATATGTGTTACAAACTGAGATGGAAAGCTTCCTTCAACATCAAAATTCTGGTTGATTCTTTGGACGAATGACAGGTAGGATGTGCCTGACCCGACACCCATCGCATCCACAGTGCACCCAATCCCAAATAGGAATCATTTATGCATCACACAGACACAAATAGGGAGTGCAGTAAGAAAGTGTTAATATTTATTAAGACGCCACTATGAATGTCTCACCATGTAGACCGAGTCTCACTTTAAAACCAAATAGCTGCCAGAACAACCCAATTAACTAATACAAATGGCGACTGAGTGAAACCACAATGATAGAGACATATACAGATTAAATTAAATGATTCACTAAATGATTAAATAAGCTAATAAATGACTGATTTACTGTGTGCACAGCATGACATGTACCCTTACCTGTTGTTGCTCCATAGCCTCCTTATGTGACTTTTCCATTTGGTTCATCTTCACTCTCATATTTGACTCCTGGTACTGAAAGTCCGCTTTGAGCTCTGTGAGCTGGAGAAGAATTTCCCCTTACAGTCAACATCAACGAGAAAAACAAAACAAAATAACACAGAAACCCACTAGTGGCCTACCTTTCGGTCCTTCTCGAGGATGGTCTGATCCCTTTGCTGGAGAAGTCTCTTCAGAGACATCACCTCCTCTTTCAGCTGGCTGATGAGGATGAAGTTGTCTGTTCCACCAGAGTCCATTGATTGAGTGATGGAACTACTGATGGGATTCATTCAAATTTTCAAGACAAACAGGAAACAGAGAGAGAGTCAATACTGAGATGTTCCCCAGTGTGAAAGAAATAGCTTCAAGCCTGTGCATCTACATACCTGTCCCCATTTGATGGCTTCAGCTCCAGTTTTGGTTTTTTCTTTGGAGTCTCCTTCTGGATTGAAGACGATTTATGGCTATGAAAAAAACACAAAAAAAATTGAATTACACATTAAAAAGCCAGGTATGAAAATCTTAACTATATCAATAAATGAAAAAAAACATCAAACACACATTTTGGTCGGTTACAAATTTGATAGAAAATAGTTATTTGCACCTCTGTTTCCACAGTCCTGGCTCCTGCTCAGGACTCAGGCTCCCACTCAGTCTGTGAGGGATGGGAAATAAAAACCTTAGCAAAGAGCACCTGATACTCAAATCGCTTTAATTTAAGTTTAAATCAACACCGTGGAGATGGAAAAAAGAGAAAAAGAAGTCACAGCAGAGGACATACTTGTGGTGAGAACCGCTGTGTCTGTGGTGATGGTGGTGGTGATGATGGTGTGATCTGGAGTGATGGTCTTTCTCATTCAGGGATGAGGAGTTAGAGGAGCCGAAGCCCTTCCTTTGCTCTTTAGTCTTTTGCAGGACACGGCGATAGGACAGAGTACACAGCCAGCATAGCAGCTTTCCGTCCACCTGTTGTATACAAAGGAAGCGGCAGATCCTCAGCCTTGCTGTAACACATTTTCTGGTGGGCTCATGTAACTGGTCTGTCAGGATTTACCTTTCTTCTGCCCTCTTCCTTGCGGTCGAAGGCGCATTGCTGTTTGCACTGTTCGCAGGTCTGTGGAGGTCCATACTTCTTCTCTGAGTTAGTACAGCGCTGGCACTTTGTTCCGATGAAAGCTGCTATGATGTTACAGTACTGACAGGGTTTGGGCTGTAAAACGGAAATGAGGCTTAAAACCATAATACACTAAGGAAGTAGCTGTAGATTAATTAATTCATCCAACAAAAAACAAACCCAACAGTCAACCTGACAGAGAGGTTCTCATCACACAAGAAATGGTGCATGTAGTTACACACTCAAACAAACAACTTGTAAACAGCGTTCCAAAGTCCTACACAAAACCTTCAAGAAATCAGACACTTACAGTTCCGAACTGTTTGACGTTCTGGGCACATTTCTTGCAGATTGTGTTTGTCTTACTGTAAAAAAGATAAGAAAAAAAGGGGGGAGGGGGGTCACATTTCCACCATTTCAATCCAAATGAAAAAAACATGTAAACTTTTTTATTTGCATAATTTGAATATGAAATTTAAAAACCTCTCACCTTTCCTGCTGAAACTCAGATCTGCAATATGTACACTTCACTATTGGGTGTGCGATGCGACACTCCTGTGGTACCAGAACAAAGAAATCAGTGTTTAGCCTCCTTCTTGGATCACACCTAAATCATGACTATTGCGGGAGACATGTCAGAGATTTGCTCTAGATTGAGTAATGTTCTTTAGATTTCCACATCTATTTGATGGTGTTGGCAAAGTCTGAAATGCAAAGCACCCTCTTTTGATCAAGTCCACACCATAAAAGAGCAGGATTTTTACTGAATCTATTGTAAGGAAAGCTGTCTTCGGCAACCAATTCAGTTATGCATGCAGTCAACAGGCTTTTCACTTTTTTTGTAAACAAGATAAATCTCCTTGTGGCTTGTGCGTGCATCCTCCAGAAGTTTTGTATAAGGGACAAGTTTTACTCCCATTAAATCTGATTCTCAACTGCAAACTCACGTGGAGCATTTCAGGATCAAATATGTACAAGATCAATTAAATTGTGTGATGTCATTATGTGAAGCATATATGGGTGTGGTGACTCTTAAACTGCATGTTGGCCAAGCATGATCTGAACATGGTTGCGTTAGGACAGCAGTCTTCCAACTTGTTACATAATCACAGCCTAGCTAACCCGCTGCTTGTCGTGTTCCCATCTCTCTGGGGTTGTCAGTCGCAGACATCCACGCTTTTTTAACTCGTGATTGTTTGCGTCTTGTGTACGGTTTGCCGAAATCTCCCACGCTGCCCTACCTTGCACAGCTGCTGGCCCTGCGACAGCTCCTCAAACGGGTACCGCTGGTTACACTTCGTACAGGCGTACAGAGCCGACGTTGCCATTCTCGCCCAACTGAAGCCACTGAGCTAGGAGAAGATAGCGGAGTCCAACGGCAAACTCAACGTATGAACCGGGCTATGTTCTTTCACGCCGTTCGCTAAACTGAGAGTTAAAAACACACACCGTGTTGGGATCCAGCGTTAGCCAACGTTAGCTTCCTCGGCTACGTAGCGCAGGGAACACAGGAATAGCTTAGCTGGGGAGAGCAAGCTAAGAACAATAAACTCCAAATATCAGCGGTCTTTCGCCACGCTTTCCAGCGACGCTGATTTACTATCACCAGTTAGTTATGTCGCCACATAAATGAGTCTTTCATTACAATCTGCCCGCCAAGGTTAAGTTTCCGCCGTTCTCGCCAAGAAAGGTATTTTCCTTGTGTTTTCCTTCTCTCTTTTTGTATCAACGCCGTAGTCGTCATATAGCCGGAAGTGGCCGACAGCTCCCGAAGAAGAGAGGAAACCTATCGCGACACAACATCCGTCCGCGGGATTCAGATTTTGAAATGAGCAGAGCCAATCACACGTCTAAACAAAGTCACCACGTTTCTGCATCACTTATGTTCCTGTCTGGTTTAATTACAATGTTAAAACTGAAATATTAAACGAAAAAGATCACACACGCGTTGATACATTATCCTTGCACGATGAATACACGAAGTTATCAAGTCATTAATGTACAACTCTTTCAATCTTTCAATACTGAAAAGTATGAGTGGCTTGCAGTGATTGTAGTCAGGAAATTTACCTCATGTTCAGGAGCTTTATGAAATACATTTTTGTCCTTATAACAGTCAGCCAGATCTCAGGTCTGGAATTAGTCTCTGATATTAGATATAATTTATGTGATGGATTTTGACAGGCGTCTTTTTAACTGTAATTTTTTGCTGGCCTGTTGAAATAGCTTTTGTATTATCAGGAAGACGATGCAAATGTTCTAAACACGCAATGAAATATGCAAAAAGATCATAATTTGGATCCATTTTTTCACCAAGAAAATAGAGAAAGTCCAGCAGTCTTTTTTAATCTCCTGTAAATACATTTGACATGTGGACTTAATGAACATATTTTCAAGATTTGACATTGGAGGTTGATACTGCATTTTCTCAGAATCAGAAGTGGGAAGTCAGACCTCTGGATTATCAAGACCCTGCCAACATGGACACACTTCAAAAGCTTGGCTCATTTTATGCAGAGGCTCTATGTGAATACTAATCACTCAAAAACTCACAAATAAGAACCCAAACATTTAAAAACATTCCAGTAATTAGTGTCATTGCTTTTATTAAACAGACAAATGCCGCTTTTACTGTTTCTGATGTGTTATAAATCAATTTCCAAATTCAGCACATGGATAAAAGGCCAGTCATATTTCAATAGTGCAGAAGTGCATGACTTTAATAGAGATGCATTTTAATGGGGAGTAAATCACAATATGTATTAGTAGATTCATGATTTGAATACAAAAGCTGTGTATGAGTCTTGGCTCTGTGTTATTGGTTATCAGACACATGCGATGTATGCGAATACAAATATTTGGAATAAACGGAAATTGATCATTTTACAGTCACAGTCAAAATTAGATTACAATACACAAATTCCACATTATTTGATAGGATTTAGATAGGATAAAACAGGTCATTTGGAAAAACCTTGCAATGATTTGTAGATAGTCACATGACACCCACAAAATGTCCCCTCACAACATGAGAGAAATACTATCTCTGTGCAAGTCCAGTCTTATCCACATGGAGGCACTAAACAACAGCTTTTCTTACTTTCCAGGGCCCTGAAATAAAAGGCAATGCTCACAGTGGATAATGGCAGAATTACCACATAGAGAGTACATTAATTTATGAAATCAACTCATCTTATTAATTACCTATCACTCTTTTCCCCTTATATATTTCTAAACATAACTTCTGGTCTACATAAAATTTCTTCGTCATCTTTTATCTCATCTTCATGTTTCAGGGAAGTCTGATTGTTCACCGTCATGGACTTTGCCAGTTTGTAGAGAAAGCACTGTCAGAGACACTGTTGCACAGAATTTGAAAATTTATCTTTTTTTTTGTTTAAAAGTGCCTTTACAGTACCCTCATAAGGTATACAATTTTGATTGAATCAAGTGTACAGTCTTGTGAGGTTGTCAGTGGTTTACTTGAAATATTCTGTGGAGTTTGTATGGAGTGTTACACAGCATGAGCACACAGCTTTAAAATCTTAATCTCATAGTTAAATGTGATACAAAAACAGACAAATAATTAAATCAGAATAAATGCTTGGAGGTGATGAATGTCTGTTGATTTTAAATGATTTAATTTCATTCACAGTTTTGTTAATTTTTTAAAAGAAAAGGGATTTGTTAATGTTAAAAAATCTAGAATAAAGAGAATTTGGGCAATGAGTGTGTTTGTCCACACCAGCAAAGGAAAATACTGTTGATGAGTTGTGACATGATTGGTACAGCACACCACGGATACAAAGCTGAATACCCAAACCACATGTTTTGTAACATCAGAGTTGAACAGTGTGGTTTTGAATTGTATTTGTGAAATACCCCCAAAACTCAGTTGATTAAACAAAAGAAAGACCTGGGACATCCCAAACTCCGAGGTTTGGATCAAGTGAAAAAAACACTGCTTTTCAACAAATACAAGAGAATCCCGTCGGTGCCAGGTGTTTTTTTTTTTCCAGTACACCCACGACACGGGAACCCACTGCGGGCTGGAAATGGCGGGCTCCATGGCTTCCTCAACCCCACGTTTGAACGCTTTAGTCCACGTCATTGTTGATTGAGACTACATCAAAGAAGCGTCCATATGTGGTCCAAATGGTGTCTGACCCCTTTTAGATCATCTGCAAATTTTCAATCAATGTACAGAGAAGTTACAGAGATTATGTGAGAGTGTAATTTTATCACAAGAAAGTGAAAGTTTCATGAAACTGCTGCAATATTAAGATGCACTGCGAAGACGTACTCTTCTGTCTGCAGAAAGAGAAACAAAGACTCCAGAAAAATCAGCCGACTACAGTTATTTACCCATTAATCATCATTTAGATTTGGTCTAGATGTAAAATGATACACATCCTCCATCAGTCACCCATTTAATGCTTTTTGTCAGCCAAAACCGTCTTCTGTGTTCCATTGCAAGCGCTGGATCAAACATTTCTGATCTTTTCTTTTTGAAAACTCGATAGACTTTTTCCTAATTTCACTATTTGGGAACACTGGAGAGTAACACACCATCCTGCTGCAAAAGATCTGTGTCTGCTTGACAGGCAATGAATTCATGTCCAATTATTTCTATTTAAATAAACTATTTTACACAAGAACCAAACTTAACACAACAAATTACAAAAGAAAGTCATATTTGACACAGGAAATAACACAGAATACCGGGAATATGAGGTCTGGTATCAGTCTCTCATCTAAATATATTCAACCTTCTTATAAGAAAGTGTTTTTTAAAATAGAAAAATCCTTGTGGCTTCAAGGGACCTCAAATGAAACAGAGTAGATAGATAGATAGATAGATAGATAGATAGATAGATAGATAGATAGATAGATAGATAGATAGATAGATAGATAGATAGATAGATAGATAGATAGATAGATCTCTTTGGCTCTGATTTTCAGCACCGGACAGCGACATTTCAGCACTGGACAGCGACATTTCAGCACCGGACAGCGACATTTTTAGCACCGGACAGCGACTAAACTACGACACAAACTCCTGCCAAACTCAAGCCTCCCTTTTACCTTTCGGTTTGGAGAATTTGACCATGATGTCCGTTCAAGCCTCCCAGGCGAACAACGACCACAACTGGACTGTAAAAACACCAGAAGCCTACCAAAAGCCTTTCCCCTTTTGAGTAAAAAAGATGCTGAGCACTTGAATGGGCTCAGCACCAAATTCAATTCAGTTAGTTGCTGTTTGGAGGAGGCACACATTATTATTATTATACTAATGTGGAAGAAGATTTCTAGAATGATTAATAATAAGATTATATTTTTCTTTCCAGTTCATGAGAATGGTTTTCTTTGCATTGCATACAATC